GACGATGCCGAGCACGATGCAGAACTCTTCCATGACGAGGAGGGTGCCGCGGCATTCGGGGGGGCCTATCCCGTTAGACTGGGTGTGGGGATGCAGAGACGAAGGAAGGGAGGGAGGGCGTACTGATTTCGGAAATGTAGAGCGGCGCCACCATGGACAGCATGCCGATACCCAGACCGCCGATCAACCGGGCTACCGTCAACATGGCGTAGTCGACCGCTGCAGTCTGCAGGACCGATCCGATGGTGAAGACGACGACAGCGACGATGATGGAGTACCGGCGCGAGTACTTGTCCGCCAGCCAACCCATGTTGAAGGCGCCGATCAATGCGCCCAGCTCGATCATGGCCGTCATGAGGCCTTTCCAGAAGGACGACCCCGGGTGGTTATCGGCCAGCTCGACGAACCGGTCGAGGAACTGCTCCATGACGAGAATGACCGAGACGACGCCCTGGTCGTAGCCGAAGACGAGCCCGCCGAGCGTCGAACAGGCGGCGCAGCAGAAGACGAACGGGTTGGCGACGAGACCGCGCAGACCGGCGGGTCCGTAGGGCTCGCGTTCATGGAGGATGTCCTCTGCATGGTGGGAGAAGCCTTTGACGGGGGAGGTGTCACGGGCTAGTTTGGATGGTTCGCGATCATGTTGGTCGTCCATGGCTAGGGGGAGTATAGGGGCGGAGGTTTGATGGATGTAAGACGTTGGAAGCAAGGGCTGCACATGAGTGATTTATATGTTGATCAGGCCCATGCAAGCTCACGGTCCAAAGGCCGACCTACATATTTGATTCGCTGATGAGATGACATTCCTACGGTCTGGGAGCGGAGATGGAGAAGCATACAGAAGAAAAGAACCCTAGGGTATAGGGAGTGGGTAGCTTAAGGTGGGCCTCCGAAGCCGCTAGAAGAGCGTGGGATGGAACCGAACCAATTCACTTTATAGACACTTCTATAGACACTCCTTCCAGGTGATTCTATGCTGTGAATTGGTGGTGGTGTGTTTCAGTCAGTTGAGTATGCTCTTCTGTATAGAAGTGGGAGACACCAGACGAGGAGGATAGAGACAGTTCTGAGCAACAATCCGGATTCAAGAATCCATACTCTGTAGGTAGTCAGTCTAAGACCCGTAACGTCAATCTGATGGTCATCACGACTAAACCATCGTTCTCATTGGGTCCATCACATTCAGGAGGTATGACGACTCTTAATGGAGATCCATCCCCCACGGCAACCCGACTTCCCCTTTTGAACAAGTCAAAGGCCGAGTAGACGAGTTGGGACAGGATTAAGAGAAAGTCAAATCAAGCGCAGGGGAAGCCGAGAATTGCCGGAGTCGGGTGGGTGTCTTGTTGTCTGATCCTGTTGTTGTCTGATGTCTGGTGCTGGATACTGGATTGCCGTTTTGGGACAAGCCTTAATAACCTATCTCTCTCTCTTCATGCATCAAGATACTCAATATCTACATAGATAACCTATCCTGGTCCATCTCCCTGGCAGTATTCTTACACTCCCCACGGGGTAGCACCACTTGACCTCGGGAACGGACGGTGTCTCCAGTTTTCCTTCTACTCCACCGTCCCAAGTCAAAGGCCGACATATACTCTCACTCGTCTGGCATTCCGTCCCCGCATGTGCCGATCGCTCGGATAGGTCCCGGTCAGGAGGGGGAATAGGAGGAGTATCGGAATGACTGAGAGCAGACGGTCACGGGTGACAGAGTAGCTGTACATAGTCGCAGGTGAACGCAAGATATCTTGATGATCAGGAGTGAACTCATATATATCTTGGCTATAGGATCACGGAGTATACTCGGTTCACTCCGGACAGTTCCATACAGACCAAGCCACTTTTGCTTCTCTACTACCAGCATCTTGACATGCTTAACACTATAGACTACTATCATCTACATAGATACCCCCTGAGACTGAAAAACATTCCTGTACAGTCACGAGTGGTATAGAAAGATCACCCTGCGGCATCACCTGGATCCCCTGCTTGAGTCATCCCATACAAACGCATCATCACAACAACCATCACTTTTCAATTTTGTACTCTATCTTCAAAACAACCATCTTCTCTCTTTCCTCGTTCCTCTCCCATCCCTGCTCCTCCCCATCTTGCCTCTATACCAAGTGATATCACTACCCCAGCTCCCCATGTCCCACCGCACTACGTAACCCCGGTGACAACCCGGATTGCCATTTTCCGCCCGACCCGCAACGTCATCTCGTTACCCCCGCATCCAACCAACCCTACCACACGGAACGACCTACTCCAGAATCAACAACCCTACACCCCGTACTCAGTACTCAACATGGCCTCGTTCGTGGAGGATCTCTGGTCCAGCATCTTCACCCCAGGGCCCACGCCCACCCTCCTGATCGCCACAAACGCCACCTTTGCCGCCCTGCAGCTCGTCCTGCTCGTCCTGCTGCTGGCCACCTACAGCGTGCATTTTGTCGTTCTGTCCGCCCTGTCCGCCGCGCTGTGGTGGTCTATCAACTGGTTTGCGCGCGAGGTGCGCTGCGCTCAGGAAGCTCAGGAGGCGGAGAAAACCAGGGAGCAATCGGAGCCCCGGGAGGAGGCCGAGAGTGACACCGAGACGGAGGGTGTTACAAACGCCCGAAGGGAGACGGTTACAACAACAATGACGACGACGACTACGACTACCGCTACGACAGCGGCTGTCAATACTGCGGCAGCCCGGCAGGGGGAGGTGCGGAAGCGGGCCAGCGTCAGCGGGGATAATAACTCCGGCTATGGGAGTACCGATAGTGAGTGGGAGAAGGTGGATGGGCAGTAGATATTACGGAGTAGATATATGTCGTTGTGCTGTGGAGTGTTGCGGATGTGTTGTGATACTGATATCATCTTTATGCGTTGCTGACCCCGATACCCCATAGACCTTGCCTAGGTAGATGAACTTTGATCTTGATTGAAGCCCTCGCGCATGTTTAATACAAGCTATTTGACACTGTACAAGTTATGTAGAAACACGTCCTCCTAAACGAGCGACAGTACCATCTACACCCCAATGTCCAGTCCAACGTTCTACCAACTACCAAGAAGGCACGGCAGGCGTGGAATACGCGCCCTGCACCGTCTCCCCACTGCACTGGCTGGGCACATCGCTGGCGGACGACGCGCCCCACGACGCCGGCACAGTCCCATTGCGTCTGGCGACCGCGGTCAGGAACGCCGCATAAGACCAGGTCAGATCGGTCGCGGACGTCGGGTCGCCGCCGTCGCGGGCGTACTGCTCCGACAGGCTGCCGTCGCTGGGGGTGTACTCTTGCACCACGGAGACGAAGCCGTCGGCGTAGGTCTTGACGGCGCTGGTCATCGACTGGTACTGCGCAGAGGATTTGGCGAAGGATCCGGTCGTCACGTTGCCGACCAGGTCCGCCCAGAACGGCTGCGAGACTGCGTCCACCTTGATCGCGCCCTGCTGGTCCCATTGGTAGAGAGCGTCATACAGCATCTCTCCGGCGGCCAGGGTCGTCAGGTACCTGCATATCTTCCGTTAACTCGGACAAGAGTATATATTAAGGAGGGGACGAACCAAGGGTTTCCGCCCATGTAGCTGTCCTCCATGTAGCGCCCGGTGGCAGCCGCCTTTCCAGCGCCGCGGCCCTGGTTGACGGTGTAGATGTCGCGGAACGAGTCGACGTAGATCTTGTGGTTGGATAGGGCGCGCGAGCTGCACGGCTGGAAGGTGGTGTCGTCGCAAGAGGCGGCCGGGTCGAACGTGTGGATGGAGGCGAGGACGGAGTTAGCGTCGATGCCGCTGCGCCCGCTGCTGGGCGTGTTGGAGATGACCGCCGAGCCGTTCCAGTAGCTCTGCAGGAAGCAGAGGATCTGGGGCGCGACCGAGCAGGCGTCGCAGGTCTCGCCGAGCGAGGTGGCGAACGCCTTGCCCTCGACGAGCGCGCGGTGCTGCACGGCGGTCGTGAAGAACGACGAGCCCTGCACCTCCTCCCACAGGTCGTAGGTGCTCTGGTTCCAGTACTGGCCGACGTAGGCGAGGTCGTTAGCCACGATCGGCCAGATGTTCTTCTGCACCAGCGCCTTGTTGCTTGTCACCAGGGAGTTGCCGTACGCGATGAGGGCGGAGGCGCGCAGCGCCGGCCCGTCGCGCTGCGGCCGTCCCCAGGCGTCCGTGAACGCCGTGAGGTCCGCGTTGAACTTGGGCTCGCCCAGCCCCGAGCCGTCGGAGAGATCGCCGGACGGGTTGGAGACCGCCTGCTGCTTGGCCTGCGAGGTGACGTACTCCTGGATGAGCGTCTCCAGCGAGTCGTCGCCCGCCAGGAATTGCTCGATCAAGGCCGCCAGCGTCAGGCCGGAGTCGCGGGTCCAGGTGTAGAAGTCTGTGGTGGTTAGCATGGCCGTGGAAGGGAGGGAGGGGGTTGGCGACGAACAGTCTGGGTCCGACTTGGACGGAGAGGCGACAACGACTCCAGCAGAGGCGTTTGAGGCTTTGGCTCCGTCAGCGCCGATGTTGGCAAGGACGCCCTTCTTCGCGATCGAGGTTTCGCTGCTGATGAAGTCGCTGAGACTGGATTGTCTCTTGAAGACGGGGAAGTGGTGAGGAGATGCCAGGGCGGTGCCCGCCAGAGCATTGAGGAGAATAGCTTTGGTCAACATGTCGACTTCGTTTCTAACTCTATACTTGAGAGTGCTGGAGACTGTTGTTGCTGTTGTTGTTGAGTTCTGCTCTATGGTCGTGGTCGTGGTTTATATAGTTCTCTCGGGTCTAGTCCCGGAACAACATGCAGGAACGTCTCCACATCGTCACAATGCATGCCACCTGCAAGCAACGGGCCGATCACTCGGAGATAATCTGCGCAGACTGCCGATGAAGGCAGACAATATGGGGAGTGGAAGCCCACGGGGGAGCCGGTCTGTTGATCTTCAGCCTAGTGAAACTGATCGCCCCGACGACTGCCCGAGGCCATGACTCTAGCCAATCTAGATCGGCACAGCACGGCCGGTCGAGTCCGGCTTTTTAGTGGGAGCTTGACTGTTGTCTTCTAGACCGGGAATATCGTCCGATCCATGATGATTAGGGCCGAGGCACGGAGTATAAGGCTGGAAAATAGTCGGGGACACCTGCCAGATCACGTCCGGTATTCGCAGATGTCCACTTCGATGCAGTCTATTCGTCATGTTTGGGATCGGGTTTTGCTTTAGATGTGCTGCACGTGAAATGTATAGAAGCGCATACTGCAGGAGTTCTATAGACCTCCGTTGCATGAGCGGGATGAGAAGATTGTATATCTCACTATAGCCTTTACCCTATATGCGGATTTGCCGGAAATAGGGTTCTGACAGACGAATAATAGACCCTAGTAAGACAAGGTAGCAGAGCGGAAGAAACTGCCTATATTCCTGGAATCGTCAAGTAAAGCCATGACACCACAGAGAGCAGTCCTGGAAGGATAACTTTCAGACTGGTACTAGGACTATCATGGAGGCTCTGACTCACCAAAGGAGGACAATTAAGTAGAAATCTCATGAATCCTCCCTCAATGCTGAGCATGGCCATGCGAGATATGTCCAAACGCTGAGAAAGCCGTGGAATGTGTCGGGTACAAGAAGAAATTCCATGACGTTATGCATCCATTCCCGGCACCGCCACCGTCGCGTCTGGAATTCTCCACGATTGCCGCAAGGGGCGTCTCGCATCTCCAGCAAGGTCTCCAAATTGAGGTCTCGCCATGGTCTCCAGTGCTCGACATGCAGCGGACCGTATGTAACGGGTGAATCAGGTAGGACGCAGTGAACCAATGCGATCTGCTCCACCGACACGAAACCAGTTCATTCCACATAACAGGTTGGTCCGCCAATGACCACCGCAGACTACGACGGTTTTCACCGGCCATTCTTCATCGTCTGCTGGATCGAGTTCATCGTGGCCATCCTCCTTCTCTATGCGAGAAGCTACACCGCATTCCGAATCGTCCACCGCATCACGGCGGATTTCTATCTCGCCGTCAGCACCTTCGTACGTGCCGCGCTCCCTCCATGCGCCCTGTCCTGACCGTGGCCCAGATTCTAGGCGTGGGTAGCATGTCGATGCTCACAGTAGCAGCGGCGTATGGCCTGGGCATCACAATGGCTCTATTATCGCACAAAGAGCGCGAGTCGGCCCTGATGTACGGATGGATCAACCAGTTCATCGCACTCTTTGCAATCGGCGTGGGAAAGCTCGCGATTGTCTCGTTCCTGACGCGCGTCCAGGGCTACCAAACAAGGCTCCGTGCCATTGCGCTTTGGACTCTCGCCGCCAGTAATCTGCTGGTCAATATCATAACTGCTATCCTGATCATTGTGCAGTGCTCTCCCGTGGAGCGGCTCTGGGATGCGCAGGTCCCGGGTCAATGTCCGGGACGTACACGAATCCAGATATTCGGGTTTTTCCAGGGTAAGTCCGCTCCAGAAACATGCACACATAACGTGGATGGGTCTAACTCCATTTCAGCATATTCGGCGTTCGTCGACTTCGCTCTGGCGCTGTACCCCATCCTTATATTCTCCCGGGTGCAGGCTTTCTCCATCCCGACGAGAATAGGCCTGTGCGTGTTGATGGGGTGTGGCTTAGCGTAAGCAACGTTTCGTTTCTAGTCACAGTCTCAGACACTAAGTTTTGACAGCGCCGGGGCCTGTGCCATTGTCAAGACGGTCAAGCTGACGCTTTTGATACGGCTCAGGGACCCAACCCGTATGTCCCTCCCCCGGTGATGCAGAAGCGAGACGACTGACCGCGGTCTAGGCACTCTCGCTGACGTGATATTGTGGAACGAGTAAGAGTCCCCGAGGCACTATTATTATTGTTGGCTTGGCTGACGCCGGATCCTACAGAACCGAGATGTGGGTAGTTTTCATTGTCAGCTGCATCCCACCCACCAAGGGCTTTTTTGTCCTGCTCATCAAAAAAGGCAGTGGTGGCGCCAGCTCCCTCTTTCGTCAGCTCCGATCTCACGGATCTCACAGGTCACAGGACGAGTAAGGGTGTGTTCCGGCGACACGACTGGTGCTGACATTAGCTCTCTGCATCCTGATGCATAGCCAGAGCGGATTGATGTCCCTGAACGAAACACGCCATCAAGACCAAGAGACTATGAATTTAGCGCACTGTACATACTGATGATACCTCTGAATGCTGATTTATATGCAACCCTAGATGTAGCTCGTCGCAGATTCTGACCTGTATGTATCTATAGACGGAGCCTGCGTTCCCTGGTCGGTCATAAGTCAGTGAGCATTCTGTGGACCATGTGAACTACGACCCACCGCGCTGTTGGGCCTGGGTCTCTCCCAAGGAGTATCCCACGTGGTATGTTTGTCGCCTGTGGGCCGGTAAAGCCAAGGTTTACGTTTAGGGCCTGGGCTGACCAGGGGTGGTGTGAGCATGGTCAACGAGAGATCTACTTCGTAATCGAGTCAAACACTCGCAGGCGAAGATGCGTTAGGCTGGGTTCGTGGCTGTGGGCGTTGACAAGCTTCTGTGGAATGGGAGGAGCCATGCTGTGCGACTCTATCAGCAACCTAACTAGCCGACAGCAGTAGATATCGTTATCTCGGATGAAGCATAGAGATTAGTGCTGACGTTTAGTCTCGTGGGCAGTCGACCTAGTCAAGGATGACAATATCCAAGATAACAAATCGCACTTCATCGACCAAATCAACTGCATAATGAACATATGCATCTCACGTCAAGAATGTTGGTGCCGCGGAGAATTCACATCTTCCATGTGCAGCGATCAGCCTTCACATGAACCTGACTCCCGACAAGCCGTCCACCGCGACGGACAGTGTTTCAGGCTCAATCGGCTGCGTCTTTAACTTTCGTCTGGTCTTTATCTTGAAGCGACAGCGGCGTCCGGTTTTGAGTTTCTCTAGCAGCCAGAACCACTGGACAGGGCGAACTTTGAGCCACCCTCGCTAAAGCCCACGAGCTGGGAGTGTGGACCCCGAGATATCCACCTCTCGACAGAGGGTTGCTGAGGAACATCCAGCAGGATCGATAAAAATGTAAGCTATATCCGGACGACACACGTGGAGACCGGCCGATCGCCTGATCTCGAGTCATGGCACAGGCACCAAGGCGACTTTCTCACCCTCTCCGATCTCTCCCACGCATAAGATGACGGCCTGCAATCGGCCGAACGAATGTCCAGTTAGGTAAGTTATAACCGAACGATACGAGCTAGCACATTAGCGGGTAAACAGACGACCCCAATTGGCGTAGGCGAGCGATGTCGGACCTCGTGTAAAAAGAAACGAGATGCCATTCTCGCGTGCGGATGAATCAGAACCCATGGAAAAACATTTCCAAGGGCGTGGGACGTATGGGAGCGGTTACGCCGAGAAAACGGCCCCAATGTTTAATAACGATGGACCAAGAGGTTTCAGTGTGGGGAAGGGAAACGAAGCGATTCTCTGGGCCCATGGCCATTGCGAGAAGACCCAAGAGCCCACCCCCCTCCCAGGGTGGCTGATACGGCCGACTTTACGACCGGCGGTCTGTATCAAGTGACACGGACGTCGTCAATCGATTGGGGGATTGGATGTCGCTTAGCGAGTTAATATATTTTCACTTCGTCTATTGCTTAGGGCGGCTGTCTGGCCCGTTTCCCCCGAGGGCCGATCAAATGGCGAGCTGACTCTCTGCGGTCCGAGGCCATGAGATGACGCCTTCGCCTCCAGGCGAGATACGAGCGCGTTCCCAGCTGGGCGGTTATCGAACTCTAGAGGTTCTTGATCCTGGTCATTCCATCACCGCCAGTCGAACCAGGACCCTCGTTCTGATTCGCGTGGACGGCAAAACAACGTGTCATATCCGCCGGTCTGACAGTCTCCGCCGAGGCGCTTCGACAGTCATTGTCCACCAGTGTTTCACTCTTGCTGGTGTTGGTTCCGGACCGGGGGCGGCCACTCCATGTGATAATGCCACGATGGCGAATTACTCGTGTCCCGGGGATTAACCAACCCCCTGGAGTCCCAGTGGTCAACCACTCCGCACTGTGTATGGCTTCCTCTGGAACGCCATGCGCCCATGGGCGATGCCTATGGCGACTCTGAACTGCTTTCAAGCTACGCCCTCTCTGTAAATGCCGTGATGGAGTCCGAATTTATCCGTTTCTATTCCGTGGTTTTTATTGATTTCGGCCCCCTCCGGTTATTTTTGGGGTCCATTTCAATCCTGTCTTAGCGGGAGCGGACCCGAAAGAGGCAACGGAAACGTAGGGCTCGAGGCTCTGATTAGTATGATGGCCAGGTGCGGATCCATAGTGGCTGGCGACGATGTACTCCGATAGTGGGGGCCAAACGGACTCGGACGAAAGAAAGACATTATTCTTCTGATTATTATGTTGGATGTCAGCGGGGATCAGTCCGACTGGAGCAATGACCCCCGACAGAGTTGTCGTGTTCGTAGGAGGCTCCCGGCGCTTGATTGTCGATTTCGGGTCAAGACAGCGCGAGAGATCCATGGTAAGAAAGGCGACAGGGTTCCGAACTTCTGCTCCCCTCAATCAAACCGTCGTGCCTGGGACGAACAGGAGACCGCCATCATCAATCGCCATGATGACTCCACGTCACCCTAGTGGTGTCTCTCATCTCCTGGGTCCAGTAGCGCCAGCGCCAGGCGTCAACGCTTCGTCCCGACAGGGTACGAATCGGGCATATCCTTCCACCCCTTTGGCCCCCAAAATCAACGAAACATCCCGCGATCGAATGAGAATGCATCGAGTAAGGATGGCAACTTCCACGCTACCCATGGCGGCCGTTAGCCTCTTGGGGCTGAACAGTAATTTTACCTTGGCCCAAATGCCGGAGTCAGAGCTTACTGCCCCCGGTCTTTCGACGGCTCCAGCAGCTTGTTTCTGTTCACGAGGCCGGGCCAATATGCGGGTGCCCCCTCCCCCTTGGGCCCCGTCGCCCGTCGTAGATATTTCCAATTAGCTATTCCCACCGGCCGTACCCTGTGTCACGCCAGGTGGAGTTGAACCAGACGGATGGGAAGGCGGATACCTGGTGGGAGTTGGAGAGAGGATAGCGAGGATGATGTTTTTATTCATTTGTTCTTTGTTTCTGCCATTCGATTCCTGAAGTGTTGCATACGTACTCAGGTCGCCATAGACGCAGTCGACAGACAACCTTCCTCGTACTGGTGTATGGGTCACTCTCTCCTCGCTGAGGCCTTCTCCTTGACACCCAGCGCAAGGGAAGAAACGGAACTGATCATAGTGGGGGATCGCGGACTTGATGCTCCTCCCCGGATATCAGTACGAGGCAAGCGTCCCCAATCACAAGAACCCCATTTAGCGGCGCTAATGCGACCGAACGGAAACGAGGACGACCAGAAGAAATCGACACACAGACCAAGGGACCAGTCAAACGAGACCCTCAACGGTGTTGGCTGGTGTAGACAGAGCGAGAAAAAAGTGGCAGTGAATCATTGCTTTTCTCGAACCTCCTAGCCTAAACGAATCAGCCATCAGCCACGCGATAAATAAATCAGATAAAAAAAAAATTCCCTTAATAAAAGGACTAAGACGGCGGCCATAAGCAGTTGGCTCCATCATAGTCCATAGTCGCCAGACGAACTTCTTTTTGGGCCCCCAGTTCCGGACGCTGACAGAGCCTAGGACTATTGTCCGTGTCCCTCGTTGTCGCTGGGCTTTCTTTTATTTCACTTTCGCATATCGTCGTGTCCTCTTCAACGTCGCCATATCGTTGATTGACTCAGGATTCCTTGTGGGTGCTGACAACAGAGTTCGCCCGTGGCTGGTCTGGGAGTGGTAGTTCACGAAGGATTCCGGGACAACTTACTAGACCGTATGTTCATCCTCATGGCCTCTGCTGGTGCCTTGTTTCTCTCTCCCACGTTCACTCACTCGCCTTGCCTTTGTGCTCGTTATCCCCTGATTAGTCGACTTGGTCACAGCCCTTCTTCCTATCCTTCTGTCAGGTCGATTCTTGTTTATCTGTCTGGCCGCGGAATCATGCAAACGTTACCTATCTCAAATGTCTTCCGACAAACCCGCAACGTTTCGACTCATTCTCATCAAGCTCACAGGGAACCAGTGCACTTCTCGTGATTTCAGTGCATTTCAGTGGTCCATTATCACGCTCCTGGGCTGATTTGTGAGCGCAAGCTCGTCCACGCAGTCGCACCCTGCTACCTGGACTCGTCCTGTAATCGAGAAGAGCGCGGCTCGAGGACAGTGATCGCGGCCTCAATTTGTGTCACCTGTTCGACCCGAACTGACGTGTTCCACTTCAACGGTTGGAAAGTTGGATGAGCGACCCGTCTCTGCATAAGGGCAGACAGAAACCAGGAGCATCTCAAGAATAGCAACCATCAGACGACAACGACCAAAGTTTGGGCGGATAGTACAGCCCGACGAGACAACTTCGAAACAAGGAAGAAACCGGAACCGTATCCATCTGTCCCAGTCGAGAAAGACGGGATCACGACAAGCCATGGCAAACAATTCACACAGTACGGCTTCATCGAACACCGTGATTTCCGGATCATCGCAGACTGACCTTGCATAGACTATGGCTGGCCACAAAGGTCGTCACAGCCAGTTCAGCCATCATCGATGGCCATGGATCACCACCCCTTCTCTCAACCTCAGACTCTCCCACCGACGGCCGGATATCCTATTGGATACAGCCCACAGCCACCAGGGGCTCACAGCTTTTATCCACCGGGCACGGCCGCAGCGCCATATTATCCCCCGCAGCCCGGCGTACCACAGACCCGGCAGCAACCAAGAAGGCATGCTTCTATGCACGATGGAGACCACTTAGTCCTGCTTCCGAGTTGCTGACTTGTCGCTCTGCACAGCTCTTCCATACCATATGCTTTTCCCAGCACGCAAGTAACGGCCAGTCCATCACCACTGCAAAGTCAAGCCTATGCGGCCCCGTGAGTTTGGGAATTATCATGACAACCGGGGATTTGAGGGCTAACTCGCCTGTAGTGCACCGTCTTACATGATGAACCAGCCAGAATACTACCTCGCCCAAGGCTCTTCAGTCTCGTGAGTGCCCATCAACGCCCAGGTCCATTGGAAACTTCCGACTAATGGAGCAACTGGCAGGTCGAATCCAAGCTCTCTAACAGTGAGCCCTCCGCCACAGCCGTTAATGACCCCGAGCACGGTATATTCGTCACCAGACTCGGCGCCCGCCTCTTCAGATGCCGATCAACAACAAGTCCGGGTGATTAGCTTCCGACCGAAACCACAGTGTTGGGACCACGGATGCAACGGTCGGGAGTTCTCGACATTCAGCAATCTTCTGCGCCACCAGCGAGAGAAATCGGGCGTGGTCGCCAAAGCGGAATGCCCCAGCTGTGGTGCGGTGTTTACACGGACCACCGCCCGGAACATCCATGTCGCGCAGGGAAAATGCAAGGGTGGGGGGAGGGAGAAGTCCAGCGACTAGGTGGTGCGACGGATAAGAACCGCGATCGACGTGAGCGCGAGATTCGACTAGGCCGTGTCCTGAGCCAGAAAGAAGCCTCAAGATGAGCTGGAAGCTTGAGGGGTCTGACGAAGGACGCAGCGGTACCTTGATCCCCTCGGCCAAGCGGAGGATGTGAAAGACATGCTAGCATGCATGTATCGCATGCATGGGGATCTGCAGCTGTATATAGAAAGAGGTCACACATGTGATTTCTGCACTGGGATGGGAAGACTTTGTCCATATAGTTCTAGGGCGGGGTAATATGAGTTTTGCTTTTGCAGCGACGTCCAGATTGTGTCGAGAGTTCTGAAGTTGTTGTCCAACGTTGCCTGCTATACTTGATGCGCCTCATGACAAACAACCAAACAGGCAGTTCTGCCTCAGGCTGTAAGGCACACACGCACGTGGGGGTGCTTACGTGATACGTGCAATGTCACCTGACCATTGACCATGCATGTCGTCAGGTCCCGCGGAGAGATGCCTGGAAATTCAGGAGTGACACGTCTGTTGCATGACCCTCGAGTGAGTCACGATCACCATGCCGACTCTCTAGACCTTCTATCGCTGCTCTCTACAACTCGGACGCTTCTCTCTTCGTTCATGGTCAATCACTCCCGACGTCGCTATACCTTCTTGCCCGAAAAATGACTATATCATCATCACGCTTGATCTGTATACGTGACAAAATCCATACTCCCATATCGTTAAAACGACTGCCTCTCTCTGTTCTGGCTGCCGTGTGAACCATTTTTGCGAGTCTGGACGACTACCTACGACTCTACCTGTGGAGCTGGACCTTGTCTCAATCAATAGTCGCCACTGAACCATGGCCTCCATCTTCACCTATGACCCGGATCCTCCCAGGGTCTCTTCTCCTTGGTCCACATCTGGGTCATCCACTCCTCAGGCGGCGGGAACTGGTGCTCGCACCGTGCCCCGAGACCGTTCCAGTACCAACCTTGGTCGACCAGATGTCGATGTCCTCTCGGACTATGGCATCACCAAGCTAGAGCCCGAGCCGCAAGAGGGCCCCACCGAGTACAAGTTACACCTCCTCTTGCGTCAGCGCCGGCTGTACACGTCCATGTCAACCGGCCATGTGGTTGGTGGCTCTTATCATTCTCGGGTCCCTCTTTCGACTCCGAGTCCGACTCCTTCGAGTTTCGAGCTAAGCTCGAGCTCCAAGCCGCAGACACGCTCTCCCCAAAGCCGTCAGCAACGCCTTCAACAGTTGACGACTCAGCTGCTCTGGCGCCTGCAACAGTCGTCGCCGTTTCATTCCTCAACGGCAGCCAGTCTGGTGCTCCCTGTGCTCCCCGAGACCATATCCCAGTCGGGGGCCCTGCAGAAGCCGGCCCGCCTGCTTCCTGGGCTCGAGGAAAGCCAAGGCGCGCTGTATGAGATTGGCGTGGCCGACGATGGCACCTTTGTCGGGCTTACCAAGGACGAGCTCGAGGAAAGTTTGGCCAACCTGCAGGTCATGGCGGCTAGTTTGGGATGTAAAGTTGAGATTCTCCGCCGTGTCATCGTTGGCAACTGCGAGTGGACGGAAGACTCCGATGCAGGCAACATTGATGTTGGCAAAGTCCATGCGGAAAGCCTCTGGGTTGCTGAAGCGCTCGTGAGTCCGGACTGGGACTACTACCGGGTGGAGTCCCCGAAGCGTGCACCCCGGGATGGCGAGTCAACGAAGAATGGGACGCCGAGGGAGGGGTTGTCGGAGGATGCCCATTCGTGCACAGAGCAACTTCGAATCTCCATCACCGGACCGACCACTGCAGGGAAGTCGTCCCTTTTAGGTACCTTGACTTCGTCTGTACTTGATAATGGGAGAGGCACGAGCAGACTTGGACTGCTGAAGCACCGCCATGAGATTTCGTCGGGGATTACCAGTTCCGTCGCGCATGAATTGATCGGATATGCCGCAAAGAAGCCGACCTCTTCTGGAGTCGACGTGATTAACTACGCGTCGGGCAATGTTGCCGCCTGGGATGATGTCCACGCGGCTTCTGCAGGGGGGCGTTTGGCCTTTGTATCTGACCTTCCCGGCTCCATACGTTATGTAAAATCGGCTCTGCGTGGACTCATTAGCTGGGCGCCGCACTATGTTTTACTATGTATCCCAGCGAACTGCGACGATGGAAATACTCGGGAGTCGCTGAACGGGGCGGCAGAGCAGGCCACCGACATCAATCTGGCTTTAGCATACCTGGAGCTCTGCATGAAATTGGACGTGCCTACTATTATCGCCATTACCAAAATGGATCTTGCGTCGCTCACGCTGCGAGCCAATCTTGCCAAAGTCCTGTCGGCGCTGAAGAGTGCCGGGAAGAAGCCTGCGATGCTCCCTATTCAATCTGTGACGTCGGACACGCCGGTGGATCTACACCACATTGGACAAAAAGATGTTGAGGGGGTTCAGAAAATCATAGCCGCGACCGACAACTGGTCCAGCACCGTCCCGATTGTTCTCACCAGCGCAGTCGATGGTTCGGGGATCGGAAAGATACATTCTTTCCTTCGGTATCTTCCGATCCCATCCAGGCCTCCATCGCGAACCATATCCCTGCCCAAGACGCTAACAACCCCTCCTATGCCTGCTACAGTCTTTGATGTCGACGAGGTGTTTGCCATTCCCCCATCGAAGGTCTACTCGGCATCTTCACAGACCCGCAAAGAGAACAATGGCGTTGTACTGTGTGGACTGGTTCGGTACGGTGCGATCTCAACAGGAGACGAGCTCATGCTCGGGCCGTTGCTTGTCAGCACATCGTCCGATGACGGGGACAAAACTCGGTCGGACCAGGGAGGAGAGGCTCAGCAATCTACTTCCTATCGCAGTCGGCCGTCTTCCGGGGACTTCTCCGCCTCCTTTGTTCAGGGGCTGATGTCGGGGAAGGCAAACGCCCCTGTCCAAGCCCAGTGGCAACGAGTCCGGGTCGTCAGCGTGCGAAACCTTCGACTGCCGGTCCAGAAACTGACCGAAGACCAGGTTGGAACCATCGGAGTCGAGCCTCTTCCGTGCTCTGAAGATGGAACACCCACAAGACTCGGTAAAATCCGCAAAGGCACTGTACTTGTGAGTTTGCCCGCTGCGGCCACTTCTGTGCCAAGATCGCTGTGCTTCCACCGCGGATTCGTTGCTAGCTTTGCTGCGAGTGAATTCTCGTCTTCACTGTCCCCACCTCTACTGTTGGGAGGCAATGCTATAGTGTATCTTGCCAATATACGCTCTACAGTGAAGGTGACATGTATGGCACTTGCTGAAGACGAAGTCGTATCGTCTCCCCCGTCGCCAACCGAACCGGAATTCTTCAATTTCGATGGAGACGGCGAGGGGGAGAACACAAACAGGCCGGAAGTGAACGATGTAGTCCGAACGTCTGGCAACGTTGGACATGGAGACGTCCGGATTACTTTTTCCTTTGTCACCTCGGTGGAATGGGTGGAGGTTGGGTCCCGTGTGCTTCTGATGCCTGGAGCATCCGCTGCATTGGCGTCCGCGCAGAACAGTGGTACGCCGTCGGGGCTGGAGGGATTTGTGGGGACAGTATGTGATTTGGTTTATTCTGAAGAAGTCGGAGGATGAAGGTCAATATGGTGCTTGTTGTAAGGGAGTACATCTCGAGTCAAGGACATTATGGAGAGTATCTGTATGAAGTCTTCGATTTAGTGAATCTGATACCCGAGTGCACCGGCACTGGCAGCTACAAGCGGTGATGCAATCTCTCTATGGCTGGTTCTTTGGGATCAAAGGATTATAATTTTTGTCCCTAACACAACAATACGGTCAAAGCTATCCCTGCGAGCTCCTCAACCCTCGTACTGCTATTCAAAGACATGTTCCCTGGGCTACACAGAACTCTTGCATAACGATAGGAGGAATTAGTCAAGGGTGATAGGCACATTCGACAGCAAGTTGGACCTATCATTGAGCCAGTGCTCCACTCCACAAGACTATTGATCACAGTGTCCACTGAACCGTATATACTGGCTACCTAGGATCGATCATCTGGGCCAAAGAAGTCCTTTCCCCACCAACGGAAATGATGCCTGAGCCCAATTTGGGTGATCTCATCCAACTCCTCGCGGTCTAGCTGAAGAGATATCGCAGCAATATACTCCTCCATCCGCTCCCTCTTGGTCGTAGTTGTGATGGGTACGATGTTCTGGGAGATTACCCAGTTGAGCACCACTGCGCTGGTCGTGATGTTATGTTTGGCGGCAATCGATGCCAGCGGCTCGTCTAGAGGTCCGCCTTTACCGACCGTCACCGGGGCAAGGGTCTTGAAGGACGAAACTTCAATGCCGCGTTCACGCATCCATGGAATGAAGTCATGAGAGCGTTGTAGGTACGGGTGATACTCCAACTGATTGATGGCTGGGACAACCGAGCATGTCTCCAGGATGGCTTCCAGGTGGTTGCGTTGGAAATTGGAGACTCCGATACTCCGAGCTTTTCCTGTGGCTTTCACAGCTTCAAGCCCTTTCCAGGCGCTCTGGATATCTGTCAAATTTGGAATGACATACGGATTATGCAGCAGGTAACTGTGGAATGTACGTTAGCCGGGGTGCGAGGGAGACATCCATAGCCTGTGCTCATACAGGTCCACATAGTCCAGCTGCAATCTCTCCAGACTGGCGTCAAGGGCGCCGGGTACATCTTTCCATCCTTCAAGGACTTTGGTGGTGATGAACAGCTGCTCTCGAGGGATGCCGCTCTCCCTGATAGCGATACCCACTTCGCGTTCCGTGCCATAGGAGTCGGCGGCGTCAATGTGATGGAACCCTTTCTCTAGAGCAGCTTTCAGCACCTCGATGAGTTCCGGATTGGTTGGATCATTTGGGTCATCCTTGTACCAGGCGGTTCCAGTCCCGAATCCAAGCTTTGAGTACAGTGTCAAAACATCATCGAATGGGGTTTGTGGGAATAGGAAGAAGCGGGAGAAGTCAGAGATGTTCGACGTACAATGGGAACCAAATTTCCATCCTTGAGAGAAAGAGCCGGCCACTTCATCATGTAATTCGGGGGATGAAGCAGAGGATCAAACAGACAGACCGGACGAGTGGGACAGGCGTGAACAAGAGAGCGGAGGGCAAACCAGCAACCCAAACCCAAAGCTTTTCGAGATCGGGAGGTTGACAACGGTGACAAAGGATGAAGGAAATGAGGAACAAAGGGGGTCAGATACAAAGAAGCATGGGTTTACACCCCCTCGAAGTTTGCCCGGGTGATCTGGACAGATACATTTTCGACGCAATAAGTTAGGGGATGCCATTCTACCCATCAGTTCCAATTTCACCACTGGCCTTCGTCGGCTCCAAACCCATCTTGATCAACTTCAGCGACTCTTAGAGGCGAAAAACTCGGCACACAGGACTTCGTCACTCGAACAGTTCTCCATGCAGCCGGTGCCGCCCCATCCTCCAATGCGATGTAGCACGATTCCATACCCACCGCATCCCGGGTTCTTTGGGCGGGAAGATATTTTGGCTGATATATCTGAAGGGTTCGACCGCCAGGGACCGCGACTGAAGTCCGTTGCCATCTGGGGTACCGGAGGCGTCGGTAAAACCCAAATAGCGCTCGAATTCGCAAATAGGCGGTGGTTGAAAGGATTCGATGTGATCCTGTGGATTGGCAGTGAGACGCCGGCCGAAGTTGCCAAAGCTTTCAGCGATGCTGCACGGGGCCTTGGCCTGGTCTCTGAATCAGAGCACAACTCGCCGGAAAAGAATCGCCATATGGTGCTGCAATGGATCCTGAAGACAGGTGAGATCCTCCCATGCATCGAAAGCATCGAACCCAGTGATAGTAACCCCGGATCCGAGAAGAGACGCCATGGCTGTTGGTTTTTGACAACGTAGAAAACCACGAAGCGCTACTGGAAAACTGGCCCTCTGTTGATCACGGCTGTATATTGGTAACCTGCCGCAGTGAGCTTCTTGCCAACTCAGATACAATTGCAACTCCCATCGAAGTTCCTCCCTTCTCGCCCGCTCAGAGTACAGACATGATCCTCCATATCTTGAACAAGAAATCTGTGTTCGAAGAGGAAGCTTCAGCAGTGTCCGAATTATCAAATAAGCTTGGAGGCCTAGCTCTGGCGATCGATATCATAGCTAAGCATATCAAATCCTCACGCAGGTTCAAGTCTGTGGCGGAATTTCTGCCTTACTTCGAGAAGAACAAAATATCAGTGTTCAAGAGACCCAAGCGCGGTGGCCGTGACGCATGGTACTCGAAGGGCGTTGAGACTGTTTGGCAAACGGCCTTTGGTAGCTTGAGTGACGATGCGGCCCAATTACTAGGCATTCTCTCCTGCATGGGACCAGAGGCTATTCCGCAGTTTTTGTTTGAGTCTGAGGGTCGAAATGAGCGTCGGCTCATCGAAGAGTGTGAACTTTTGACAGATATCGACAGGCTGGTATTCCCTTTCGAATAATGAGTTAAATCAGTTTACTGACCAAGGACAGACTTGAGGAGGCAAAGATGGAACTCCTCGATTTGTCTCTTATACGGATAAACACTGATACCGGTATCATTTCTGTGCACCGTGTTCTTCAGACAGTCTTCTTCAGCCAGATGCCACTCGGTCTTCAAGTGGCTTCATTCCATCACGCGCACGGTGTTCTTCGATCTCACTTCCCACAGCCTGGTCCGAGCCATCTGTATACTGAGTGGAAAGTATGCAACGATTTACATCATCACGTCCTTGCTCTCAGGGACCGATATGAGATACTCAAACTTGATGATGCATTCCCTGCCAATAACACGTCGTATATTGATCTTATTCGGGATGACGCTTTGTACGGTCCAACTCTTTGTTGCTGCAAGACGCGAATCATTCTCACCAATACCAGGTACATGATCGAAATCCAGCACTTTCTCGAGGCCGAGAGATCGTTACACTTAATTCTTGAGAACATAGAACCCGACTCTTTGGGGGCCGCCAAAATCCAGCGCAGCCTCCTCGGGCTCTATGAAAGGATGGGCCGGAGTGTGAAAGCCTGCGAAGCTGCCAAAGCGGAACTTGCAATTATGCTGAAGCATGATGTTCCAAAAGATAATGAGCTAGCTAATGGCTATAGCAATGTTGGCTATGCTCTTGTTTCAGCAGTCGATCGGCAGAAGGTATACCATACCTTGATGAGGCAATAGCGCTAGCACGATCTGTCCCAGAGCCTCAATCCTACCAGGATTATAACCTTGATCGGTTCTTGCGCAACAGAAGTAGTGGGAAGGCCCAGCTCGGTGCATTCGCTGGAGCATTGCTTGACTTTGACGAAGCAGAGCGCATTCAGACCAAGATCCATGGACTGAACAGCCACTATCATGGAGAGTATGTTGACCCCAACTTTCTATTTGTTGTTGTTGATGCGTATCCCTATTCACACCCTTCGTTGGAGTCTGACGCCCTACCAAAGAACCAAGCATGAACGATCAAAGATTGCAGCCCTCCAAGGTAAGCTTGATGAAGCATACCAGCTCAGCAAGGAGGCGCACGATCTAGTTTCTGTAGGAAAGCCGACGCACGCCAGCGTCATGGCCACACAGTACCGAATGGGCTGTATTGCAATGTTACAAGGCGATCATTATACTGCTTTAGAGCATCTAAAGAGAGCACTGGTGATTTCTCAACTGAATGAAGCACAGAGAGGTAACGCAGGCGAGTCATCGTGGGTGCGGTGGCGCATGGCTGAGCTCTATGAGAATGACGGAAATCTGGAAGATGCCCAGATCCTCCGTGATAGTGCCCTTGCAACTAAAAAGGATTTACTGGCGGGAGGGGAGTATGCTATCGTGGAAGATGCCGATGGATCATGGGGCGCCTTGGTAGGCCTACTTTACCGATAGAATAGAATACCCAAAAAGGAAATGGCACGTGCACCGGGGGATCGGCCTGAGGCGGCGATAACAGCCACTAGTCCCACTTGGAGTGGATTGTCCACTTCAACCTCTCTTGTTGTTTTGTTTGTCGACAACTCTCCGTCTCTGGTGAGGCATCTGTCAGATCCAGGTCGGACGAGCTGTTTCTTGTCTTCTCTATGATTCGCTGCTGTCATCCGTAAGACGAACCACCGATCGATCGACGTTTGGTCGCATCCCCCGCCGCGACCTTTATCCGTCCCCACCTGGGAGCTCTGACTACCTTACCTACCTACTACTACTGCTGCTGCTGGCGTTGCTGGTCTATCCGAATCGTTCCAATACTCTGGCAGTTTTGCGTGAACGGCCTCAAGCTATCACCGACGTCGTGGATTCGTGACTTCTCTGGATGCTCTGCGCTCTCCGTCAGCAACATGGCAGAGTCCAGCACTGCATTCACCCAGTTCAGAGTCAACTCTGATCCGGCTCTGTCATCGGAGGATGAGGAGTATGTGTCGAGTGCGAGCACCGCTTCAGCTGGCTCTGGAGTTCGGTCGAAGAAACAAGCGAATAACGTCCAAGGCGAGATCATGACGGCCTACGAGCCCATTCGCAACCTTTCCTTGACCGACAACCCATCTGTCTCGCCAGATGCAGGCGCCGCAACATCAGAGTCGAAGCGTGTAGACCCAGGGAAAGCATCGATACCCACCAGGAGACCCCTTCACCTCCTCGACCTTCCCATGGACATACTGCAGGAGATCATCAAAGAGGTGCGCCACCCCAGCCTTCCCCGCACCGGGATTCAGGTGATGCTAAATTAAACATCTCTACAGGTGACTCATACAAACGACCTGACCTCATTGGCATTGACATGTTCGGCGCTTCATGCGCTCGCTATTCCTCAGATGTACTCCCGCTTCGATATCGTATGGCCCGACACGCTCTCATCCTCTGACCACCCCGCGGGGGTCGATGCCCTCTCCTACGGTTTGGCCACCTTGGTGATGGGGCAAGACGTCTTCCACCAGCTACCCCCATCGCAACGTCCATCGCAACCCTGTCCAACCTGCGGTTGCAGCGAACGCGATCGCCACGACACAACACCAACACCGGATGCCCTACGGAAAGCACGGCGCGGGAATTACTACGCGCAGTACACGCGTAAGTTCTCCGTCGGCAATGGTCCGTTAGTCTGGGTGCAGGAATACGCGGTGACCAAGGAGACGGGCAAAATGCTGGGAACGCTGGTGGCATTGGCCGTGGCTCGAATGATCAACCTGGAAGCGTTCATCTGGGACATGCCGACCGGTGTGTTGCGAGATGTGTGGATTGCGCTGGCTTCGTTGGCAGATCGGCCCGGACATGATTGTCGTCTGGAGCGCGTCTGGGTGCGGTGGCATGATAACTCGGACAATGCGATGCGCCCCCTCCCCACTTCATCATCCATAGCGCTCCCACAGACACAAACCGCGTACACAAGTGGATCTCCGCTGATGCAGCGGTATGCGCATGTAGAATACCCCTCCATGTCCATATTACCCCCATTGAAGAGCCTGAGCGTGCTGGACATCGACGAAGTGGCGTATCTGGAAGAAACGGCCGTGCTCATCGACAAGTCCTGGGACAAGCTGAAAGAGCTACGCATCGGCATTTCCACCAAGATCTATCAGCTGGACTGGTTGAAACCTGCGGGGGGCTGGTCCCTTGCGCAGGACTTGCCCTATGTCTGGATATCTGGCTGGCCCAAGGCTGGTGGCGTGCTTGGAGTGTTATTCAGCGGGTCCGGCCTGAAGAACGAGCCTCAAGGAGCAGGCGGATGCTCTATGAAAGGTGATTGTGCGCAGGCAGAGCCGAGCCGCGAATCGGCCACACCGACTGGACCTACTACGGGAGGTAGCGGCAACAGTTCGACCGAGCCTTCATCATCGGAAAGTCCCCACGCGGCGCCTTCAAGCCAAGCGGGGCTTGTTGGCGCTGAGATGGGCAACCGGTCATCTACAGAGGCAGTGAATCCGTCACCGGAACAGAAGAACAGTACTGAGGCTCCTGGTAGTCCTGTGAAAACCGATGGGCCAACTGTGGAAGGACCAGCGAGCCCTGGCCGCGGCCCTTTGAAACTCGAAACGTTGGAATTAGAACGGGTGGCTTTGTCCATTCCTGTCATGACCCAGATGCTTGATTGGTCGAGAATAACGAGTCTGACAATCTTGCGTTGTGAAGGACACGAAAAGCTTTGGCGGGCTCTTCGACGTCAATTCACACCGTCCCCTGCGCCTCGCTCGGGCTCCAAGTCTGGAAAGAAAGACACCAGCAGCCCGATGAGTTCTTCGCCCGAGTACACGTTGAGGATTAAACATCTCCACACCGATGCTGTCTCTCCATATCTCTTGCTCTTCATCAAGGACGCGCTTGCGCCAAATACGTTGGAGACTGTGTTCCTGCACGACGCTTCCATGTACGACTCGATCGTGCATGTAGATGCGATCTACCGAAATGTCATGCGCAACCACCGGTCAAGCTTACGAAAGATCTTGATCGACAGTACCGAGCGCTCGCCAAGCGGCATCGAGATCGCGAGTAGCCGTTGGCGTAAGTGGATGTTCACGCGCGAGATGATCTCGTTCGTCACCAGCGGACGCATGCCTCGGCTGCGCGAGATATCCATGACGATCCGGTCCAAGGACTGGGTAAGTTGACTGTGCGCTGCGAGTTTGTTATACTAACCCGAGCTATAGCATTATTTCATCCAACGACTCCCCAACGTACCTCACCTCCGTGCGCTGCACATTTCTCATATCGCGGACGCCGTCCACCGCGATGCCAAGGAACTAGCTCTACAGATCTTGGACATCGTAACCATTCGGCCCGACATTGGCCTGACATACGTTGGCATGCAGGATAAATGCTACGAGATCATTGAGGGCAAAAGATGCGACAAAGACGACTTCGACGACGTGTATGTCCCCGGCGGAAGCGAGGATTGGCCCGCCTCCGACGACGACACCGAGGACGAGAACGACGACGATGCGGCGGCTAGTGTGGTCGACTCGAACTCGGAGCTGTCTTCTGACCGCGGGTCGCTATCTGACGACGAGTCCGATGCGGAGAGTCGTCGATCGCGTGTGACGTTCCGGTTGCGCGAGATCCTGTTCTACGACGATAAGATTGCTATCTTCAAGGCACGACACGGCATTTTGTAAATTGTGCTTTTGCTGAGAATTGGCGGGCGTTAGCGTACGAGATACCACTGTACTGGCTTGCGAATAGAGCGTGGAATCGATGATAATGATGTTGGTGGTGTAGACCGTAGAACGTCTCTAAGAATACGGTTAAGTAATCCCACGTGACCACAGCCTCTGATGGGCCGCACCGCCGAACATCATTCCAGCTCCAGTATGCACCTTCGGACGAACACTGGTCCTACGAAGCCCGGTCCCTGAAAAACACCCCAAGAGATCAGCTCAGCCCAGTCAATCTTCCTCTCTGCAAGACCCTCCAGCGTGTCCCCACGCCAATCCACCCACCATGAAGCTCGTCCGGTACGTCCCCGTCGCGGAATTTGCAGCCAAGCTCGCGCAGCTCAGGAGCTGCCACCAATCCGCCCATTGCCATCATCCAAAGGCTAACACGTTGTGACAGATTCCTGATGAAGTGCGCCAACGAGACGGTGACGATTGAGTTGAAGAACGGTGCGTCACGCTGCGTTGTGTTGCCTCCTCGCGTGCGCGACAGCAACCACCTTCCCAATACTCTCTCCATCCAGTGACAACTAATGTGTGGTACAGGCACAATCCTCCACGGCACAATCACCTCCGTCTCGCCGCAAATGAACACCGCCCTCCGCACCGTCAAGATGACCCCCAAGGGCCGCGACCCCATCTCCCTAGACACCATCAACATCCGCGGCTCCACGATCCGCTACTACATCCTGCCCGACAGTCTGCCGCTGGACACCCTCCTCGTCGACGACCAGCCGAAGCCCAAGAACAAGGCGCGCAAGGAGGCCGACCGCGGCGGCCGTGGTGGCCGGGGCGGTCGCGGTGGACGAGGCCGTGGACGCGGCAGGGGCCGGGGCCGTGGATTCTAATGTGTGAGCGAGGGCGGGGACAAAATTACTACTGAGAGAGTGCTATAGAAACATGGCTCAGGGAGTTTTCGCTGTTTTCTTTTTATCGTTTTGTTTGTTCGGGGTTTCGTTGGGTGATTTGCTATTGTTACAGCTATCGCACGGATGCTCTTTTCGCGCTACGATTGTTGACTGTCTCAGTCGGGGTTGGATCGAAGGTGGCAGGATCATGATACCGAACTAAATACAAATACAGACCGGTGCCAGCCGGATGAAGCACGTACGAGTACATTGTATCATATCTCATTAGACGTAATCTATCTCTCGCATGCGCATCCCATGCAGCTCTACCTATACATCCCGCCAAATCCGCACAATCACCAACTTCTCCCACCCAGCCTGCACCCCGCTATTCCCAACAACGACCGCATTCCACCCGTCTCCCCACGCGCAGATGCGCTCGCGCACCTCCGCCGGCCGGTTCTGCGCACACAGCAACACATACGCCACGCCGCGGCGCGGGTCCAGCATGTTCGGGATATCCTCCAGCAAGCGGTCCGTGGTCTCCATCCCGTCGCGGCCGCCCGCATACGTCAGCGACAGGAAATACGAGTCGCGCTCAAACTTGGCGGACCGCGACAGCCCGCTGGCGTCCTGCTCGCTCTGCTGCGGCAGCGGCGGCAGGTCCTCCGTCGGCACGTACGGCGGGTTGAAGAGGAGGACATCGACGGAGCGCGGGCGGAGCGGCGCGGCGAGGTCCGCCATGAGGGAGGCGGCGTAGACGGGGCGCGGTGGGGGGTGGTCGTGCTGGCGGTCGCGGATGGCCTTGCGGGCGGTTTCGCGGGTCGCGAGGCATGCGGTGCGGTTGACGTCTGTGGCGAGGGCGAGGACGTCGCGGCGGCGAAAGATGTCGTGCGCGTTGGCTGCGACGAAGCTGACGACGACGCCGGAGCCGGAGCCGACTTCGAGGAGGAGGGGGGTGGCGCTGGGCGTGGTGGTGTCAGGGTTGAAGCGTGCGGAGAGCCATGCGGATTCGGAGGCGGAGGAGAGCGTGTCGAGGAAGAGGTAGGAGTCTTCGGAGGGCTCGTACACGGTGTCGAAGGAGACGTGCGCGGTGCAGGGGGTGGGGAGCATGTTTGTTTTCTTGTACCCCTCAGTGTATGTGGGAAGCACAGAGAGTTGTAGAAATGAAGAAGTATTTGATACACATCCGGCCCCCGTGATTCGCCAATTGCCTCCCCGCCCCGATATCTCCGCCTCCGCCGCAGCCGCACTTCGACTTCTCCAATTCAGACTACTCTTCTCCAACTACAACTACAACTACCTACCTACCGTATAACTACCACCATGCGCATCTTCTCCCGTCTGCTCATGGCCACCCCGGCCACTATGGGCTCCAAGTCCAGCCTCAGCGAGGCCCTCGCGCTCCTCCCGCCGCTCCAGCTCTACCGCCGCATCCTCCGCGTCCACCGCAAGAAGCTCGATCCCGAGATGCGCGTCCTCGGTGACGGCTACGTGAAGAGTGAATTCCGGGCGCATCGGAACGTCGAGAATCCGCTTCATATCGTACGTCCAAGGGCGCAAGCATACAGTGAGGAATGATGGCTAATGATGCTAGATTGGGTTCCTTACGGAATGGCAGCTGTACGCGCAGAAGCTGGAAGGGGATACTTGGGTCGGCGAGAAACTGGACAAGGCGAAGCTGGACAAGATGAGCGGTGAGTTTTGTTTCTCTGTGTGGTGGACGAGATACTGACTGCGGATAGACCAGCAGATTGGGCAGCTGTACGAGCTTATGCAGGCGATTCAGAACCCGGATGGAGAGGGTGAGAGCGGCGAGGGGAATGGAAAGGGAAAGGCATGATTTCAGTGGATTTAGATATATGGTATGCTCAGTTGGGGTTGTGTCTGCCGTGTTGGAGAAGTTATGCCAGAGGCATGCTAGACCGAGCTTGACAGCGTATGGCGATGTATTATATTGTACGATACCTTTTATTGTATATAGTGGATTACCGAGTGCTCAATTGGTTCTAATCAATGTTGAATGACTCGACATAAGTTAGGGGGAATGACTAGGTTGCATCTGGAATCCTTCGATACATACTAATCTAGAAGCACCTTTCGAGACTTTTCTCGCTAGGTCACCCATGCTACTGCGACTCACAACACCGCCGCCGTCACAAAGACCGCAGACGGCTTCTCGATACTGGAAGACCTTCCGTACCAATCCTCCGAGTACAATGGAACCAAAAGCTGTGCCACGCTGTGCGGAGCCCTTCGGCAAAGGTTATAGTCCGCAACATTGAAGCCTATCTGCAAGATGGCCAGGATCCAGCGTCACGACGGTCGATTGTCCGAGGCCGGTTGTAATATACAGATGAACGCGTTTAGGTGACAGTTTATAAACATTTTGGTCACATGAAGAAGGTCAATTGGCTGAGGAATCCATAAACAACCAAGTGTACCATTCGTCGGCGACAGTGGTAAGCTAGACCCAGCCGGCCAGAACACAATATGAGCTCACACGGGGTCTTCACTATCATGAGCCAACCCCACTCCACTCGGGGACTTTATCGGGTCATTCATCGACCGACTGGTGATCCGGTATACCAGCTGACCATTGCCTTCAACATCGACCAGCGGCGTTCATCCCAAGGCGCTGGCTATGTTGTAGTCGGGATTAAAGACGTTGGATTCCGAGCGTCATTTCAGGCCGCTCACTCCACGCCTCCGACCAGGGATCCCAATAGGGACAGCTGATACTGTCATACAGCAGAAGAAAACGCCCAACTGTCTTCATCTCTGATTCAAACGCGATCCAGATTCACTCGCCGGTGTATTCATCATATTGATCGGCTCCAGGACGAACACTTGGCTCCCATTATCCTTTAGAGAGTCTCCACCGTCTCGAAGTATGTGTCTCTCCTCAGACGATTTGTGCGCAGCAGGTGCGAACATGGTCTCCATGAACCTATCCGACTCTGCAGCATAATGGCAACGCGATCGAATGGCAGGGCCAAACTTATAAAACAAGAAGGGCAACGGTACACACGCGAGGGCCAAGAACGCTAGGAGAGACGAGGCCCAATGAATCCCCAAGTCCTCGTACATAGAACCGGCAAAGAGAGGGAAAACGGCACCGAAGATTGAGCGGACTGCCGAATTGGCAGCAATCACAGAGGCAGCATAGATAGTGTAGGCGTCCACGAGATAGTTCAGTACCGGGAGGAATACCATCACCATCCCAAATCCAAAGGGCACTCCTGCGGCGACTGAGGCCATCCAATGCACCGAAGGGCCATTCGTCCAGGCGAACCAAAATAGACCAACCGGGAGGGAAATTGCGCCAATGAACGAATCAGGGAGGCGGGCCTCTGGCGGGAGCCGACCTATCGTAGCCAGGGTCTTCTTCTTATACCGATAATACATAGGGACTGTGGCGATGGTCGAGCAGAGGATGCCTATCAACATCCCAAGAAATGGAAGGCCGCTCATCCCCTCGCTCCAGCCTCTTCCTTGTTGGTAAACGATCGGATAGGCGGCGAACAGCAGATAGAGGATTCCGTAGATAATAGAAAGGTAGATAGTCAGCAGAAGGACAATGGGCTCACGGAAAAGCAGGGCCCACGGCCGGGACAGAGCCACTTTGAAGACTTCTGTAGGGGATGATTTGCCCTTCTCGATTTCTAGTTTGCTGCGGTAGGCTTTGCCGGTTATAGAGGACAGACGCGAGGCGCGTTTACTCAGTAAAACCGGCGCATAGGTTTCAGGCAGGGTGAAAAACAGAATAATCCCAACGAGTGCCGCGAAGGCCGCCGCAAGGCCCTCTACCCAGCGCCAGCCGGCCGACTCCGACAGAAATCCGCCGACAATAGGACCAAGCGTTGGTCCCAGAAATGGCGCAGCACTGTAAAGCCCACTTGCGAGCCCACGGCTGATCATAGGAAAGGTGTCGGCAATGATGCCGCCAGAAACGGCGAACGGACCCGATCCCAGGCTTCCACCGAGGAAGCGGAGGATAATGAGGGTCCACGGGTTCTGTGCGCCTGCAGCGCCGGCAGTAAAGATCGTCAATCCAACGGCGTTGATGACCATGATAGGGCGACGGCCATAGATTTCGCTGAGAGGCGCCCAAAACAGCGGCCCAACGGCGAACCCGAGAACAAACAGGGAGATTCCAAGTAGCGCAATTTCCTCGCTGATATGGAAATCCTCCGTCACCTCCACGATACTACCGGAATAAGCCGAGGAAACGAGGGCAACAGACAGGGTGCTGATTCCGACAAGGAACATCAGATACCATCGAAACACAGCCGAGAGGTGCATTGGATTGCGCGAGTCGTGCTCCAGCCAGCTAACCTCGAAGGGGTTCTCTTCAGTACCGGCGCCATTGTAGTCATGGTTGATGACTTCTGGGGCGACAAACTCCTGGTCGAAAATCAGGCGCCAGTAGGGAGCCTTGGTCGGTTGGGGTGCTTCACCCATCTTGCAATCCCGCCGTCTTCACGTTAGACCGTGAAGAAGTGTAGGATGCGAAGTTGGAGAAACAAGAGAGCGAAAGAAGCAAAGGAGTCCAGGGACTTTGGTTCAACCTAAACAGCCGTCATATGCTGCCACTTTGAGAAAAAAAGTCTTCAGTCTAGATACTTTGGTTAGCCGCAATGATGTAAAATTGGAGAATAAACATCTTACAAACTTGAATGAAGACTCTCTCCTTGCATTGAACCCCCTGGAGTATTTAGATAGAATTTAAAATTACCATGGAATCTCCATCATGGAAGTCATTTCCGGATCGAGGAAGAATGCCTCCCAGCTGGATGAATCAAACCCTCTAGGGCTGACCTACTGGGGAGTGGATCTGTATCGAGCCATTCTTGCCAGATCATCTCGAAATGAGTGCAGATCACTGAAGCTTGGAAGCTTCATGTCATGAATGGAAGGCCATGCATGACTCGTCATTGTGCTGTAGAAAGGGGTGATGCTTATCGCCAGAGCAGAAAGAAGCGTCCAGCCCTTACGTCCCGATCGGCTGGATAGATACGTGTACTGCGCAAGGAAGAACACGTTCATCGAGCATGATCGGCCTGATCTTGGTATGCAGCATACCTTGCCATCTTCGACACATGAAGATCTCTGGTGGGCTCGGGTCCACCATCTCACCTGGATGGGGATGAAGGTGTTTAGCGAGCACGCTTTGTGGGAATCTTGCGAATATTAGCCCAAAGAATAGTCATTCGGCCACAGTCTGTGGTAGTTCTTGGCCGTCTGAGATGCATGGTCCCTGGATCTGTCAATGTCGATGGTGCAGAGTAGATCGATCGTGGCTGCATGCTGGGGACAGCTGTGGGCCAGGGATTTGGAATAAGGCACTAGCGCATGATATATAGCATTTGCCAAATTAGTAACAGTGACTCGATCAGGAGTGATCGGCCACTCTATTCCGGAAGGAAGAGAAAGGCAAGGAAAGGGGCTCTTAGAATATAAGAAGAGTCGAGTAGATTGAATCGGATTGCTTCCTATGCTGATGTCCGCTCTAGTCCGGAACAGGCACCTGAACACCTCAGGCCGAAACTTTCATACAGGGAGACATCATAGACCACGATATATAGCACACGTTGCGTAGAAGTCAGTGATATGGTTAGATCCCAAAGAATAATCCCGAGGCGGACCATAATCAGTGTCCATAACTCGATTGTGTCAAGAATGATCTAGAGCACTTCGGCTATCTCCGATACCACCGACCTCCACAATCCTCCACGATCATCATCCACTCCAATTCCCTCCACCAGACACACAACACCACCCACACAACACCACCCACACAAAGACCTCCAGACGACAGTAAGAACAAGAAACAACACAATGCCCGCCCTCCTCGAAGACCCCGCTACTAAACTCCCCCCACCAACCGCCCACGCCTCAAGCGCCCCCCTCCTCCGTCCGCGCAAAGCCCTCCTCAAAGACCAATCCCCCGTAACCCTCTACCCAGTGTCGCAGGGTCCCAAGACCGTCCCCGCAGGCCTCATCGACCTCCTCCACCGCGAGTTCAGCGCCGAGATCGAGCGCGGATGCACCTATCCCATGGAGACGCCCATGGGGCGCGACCAGTTCGCCGACTACTGGTTCGGGACGTTTGCGGTTGTCGCGATCCTCGGAAATGAGGAGGGATTGCCGGAGGATCGCGATTGGGAGAAGGATTGCTTGGGAACGTTCTATGTCAAGCCGAATTATCCGGGTGGGTAATGTTATCTGATTTTGGGAGGGTGAGGCTGATACGGTGTGTCTAGGCCGCTGTTCGCATGTGTGTAATGCGGGTTTCTTGACCACAACGGCGGCGCGCAATCGTGGCGTCGGCATGGTCATGGGAGAGGCATATCTCGACTATGCGCCTAAGCTGGTGCGTGGATCTTCAGTGCGCAACGGACAATTGACTGACGAGATAGGGCTACAAATACTCCGTATTCAACCTGGTCTTCGAGAACAACGTCGCCTCTGTCAAGATCTGGGAAAAACTCGGCTTCCAGGTGATCGGCCGGGTGCCAGGCGCCGCTCGCTTGGCCAACAGCGCCGACCCCGTCGATGCCTTAATCATTGGAAAGCAACTCGTCTAAGTTGTAGGTCTATAGCGTATGCAACTCGCCATGAAGCTTAACGATATCATACAGAACAGCACCAACTGCTATGTATAAAACCAATCAATTGATACAGATACACCAGACTCCCGGATCGCAACAAATCGACGCTAATGACAAGACAATGCGAATGGGGAATCAAGCAACAATCAAGGCAGTCTGCCCTCAAACGAAGGGGTATATGACACCGCACGGCTCCCGTAACCGCAATGCACATGATACATGGAGAAGAAATGATCACAAGAGTAAAGGGTTCAAGTAGAAGACAAGCCACGAAGAGAAGTTAGAAGATATTGTGTCAACCTGTCGGTTATCCAGGATGTGAATCAGCCTAGCGCCAAGGAGGGCGCTCGCTCAGTTTACTGCGGTTTCCCGCCGCACTGTCTCGGCCAGACCGAGCCTTCGGCAACGGAAGCAGACTGATCCGACGGCTTCCCGAATGTCCCAGGGCGGTCCCCGGACGATCAGACTTGGTAGGGCTGAAGAGACCGTGCTTTTGCTCCTGTGACACACTGCGACTGAACGACATGCCAGCATAGCTCTGTCGATTGCGTGGGGTGGTAGGGAAGTTTTCTTGTCCGGCGGCTCGTCGGAGCTTACTGTAAGGAGGAGGATCGAGGATGGAGCGGTTCGGGGTGGGAGACTCTGTACGTCCAGGACTCCGCGATGCCAGACGGCTGGAGAGTCGGCTCGAAGACCGCCCTGCAGACGGCGCAGGCGATGCCGTTAGATCACGGCGGGAGAAGCCGGGAAGAGTCGACGAAGGCCGAGACAAGGAGCTGGATAACTTGCGGAACGCCGAGGGGCTCGGTGAAGGTCGGTAAGCGTGCCCGACGTCGAGGTCATTTGTGTTCGTACTAGCATTCCATCTAGGCCGCTTGTCCAGAAGGGACGTAGGCTTTCGTACGTGACCGACATCCAGGTCATTGGTGTTTGTACTCGAGTTCCATCGGGGGCGCTTGTCCAAAGAGGATGCAGGACGAGATGGCGCCTTGCGCGCGGCCGGAGTGGGCGTATTCGCGACAGAAGACGGTGCGGGAGACGGTGCTACAAGCTTTGGAATGGCGGACTTCTTCGCCGTTAGAGTCGTCGGCGGTTGCGCAAGCCCAGAGTACCTGCGAACCTTGGAAAGGGTCGACCGAGCAGCCGAACTCACAGAGCTACCGCGCCAACTGGAACTGCCCAGGGGAGTGGTGGCTCCTTTACGCGCATTTCCAGGCGTCATGACGACCGACGAGGCAGGAGAACTGCCAGGAGTGTCCACCACACTGCCTGTGGCCGGACTGTCCATGGTGACAATCGTCGATATCGAATCGCGCAGTTGTTGACCACCGGGGATGTTCAAGTCCTCGATCGACGAGTCCATCACGTTGATGCTGGCCTTCAACGCGTCAACCTTGTCCTTCATGTGATTCATGAGCATCACAGTCTCGCCGTTGACCGTCAATCGATCGCTGACACCCTTCTGGATGATGGAGATCACGCGCTCAATAGCCGGTACATAATGCTGTTTCTTCGCCTCGTAGCTCTCGATTCGCTTTGCCAGGCTTGCGGGACTATGCACGTGGGCTCCCGACTCAATGCTATCCTGGAGCTTGACGATACTTCGCTCGACGGACTCAAACATTTTCTGCGCCTGGGCACCCGCGTTGCGGAAAACGAGAATCCACCGATCCTCGCTGAACTCTTTACGCAGAGACTCCGCTGCGCGCTCCAGGGACCGGAAGTTCTCTTCGAGCGCGCTTCGTCGATAGTCGATGTCTTCACAAGCGCTGGGATAAACGTCCTCGGCGCGGGACTGGAACATGGAGAGTCGCATGGGGAGGAACTGGATAGACGCTTTCAAGGGCTGAAGCCGGGCGAAGACCGCGATCAGGTCGGATTGGCCCGCATCGTTTTCCGGGGTCTGAATGATAGGAGTGTCCGTAGCCGGCGGCACAACGAAGATGGAGCTTACACTAAGACGCCTATTCGAGGACGTCCCTCCGTTTGACGGTGTTTCTTCCACAATGGTCTCCAACTCGCTGATATCCAAGCTGTGACTGTTCGGTTCCTGTACGTTCGGCCACGTGTTCATCATTACATTGTGGCGCTTCTCTTCGATGTCGTAGAGAAGCTGGGTCAGCTCGGCGACTTCCGTTTCCACCTCTCCGAACACAGTGTTCCACAGTTCTTCCCACTCCATTGCCAACTCCACATGGCCCTTGATCTCGCGAAGTCTGGACTTCACGTGCGCCCAGTTTTGCAGGGCGCTGTCCATATGGCGGACGATGGTCTCTAGATGGTCGGAACTAGCCTCGGCAATGTCGTCGCGAGCCTGTACGTCTTCGATGATTTTCACATAGGAGTTGATGAGGGCGTCGAATTGGGAGATCGCCCTGTCGATCGCTTCCGTGCCTTCGCGGCCGCCAGACGCAGCCCAATCTACCTCATCATCCACCTCCAAGCCACCCATGATGGTGGCGGCCTTCTGGATCCACATCTGGACATTTTCCCCCGTGCCCACGACTGCTTTCACGGCGGCGGGTGCTCCAGATATGGAGGCGATGCTTGATTCGAGGGTGGACGGTTGCGGGAGGGCGATGGCGGTCAGCTGGCTCACCTGCTTGATGAACGACACGCGTAGCGAGGTGAAGGAGTACATCGACGCAGGACGGCCCTTCCTGAAGAATTGTAAAGTACTATTCGATGCGCCAGACGGAGGACGCTGGTCGTCTTTGGGTGGGGGAGGGGGGGGCATAGCCTCGCTGTCACGGGTATCTTCGACATATTTCTCGTAATCAGTCTGTTCGTGGGGAGTTGATTCCATCTCAGCAGCGGGTTGTATGTCTGTTGGGGGTAACGGCTCGACTGCCGACATGGTCGTTGAAGCGGGTTCGGTGTCCTGAACTTCTTCCTCCTCGAATCGATCGGGTTCCTCCGAAGTTTGTTCCTTGGGTCGCGCGCCTTCGGTACCCTCCTCCAGATCGTCGGAGAAGGATGGCTGTCGCTGTTTGTGTCTTCCAGTCAAATGTAGAGCATGCCAGGCGCGGCCTTTCTTCTGGATTTTGATCGAGAGGTCCTGATGCTGGCTATCTAGCTCCTTGAGATGTTCCTCTGGAATACGACCCACGGCACCGGGGCTGTTCCGGGAATGCGCTGTCGTCCTACTACTTCCGTCGAGGAGTTTCACGCGTGCTGCAAGCCCGGGAGACAGACGGCGGAGGATCGATGGACGGATGAGGGATTTCTCGGGCCCAAGGTCGGTGGTGTCGGAGTGATCGTCCTCGTAAGCGCTGCTGCTTCCGAAGCTTCGCAGACTTTGAAAGGATGATTTCGACGCGATCTGTCGCGGGGGAGAGTCGGCAGGAGCGGAGATAGACACCGCGGGGGGAGGAGGTGGAGGAGGTGGTGGCGATGACGACGGCGATGATGGTGAGAAGGACAACACGGATGAGGGAGAAGGAGGGCGATGAGGGTCGGAGGTGGGCGCAGCGGAGATGGTCGATGTGGTGAACATGGCACGTATTCACTGTCTGGTCCACTCGGCCAGCGCCCTGGCCGTTTTGTTTTGGCGGTCGTTGCGGGAGGGAAACCAACGAAGGGTGAATTGTTGGCGGCGTTGCGGAATGTGGTCGACGGGGCGCAAGTATGTCTCCCTTTCACCCTAGAGGGTTCGAGTGGTGAGGAAGGGTGAGAGTGGGCGAGAAAGGGAGAGGTGGTGAAGAAAGGAAGAATGGAAACAGGAGAAGAGGAGGAGGAGGAGGAGGAGGAGGAGAGAAGGTGATCGGCTGTTCTCATGAGAATCACCGCTCATGGGAAGTGGCCACAGGAGGTACCCGTTCGGCCTAAGGAAATGGGTGTCACGACAGGTACCTCCTATACATCACCCCTTCGGTCGTCTGGATCTACCCTGGGATGGAATTCTCCTACGGCGCTATCTCCTCATAAGTGACACAGATTATTGTCTGCAAAAAGTCGATACTCTCTACCCTTTACCAATCTATCAATTCATCACCATGAAACACCCACCGCTGGGATAATTTCCCATGATACCGGTAATCCGCGGTAAGCTCCGGCCTCGCATTTATGGGCATAAAGATGAGTACCTGACTCTTTGGGCAGACTCCACCGTACCAGGATAACGGAAATCAACAGATTACTGTAATCGTCCTGGTGAACAATAAAAACAATAATAGTCATCGGAGATAGAAAGGTAATAAGCCCCGGTAGTCCCTAGGTAGTGGGCATATCGTATGTACAGTGAAGAATAGATAGTCAATATATCGCCAACCACTTCTGCCCCCATCTCAATCCCATCTTATACAACATCACGTAACACGTCAAATCCAAGAAACAAATCCCAACGGCTGACAAGCAAGGGGTATCTTAAGTGGCCAGCAAACAAACGGAAGACTCGGGTCCCAGTGACCCCGAATACGTGGTACCACTCATCAGGTACCAAACAATCTCACCTTCTCTCTGATCCAACCGCCCAACTCACTCCGCGGCCGATAGCTTCCTGTCAGGCCCTGCAGACCTGCCCCAGTCCTGCGTCAGCTCCTCGCGGACCGCCTTGCACCACGCAAGGAGGGTGGCGTCGAACTGCCTCCAAGCCTCATCACTCTGTCCGTGCACCACCGCCATGACGTCCATCTCCAGCTTCGTTTCCCACCGGAGCTCAGCTGCCTTCAGCCAGAAACGAAGGTTCTCGGCACACCGGTACGGTTTCCCCACGTCCTGATGGTACGACTTGATCTCGTAGAACGGGCGCTTCGACTTCTTCACCGCTTGATTGTGCACCCGGACCAAATCACGGCCATCGCGTAGGCGCTCCAACAAGGGAGTCGGTAGCGGCCCCTCGTTTGGGGACGACCACTTCGGCAGGGGTGCGTCGCCTGTGATCAAACTCCGCAGGAACGCTTCTTCCCGTTCCCGTTCCCGGCCGGACCAGTCCCCTTCCATCCACGACCATCCCTCCCGCTCCTTCGCCTCCAACATCTCCAGACGTTTCTCCTCCCGCAGCATGTCGCGAACGTTGGCCATCCACCCAAGGATCGACAGTCGCTCCTCATCGCGCAGTCCGCCTACAAAGTCTCGAGATGCCCACCGTTTCAGGACTTCCAGCGTGTTGAACAGTTCCTCCCGGATCTCGCGTTCGCTCTTGATTGTCGCCAGTCGCTCCGGACGCTCGTGTGCCGTGTAGTAGATCTTCGCCGCCCGGATCGCCAGCGTAACCACATCCAGAATGCGCATGCCTTGGACCTCATGCCAGCCCTGCGGCGTGGCCTCTGAGAGCTTCCGTTGGACCTCAGCATCCTCATCGCCGTCGGCAACATCTTCGGAGGAGAGGCTGATCCGCGGGATGTCTGGCGGGGGCGCAGACAGCGATCCAATTCTCTCGATACTCTTCTCCGCTCTGCCGAGGGCGTCCAAGAGGTCCTTCCGCAGGGCCATCAGGTCCGGGGGCGGCGGGATGTGGTGCGTCTTGATACTGTAGGTGCTCACGGTGGGAGGCAGCATGACCTCGCCGTCGTCTATGGCGCCCTCCTCGTCCGCAGGGTCGAAGCTATCTTCCGTGGGACTAATGGTCAGGTCATCGTCGATGAACCGCGCATTGGGCGTCAGTAGCAGTCGGGGGACGTCCTCCGGTTTCTTCTTTTTCTTCCATTCGCGGGCGTGACCGCCTTTACCGTCCAGCAGTCCAGTGCGGGCGAAGTAGTACTGCAGATGGGCGATACTGCCAAGGCTCATGACACTTTCCCGGTTTTTGGCCGACTCCGCAAACTCGGCCCCCTGGGGACGGATGTATCCCCGTCTCTTGGACGATACGGATACGGACGATCGTGCATCGGCCGAGGTAGCGGAGGAGGTCGACAGGGAAGAAACGGTGGAAAACGTCCGGTCCGGGGACGGACAGGAGGAGATGGCGGGCGTTGGCGGGATGGATGGGGAGGGCGACGAGGCACGGACAGGAGGGGCGACGGCCGCAAAGTCGGATTCTATAGACTCGTCCATTATAGGGGATAGGTTCTGGAGGGCGTAGATCGGTTCTTGTGGTGTTGACTGGCGACGGATAGTTATCGTCTGTAGGAGTTTCAATAGTCACACCCCCGTCAACAGGGTTGGAGGTGTTAGATATGGGTCACTCCCAAGGAGGTAAGGACACGGTCGAGATAATTAAAAATAGAGACCCGGCCCTCGGGTGACTTGGGGGCAGACGATGGATCGACAGAGAAAAGTCGTTATGGACGTTGCGAAAGGGGGAAGAGCGAGTGTTTTTTTCCACCACTTACTCCACTAAAAGGGGAAGCGGGTCAATAGTGTCACGTCTCTACTTCCCATATTAATAGAACTGGCCGGATGAATGAAGCCGAGAGGGAGATGCGCACCAATCGGGTCCCTGTGATGGAGAGGAAATTTCCGGCAGACTCTGTAGGACTAGCAAACCCCTGGAGACGACATGGAGAGTCGAGATGGTAGTTGGTAGTACGGAGGAAGAGGAGGCGGAGGGAATCATCAAGCAATCATGATGAGGTTGTTGCGACTTTGCTGTTTGGGGTTTAGCGTGGCTCGGGTGCCTGAGGCCCCGCATTTTCCCGGATGTTTCCAGAATCCTTAATCTATTCCTCTTCCATTCTCCATCTTCTCCCTTACATTATTATTAGGTATCCTGGAATATGCACATTGATCACGGTCCGTATCCATGATCCAATTTGCTAATTTGGTCGCGACGCCAGCTCAGCGACTCCACCGGTCCCATCCAGCTCCGTCACCGGCTTGACATCCGTCTGCACCGGCGCAAAAGCCTCCGGCTGGATATTCGGTAGCTGCATATGCGAGGCTACAACGGCTTTCCTCCTTTGTCTTCTCTCCCAAAAGGCCCATATCGCAGTCGAGATGGCAATGACTCCCAGGGGAACCCCTACGCCAGCTCCCACCGCGGTGGCATTCGTACACTGAGACCCAGAGGTCGCCTCGCAGGATGTGGTCGCGCCGACTGTGTTGTCCGACGAGATGGTGGCATTGGCCAGACCGGCACGGCCAAAGATCAGCTTGCCGTCGGGCATAGTGAAAGGGTCGCTTCCATCGGCGCAGGTGCTGATACTGTTGTTCGATCGCTGGTATCCGCAACAGTAGAGGGACTGTCCCTCGTCGTTTTTTCCAATGCAACTAATTGGGCCGGCTGCGTTCTGGCTTTGGTCCACTGGTTCTGTTAGCATTCTCCGATCACAGACTAACCCAGGAGGTCGCTCCTGACTGAATCGCGTCACTCACGGCAGCTTTGTGTGCAAGAGCTCCCCCAGCTTTGGTCCGTACAGCTTCCGCGATACAGGTTGTATGGTTGGGTGCCGAATCCGGCGCAGTATCCATTAGACAGGCAGAATGCCCCCTCGGCGCAGCAGAATGTGTGCTCGGCGTCCGTGCAGGGCACGGCCCCTGGCGCTGCTTGCTTGTTGGGATGGTAGCAGGTTCGGGCCCACGTCGGGACGACGACGATGCCCACGAGCGTCCAGGCGCTTCCAATACGCATGTCGTAGGGTATATATCATCGAATTGAAAGCGAGGACGAGAAGAAAGAAGAGCGAAAATCATCGAGAAGTCAGGAGTCAGAATACTATATGTTGGTGATACGAGAGATTAGGTTCAACACAGCCCCCGCATAACTACCTCCATAGGTAATGAACGACTAGCGCTGCGTCTAGCAGCAGCCTTTCCGCTTTACATGCTCGACACCAAATCAGCCTCGTTGTCTCTTACGAGTTGGCTCACTTATGTGGTCTCTGCCGAGCAGACAGTCTGCATCGTCTAAAGCCGGTTCCGCCGTTGTTCCTGCACCTTCGCGGGCAGTAGGCGCCGCAAGATTTTGCCTGTGGGACTCTTAGGCAAGGCTTGCAAGTGGAACACTCCTCCTCTCAGCTTCTTGTAACCTGCCACCCGACTGTCCATCCATTGTCGGATACTGTCGAGGGTTTTCTGTATTTCGCTCTCGCTCAGGCTGGCTTTTTCCGGGGTCAGACTGACATATGCCAGGGGCACTTCAGTCGCCTGTGCATCGTCGTAGACGGCGCAAACAGCGGCGTCGGTCACGTCCTCGTGGCGGAGAAGCATATCCTCCAGCTCGGAGGGGGCAATTTGGAATCTATACCAGTTAGTAACGACACAGCCTCGATGGGGGTTGCGGTCTTACCCTTTATACTTGATCATCTAGGGGGTGAGTGTCAGACCATCCGACCTTGATCAGAATGCAGAATATAACTTACTTCTTTGAGGCGATCCGTCACCCAGAAATTCCCATCGGCGTCAACTCGCATGACATCACCTGTCTTGAGCCAATCGTCGAAAAAGCTTTCCTTGGTAGAGGCTGGGTCGTTGCAATAGCCCCTGGGAACCCCTTAGCCATCACCTTGTCAATGAGACTACACAGTTACCTACATCATGACCTGCGGTCCACGAACCCAAAGCTCGCCTTCTTCTCCGGGGTTGACATCTTTTCCGGTGTTGGGGTCAACCAGGCGAGCTTCCCTGGTAGCTGTCAATCGACTGTGGCATCGCCGAGCGAACTACGGGTGAAGGTGACTCACGTTCCCGCAAAGAGCTTTCCTACACTGCCGCAGCTGGATTCCTCGTCATACAGCTGATGCGTGACCCCGGGGGAGCATTCGGAGAGGCCGTAACCTGCGTCTTGTCAACGTAGGGCTCCCATCTATGCTAGGGTATCTTGCGACCCACCTTGGCAAATGCTCGCTTGTGGAAGTCGTTCTTTTAGCTTTCGCTGGAGTGACACCTGCAAGCCGCTGCTTAGTATTGATAATCAACTCTCTTAAGGTGGCGGTATATACCTTCAACGGAGCAGCCGCAATCACCACCCTTTCAACCGAAGAGAGGTCGTACGACTGCACACTGTGCTCGTTGGCTAGAGCAAGAGCCACTGGTGGCACAAGATGCATGTCAGTGGCCTTGAGCTCTGCCGCTTTCCTGCAGAATGGCCCGAGCTCGAACGCCGGCAAGCCATAGTACAAGCCTCCAACCCACATGCCACAGATGACGACCGTAGCTAGTCCGTAAATATGGCAGTCTGCCGGGGTCATTAGCTTCGTCGGAATCCCTAGCTCCTTCGGACAAGACTCACATGGCGGGAACCACACTTCGCGGATACCAGAGTGAAACCTCAATGGCATCGAATTCCGCATTTGGAGAGTGTTCATGATCAAGTTGAAGTGAGACAGGAGCACGCCTTTCATGTTCCCCGTGGTGCCGGACGAGAAACAGATCGTGCTCGGGACCTCTTTGGCGCTTTTGCCATGGAGGTCATACGGGGGTAGGCTTTCTGCGTCATCTTTCCCGACGACATCGTTCGGGAACTGCCGCCCCTCGTTAACTCTGGCCCAGGTGCAGATCTATAACACTTACCCGAGGAATGTTGCCTGTTTTGCTCAGAACAGTGAAGATCTTTGGATTGACCGAGGCGACCGAGGCCGCTGCACGCTGCACTGTTTCCATCTGTGATTCAGTAATAGCAACGTGCGTAGGACGGACAAGGTTGAGCACATGGGCGACATCCTTCTCAGTGGACGCCGTATTCAGCGGTCTATGGGTGTCTCTATCAGCTGGACGCCTGACCCGATGTCTGGGTGATTGTGTACTCACGCAAACACAGCGCCGGCCCACCACGTCGCATGAGCAAGAAGTATAAATTCATTCTTGGTTATCGTCAGCAACATAATGTCGCTGCGTATCTCACGAGAACGTACCGAGTTAGGAACAAGGGCAAGCACGGTATCTCCCGGCTTGACGCCCAGCCTGTGTCGCAGCCCCCAGGCAGCACAACCGGCCTGCTCACGAAGCGAGCCATAGGTGATGGCGTCTGCGGAGAAGGTATCACAATGGACGACTTTATTCGCTGGTACGCCGTATGGATTGTACCTGGTCATGAACTGCGGGATGGAGAGTGACTCGACCTCCCATAGGGGGCTGAAGTCGGACTTGTATACCTGAGCCATCACAGGTTGGTGTAAATGTTCTATTGAGTACTCGTTTGCACTCGGTTACTGGGCACGCTATAGTTCTGCAGAGGTTATTGACAAGGACAGAATGAAAAAAAAAAAGCCAACTTGGCTGATCTACGTCTACTCATATACACCAACCCCTGGACCCACCGGTGTTTGCGGATTTACCGATTCATGTAGCAGACTCGACGTTTTGACCGAGCCCGGCTCGGTACACGGCCGTTGCTGACATTGAGATCCTCGCCTATAGTGGGTGCCTCGGCCGGATATTCATCATATTTACTATCCAACAGGGCTTGCAGGGGATACAAATCTCCGTGGAGTCCATTGCAGAGGTTAAATTAACATGTGTCTGATACCTTAGTTATCTATATTCGTTACAACGGGAGCCGGGTTCTTAGTGATTTGAATAGTCTATCTATGTACGGAGCAGGGGCGGTGGGAAGAGTAGATGTGTCTCGGATAGCACGGAAGTTGATCAGGTCTCCAGTCGAGACAGTTGTTCCACGAAGGATTCGATTGATCAACTTATAAAGTTAATCGAATTATTTCAATTCTTCAATTGGATACACGGGGCATCTCGACAAGGGTCAGCACCCAACATATCGCCACTCCTGCACATAGTAAACGTCAGTATATATTCCACGGAAAGAAATGCTACCTGAAATGCAGTGCATGTTTAATCGTTCAGAAAACATATATACTAATCAAAAAGACAGCGTACTTAAGCAACACGCTGTCTTCATTTCGGCGAGTGAAAGGTTGTCATCATTGAAGGGGTCTGAGAGATAAGGTAGTAAAAAGGAGACTCACAATGATATATACTGTAGTACAGGACTCTAGGCACTGGACATATTTGAGATAGGCATATTGTGAATGATTCGCGTTCTCCGCATGTTACAGTTCCAATATCTTGTTCCGCAACTAAGCTTGCATTAATATATATACCGGCTTATCTACCAATGTTCTCGACACGAGCAAAGGCGAGTGGATTACCTGGCAGACGTGATTTGGCCATTGACTCATGCTCTAGGTGATTCATATGTTGCATAAATGAACACGAGCCTTGATGCGTCAGATCACATACTCACATGCTTCAGTGACACATCATCACTTTGTCTCATATAATTGGACGGGAAGGAGTTGGAAGTAAGCACGAAGGAATCGAAGGATGAGCGTGGCTAAGCCAATCGGAGGATTACGCTCTATCAAACCGCTCAGGCAGGAAAGCTTGGGCTATAGTATGTTTGAACCGGGGTATTACATCCTCGACCAGGCTCTTTGACTGATAGACGTCCACACTTCCTGTTAGCACTTTTCTCTGTATTATTAATTTATTCATCAGACATGCATCCTCGTATTCTAGCCGGAATCCGGGGTCCAATAGCTCTATTCTATATTTTACACAAGGCATAATTTATGCTCATCGTCGTTCGCCTTGCCCAAATGAAAACCAGAGCATTTGCTCACTCTCTAGCAGCACGAACGATTCATATCGCATCCCCCGCTCTGATGGCTGTGTAGGATCGCGTGTGATGTTCATCGAGACTTCATTCCATCCCTCCCATAACGCTCTCCAGTAACATGCCTCAGCGGCCGGCGTTAGGTATCGCTCTCGAAATGTCTTGACATTATTACCGGCTATACGTTGTGCCTTCTCTAAATCGTTCAGCAACTCGTCCATTCGGTCCGGTAGATCGGAAAAGTCTCTTTCAACTTCAACGTAGTTCTGTTCAGGACCTGAGGATACCAAGAGATAGTGGTGATGCTGAATATATTGCAGCTTATGTGCAACGATGACGGAGCGACAGGCGTGGCGATATTTGAGAGATGCAGAATAGGCGCGCCCTAGTGTTCTGTGAGCCATACGAAGCAGAAACAATCGCAAGGTAACACAGTTACTGACCTTCAACATGTCCGATAAACATATACCGGCAGTGGTCTTCCATGGTCAAAAAGTTCTCCTTGTTACTCCACTCCAACTCCTTCACGTCGCCCCAAGGCTTGCCGCGCGCAACATCCAAAAGTGCTCGACGGAGCTTCGGTGCAAAGCTCAGCTTTCCTCTCTCCACACGAGCTTTCGCTCTTTATCCATGAAATCTATGTTGGATTCAGCAGCCTGGATGCGCTCTACTACCTGCCCGTACGGGCCGATATGACTCTTCGCCCAGGACCAGTATCCGAAATCTGGCATCAAGAATACCGACTCTTCGGAGACCTTCCTTGACACCACCCAGACCGGATGGCCGGTAGCGTCGATGTCGTCTACCCGGTCTTCAATAGAGAAGACAAACTCTATTGTAGGGAGAGAAAGACGAGTCGGAGACGACGATAAGGCACGGTATATAGACCCCAGTGTGGCCAGGATCTTGGTGCGATGATCCTTCCCTTTTGCCTTGGTGGCCACTATATACAACTCTCCGTTAGAAATGATGGCGCGGGCCATGCCGCTTTCGAATGGAATTGCATCCAGGTCATCTTTTGATATCCCTCCTCGCGGCTTCCAGTATTGGACAGCCCGGCTGATGTCCTGGAAAAGGCCGGGGAACGACTCGTCGCATTGATTCTTGTTCAAACCCAGGGTCTGGTCGTCTCTTCCATATTGGAAACTCCACGGTGCAGGGTGTTCCGGGTTGGAGGAGCGTGGCGAGGCCAGACAGGTAAGACAGTCAGCGCATTGAAATGAAGTGGATGATTGGCAGGTACAGTGACCTGCTGGGATCAACTGTGTAAGAAGAGGGGAGACGTTGTCGCGGTCCGAATTCATTGCAAACCACATCGAGCAGACGAAGAGACCACCGGTAGCGATGATCACGGCCACTATCATCCGACGAAGAGAGCACCAGCTGCCCCATGATGCGTTTATGGTGGGCATGCCACTTTTGAAGGTCTGCATGGACTGATATCCAGGAGTTCGGAGGGATTGAGAGGGGGGAGAAAACTAGAGGTGGACCTAGAGCCCATAATGAAGTATATTCCTCATATTAGTGAGAATCAGGGTCTGTGGAGGACGATGAACCCGAATCGAGATCCAATCGATTTGGATACCCCCTTAATTTTCTAGGGCACGTCCTAGGCCACCGTAAGGGCCTGCTAGCCTGATGAACAAACAAAGAACAAGCAAGCAAGCAAGCAATCAACTACTCGCCCCAACCCATGTCTGCGCCCCATACCTGAAACGGTAAGTCGAGTCCACCGCGAAAGGGGCCAAAAATCTGAATCTCGCTAGGATCAAGATGATCCACCGGGGTTCTTACCGCAGTGTTTCGAAGATCGACCTGTATGTTGATGATTAGAAGGATCGAGAGACCCATATCCAACAGAGCCTGCCTCGACAAGTGTCTAGAATAGCATTTGAGACTATCTAACGGTAGGATATTGTTTCAACTCATTGGACCCCTGCCAAACTGATCAGGGATCTTACTTGAGAATACTACCCAAGACAACGCGAGCTACACTAAACAAGCGCACGGATAAACGGGTCGGGAACACCCGCTTGTCTCATTTTACAAAGGAGGAGCTTGGATTGTTCACTGCGTGCGGCTAATTAGAACATGCACTTCGCCAGAGTTACATCTGGTGTATGTGTGGGTTACTCTCGCAGCTCCCCTGGATATTGGTCCATTAACAAACCAATGGTACCATTGCCGGAACATGCGGGTAAGAATAACGATCGTGGATGAGTTCTGCTGGTGAGGTGTTAATGTGTACAGTATGTGATCTTCGTTATATATATAGGCTCACAATATAAGGGTCTGGAGGCTCTTTTAAGCTTATAGCCCTACGAGATTGCTCACAACAGAGAATACCCCTACCGTAGCGTCAATGCCCACTTCAGTAAAATCCCAATATATCTGTTTTGTCAATCCATCGTCTTACCACGGAGCTTACAGTACTGAGAAGGAGTACATTGTTAGCGATGTTCATCTTGAGGTTGCATTTCTGGCTTGGAATGTCTAGTAAGCCGCCCCACCCCCTTTGGGATGTTGATCGGCTTCCCCTCAACCAGACCGTCCATTTCAACAACAATCTTGACCAACACCACCACCACCAAGATGCATTCCTACTCTGACATTGCAATGCCCGTCTCACAAGCCTGTGCAGATCCCCGACTCTTGCAGCAGCCACCCCCGGAGCCTCCTCAGGAGCTCCTCGCAGGGAATGATGATCACCGTCTCACAGAGATCGTCTCAGCCTTGCCCCCGCAGCAGAGAGCAGCCTTGCACTGCCCAGGCGGCCCTCAATTAAACTGGAGACCCTTTCGAGTCGACTGTCACCGACCCTGATTATGATTCTTTTTTTCCCACACCATGCGATATACGTCTTTTAAGAAGACTGGCGCCATGCCCGAATGGGTCCCGCCGTCGCTAAGACCGCTGGCCCTCATTTCTCTCGCCGTGTGTTCCTTCGGAATCATCGCCGCTCTGGAGGTCCTGCGCCATTACACCGTCGCCCAGGTCTTATCACCAAACAATGATGGCATCCTCTTTTCTGCCAGATACTTGCCCACTCTCGCCATTATCGCGCTGGGCTACGTCGTCAAGGGATTGGCCTCTGATCTGAAAAAGGTCACCCCATGGGCCAATATGAGCGGGAAGTGGGCTAGTGGCAGCCATTCGGTCCTACTGGATTATATCAATGCGCTGGAAATCGTGGCGGTCTTCTCCGCGTTACGCAAAAAACACTGGGCCGTGTTTACAGGCCTTGTGTGTGCTTTCATCTGCGGCGCACTCGTCCCTCTGGCCAACGCGCTCGCTTACGTCGACTTATTCGCCCCCAGGAATATAACCACAACATTCACCCAGACGTCGGCTTTTCGTTTTGACAATTCGCCTCTGGTTATGGCCAATGACTCTCTGACAATACCCTGGAACACCACCGGGACGGAGCCATATGCTCGAGCTATCTCCCAGCGCTTTGGAGGCGCTCCTCGCACCCTGTGGACGACCAGTAATTATGCTTTCGACCAGTTTTCCGTGCCCAGCGTACCGAATGCAACCGCTACTGCCCGAAGTGAATGCCATCGCCGCAACACTAGACTGCCAACGCCTTCGGTACAACCACACGGTGGCCGATGGTTACCCTAGGTTCGCTGCGAACCCAGATGACCTGGAAGCTGCTGGGTGCAACGTTCCCCTTGACCTCCTTAGCGCTAGTTCGTATGCCTGGCTCAACATCACGCAGTGCTCCGACCACAGAGATGATATGCGAATCTTGGCGGTCTACTCACCTCCTTCTCGACGGTCAAATAACGACGGTTCGTCGATAATAGGGCTCATCTGCTCGCCGCGATTTACCAGCCAGCAGGCCAGATTGTCTGTTAACACCACAAATTCTGAGATTACGGCGTTTTCGGCATCGTCAGAGCCACAGCCTCTAGACATCAAGACCAGCACAGAAGCCCTGTGGATATATTTGCGGAACCCATTGGATTCCGAAACACAGAAAATATTTGGCAGGGCGCAGCTGCACGGTGTAAGAGGGACGTATAACCCAGGGACTAAACCGGTGGCCAACATGGCCAATATAACGGCTGCCATGGTCTTTGGTACTGAGGTCTGGCGGGATCCCTTCATGCAGGTAGCACTGCATGGCCATCCCGAGGATGCTCCAATCGGTTATGATGACTTTGCAGCCAGAGTGACAGGATTTGCTGGCAATGTGTGGGCGGAGGTCATAAGCTTCCTGGCACGCAGTAAAGCTTCGAGCGAATTGCCAGGCAGCATTGCCGTTACCGACGAGAGAATTCTACTGAGGACTCCAGTGGTGATAACCTTAGAAACGTTGCTGGCTGTCCTGGGTATCTTGACCATCATCTTCGCGCTCCGACTTCGGCCCAAAACCGTGCTGAAACAGGATCCCGGCTCGTTGGCTGCGGGAAGTGTTATGCTCTCTGCCTCGGACGCAGCCGTCGAAAAGGAGATGGCAAAGCATGCCCTATCATCGACACAGTCAATGACTACGAGTCTGCGCAGTACACGATTCATGCTTCGGCACCGGAACGCCGGACAGCATCCCGGCGTTACAATCGACCTGACACAAGGTTCTGTAGAGCAGGAACCGGTAGAAATGGTCGATATGAACCGGCAGAACCTCGGTGATGTCGACTATCAGCCCGTGCCAAAAGATCCGGATTCAGTCTCCACGACCAAGGGCACCAACTTGGACGGGTGGAGGCCCCTACCATTGCGCTTCGCATCCAGGATTGCTTTCGCGGTAGCCATCGCGGTGGTGATGATCGGCTTGGGAATCATGCTGTGGCTATCGGCGAAACACAATGGAATCTGTGTGTATACGCAGGTATCGTCTGCAGCTTTGACGCTGTCTACGTCGACGGTTCTCGTGCTTCTTGGGTATTGCTTCGCCGGCGTGGATGCCTCAGCGCAAGCGCAGGCACCTTTCAATGTCTTACGGAGAAGGCCCAACAATCGAACCATCTTCACAGACGACTTAACGCTCCTTGGGCGGCTCTCTGGACTAGGGTCCGGATGGATGAACACCACGCTGTTTGCCTCGGCCGCGGCGTATCTCTTGATCATTCCTGCCATGAAGCTCGTTGCAGCAGGGCTTTTCTCTCCAATAAGTACAGAGGTGGTCGATGTCATGACTGTGCAGATGGATACTAGCATGACTACGCAGGTGGAAAATATCCAACTGGATACTAGCGATTCCGCGATGATTGTCAAGCGGGCCTGTGATTTTGCGGAGTGGGAAATTAATCCCGTCTTCGGCCTGCGCCCCAGGCCAGGCATCGTTGGCAATCTTGTCTTGGATAATCTGACAGCCGTCGATGGTACGAAGAACGACATCTCTGACGGTGTAATTGAAGCCCGCGTTCCCGCCATCGCAGTTGATATACAATGCGAACCCATCCCCTCTTCGGCTTTCAATTTGTCTATAAAACTTGACGACCAGGAGGGAGGCATGTGGTTTACATGGGCATGCACGACAGAGCCCTGCTCTGGGCACGTTTTCGGTGACGACTACTTTTCGTCCGAGATTCCTGCTTATTTGGGAGACGTCAGTTTGCTGACGCCGGATACGTGGAAAGGATATGAATCGGATGGAATACCAGCGTCAGAAACTGAATATGCAATTTATCTAGCAGATCTTACTTCTCTGGGAGGCTCCAGCCACTCATTCAGAAACATGACGCCGCTGCCCTACGGGGACAATGACACAACCTTTTGGGCCACACCGGGTAGTCTAAACGTTACGCTGCCTACTGTGACAGCGACAAGTTGCAGGAGGAACCTTACCATCGTCAATGTCAACGCTACATTCACTAGACCGAACCCAGTCGCCATTGAAGTCGACGCGCCTTTACTCCCCTGGAGACCCGTCTCGGTTGATGTCGAATCCATTCAATACATTCGGCCTTATCCAGACGTCCAGCCAGAGTACTTTCAGCCTCCAAGGGTGCTACTCGACATGTTTGGACAGACTTTTGACGATAAGTTGGTAGATGGCAGACTGTGGAGCAACTCACTCTGGCCGACTCGAGGAAGCAGCCGAAACTTCTTCGAGCTGCTGGCAGCGGACTCGGAATACCGCGTCGGAAACCTATCTAGGCTTCTTAGTCCCGCCGGACTGACAGACTCCGCAAAACACATGTACACGGCGTACTGTACTCAGATTCTCACAGAGCTCCGTACCTTCGCAAACAATGCCTCGTTGGCCCCGTCGGCCCCGTCGGTCAACCAGACAGTCCCCGCGAGGCTAGTCCACTCCCAACCTCGCGTGCATCAGGATGCCCAAATCACATATATCCTCCTAGCGCTTCTAGGCACAGTAGCCTGCGTTGCGCTTCTGGTATTCTGTCATTTTCCCGGTGATGCCATCCTACCCAAAGAAATCGGGTCCATCGCGTCCAGATTCTCGCTTCTTGCCGGCAGCTCGCTGGTCGAACAACTGCGGCAGGAACAAGTGACGGACGTGGACGAAATACGCAAGTGGCGCGAGCCTGCTGCACTGGGATGGTGGCGTGATATTCCTCTTACTTCTGATACCCTGGACAGATCCTCGACACCGACGTGGAGATGGGGAGTTGATATTGGTCGAGATGTCATGCTGCAGAGCTGGAAGGACCACCCACGTGCTCCTTCTGCTAGTCCTGCTAGTCCTTCTCCTTCCCCTCAAAGTCCAACGCGGAGCTCGCTAGGCTCTGCACCAATGCTTCCCGAGCTTGCTTTTCAGCCCGGGGCGGACGAGATACCCCGTACAGAAAGAGATAGCCGGCGGAGCTCTACAAGTAGTATTGACGTTGGCACTTCGCGATGATTGATGCCGGGGACATCTCAAAGCATCCTTCTGGGTGGAATATGATGTTCGTTAAACTCCGTTAAACAGCGGATAAGAGCTGAAGATGGGAAACGATAAAGTAGACTGATGCAAAGTACACATATACGTTTTGACAATATAATGATGAGCATATACTCGGTTATTCAGACGCAGCTATCAACAGTTTATACTTCCTGAAAGAACGGTAATGCTCGAGTGGTTTTACCAAATAGGATGGTCCATGAAGAAGTTCATCGAGCAACACGCGATTATCCTGAATCCGCTGGTGATCTCCCACAATTGGCCTACTTGGAAGTCTACAGAGCTCATGTGAACCCATACCTGTCTGGCTCTTCACAAATGCAGCTCCTGGCGTACAGCGAGATCCGCAATGATCTCCTCACTCCCTCCAACAACCTGTAAGAACACAGTCAACACGTAATACAGTCCACAAAAGCCAGAGAACATACCATAACCCGAAGATCCGGACTGATCCGCTCAATGAGCTTTTCATTTGGCGGACTCGAGCTCTAAACCTCGGCTGTACTGGCTAATCGTCCGCAGCCTGGATTCACAGGAGACACAAATAGAACAATACGAGAAGATTGATATAGAGTCGTCTTAGAGCACGCAAATGCCATTTATTCTGCGTTTGGCTTGCTGTGGATATCAATATCAAGCTTGAGCTAAACAGCATAGTGGGACAACTTCGTCGCAATCTCCCCAATCAACTCTTTCTTCACCATCCCATCAACCCACTGCGATGGAATGGACTCAGACCCGTAAAACGCCCCAGCAAGACCACCATAAACAGCGCCCGCCGTATCAGAATCGCCTCCCAGATTCACCACCGCCAACGCACCATCTGTCCAGGACTCATACTTGAAGAACCCCCACAGGGCGACCTCGATCGTATCCACCACCCACCCACTGCTGCGCAGATCGGAATTCGACTTTGCTTTCCAATCCGAGATATTATGATACCGTGCCAGCCGCTCTGCAAGCTTAGGATCGTCCAGGCGGTAGTTAGCCACCGTCTGGCACAGCCGCTCCTTACTCGACCCTACACATCGTCAGCTCCCCCGGCATATAGTTCAGGAATGAAAGGCGCCAACACACCCTGCATAACCTCACACAGCAGAAGCGTATACAGCTCGCAGGCCTCGACACACGGAAGCGAAGGGTGCGTCACGCGACTCTGCTCTCTCGCGCGCCGCCGCGCCTCAGGCGCATTCCGCCACAGCACAACGCCCAACGGCGCGATCCTCATCAAGCTCCCGTTCCCGGAGCAATCGTCCCGGTCCAGCTTCGCGTTGATATGCGCCTGCGTCTGCTCCAGCTGCTCGGTGCCGCGTTTCTTCCAGGACAACAGCGCCCCGCGCGTCGAGCGGCCGACGTCCCAGGAGGTGCTCGTCGTGCTGAACCGGCCGTCGAAGAGCCAGTCCATGAAGTATTGGATCGACAGGGCGTGGCTGTAGCTCCCCTGCGAGTCGATGATCGACTGCGCGAGTGCGAGGGTCATGGACCCGTCGTCGGAGTAGGAGCTGCGTGGGTGTTAGGATCTAGGAGTGTGACGCTGATGGAGACGATATTCATGCTCACCCAGCTGGCTGTTGGAAGGGCTGCACGAATCGTAGCCCGGTGATGGGCTCGAATGTGTGCGGGTCTTTGAACTGGACGGGGCCTCCGAGGGCGTCGGCGACGCAGACGCCCCATATTGAGCCCCGCGCGCGGGATCTTATCGATGGTGTCATGCCGTTTGCGGTTATGTGGTTATTGCGATGATGGTTTCTGTTCCAAGACAGGCCGTCGACGTTAAATAGAGTACTTGGCTGACTCACGTGGTGGCTTAGCGTTGGATACGAGCAAGGCGGAATAGCGGAGGATGACGACGTGGTAAGTGCCCAGAGCTGGGTCAGCCTACGTACTAATGCATCCCGTAGTAGACAATGAAGGCATGTCTTGGTTTATATTAGTATTATGAGAGGAGAATGTATGTGATGCCAATAGATCTGGACTTTTTAACCCGCGGCAAATGAAAACCCAGTATAAGATGCAACTTGAATGCAGCAGAAAACGCTCAAAGGTACCTGGTCCCACCACATCACAAAAGAAATTCGTTAGATGACATCGTCACGCTCCCATCCAGTGGGCTTCAGATTCTCCATGCCCTTGCTTGGATGGGGCTTGGACGGGTCTTTATACTTGGACGTGTAAGGGTTTGGATCCGCGGCCTGACTCAGGTTGCCCAAGGTATGGTTGACTTCGCGGTGCTTAGCTTCGTCCGCCCGCACATACAGGAGTAGGTCCTTCATCGTCCGCTTGCCTTCGGGCATCTTCCAATACTGGATGGCGATCTCGGGCGCTTCCTTCTTCTCCCATAGCGGCAGGTTTCCGTTCTCGAGGTCTTTTATCGCCCGCGTGTAGGTGATCACGGCCTCCTCTTCGAGATAGCCGACGAATCGGTGGCACGTCCGCGGCGAAACCAGGTACGAGAGGAAGAAACCGTTAAAGAAGACACCCTGGGCGCCGAGGACCATCAAGCGCATGAACCAGCCTGGTTCGGCAAGTTTCAGGAACGTGAGTAGATGCATGCGCTCGTTGAACGCTTCCTCCAGTAGCGTTTCGATCCTGCACCGTCTCGGTCAGCAAAAGCATTGATACAAGGCGAAGACTATGGTCTGCTTACCATCCGTTGTCCCTCTTCATACGCCGCAAGCTTCTCAAATGTCGCAGCATGCCCCCGACCATTCCTGGGACACCGGCGACACTTTCGAGGAAGACAAATCGCGTGAGCCATTTTTGCTCCGTCATGCGAAACCGGACGTCGTTTTCTTTGCCGGGCGGGGGATGGCGATATCCTGTTACCAGGTCCATTCCCCACCGCAGCATTCGGACGGTTCCAAGCGCCACCCAGTCAGACCAGTTCTTGGCTTCTCTGTGGGCAATTTCGACTTGGCGCATTTGTTCTTCGGTATAGCTGATAGATATTAGCGACCGATCTGGGAGTAGATGGGTGGTGTATGCATAGTTCATCGAATTATAGCATGACCACAAAAGTGGAAGTAGATACTTACACAGGATGCACCCATGCTGTCTCTGATTCCTTGATCTGAGGAGTGTTTGGAGGAGGGAAGAACTCTTTAATTTGTTGTTGCGGGGTGGAGGAGATGAATCGCTTAGTTGTCCGGTGATACCCCGGCTTGGTGGCGAGCAAGGAGCCATTGCTGTATCGCAGACTAGTCGTTGCCAGGAGGCTTGCATACCCCCGCGAGGAAACGAGAAGATAGGATTTGGGAAATACAGCGGCCCGGATGGGGACTGTGGAGATTGATAGACTCATGATGGTGGTATCTTTATCGATGAACGTTGAATGAGGTTCAAAGCAGCTGTTGTATGTCTTGAATCCCAGGCACAGATGATCCAGGAACGAGAGGTGGATGTCTATTTATATTGAGAGGAAGCTCGTATAGAATCTGGAACCCGAGGGGCAGAAGGCAAATGCCGGAACCACCAGGAGACCAAACAGGAACACTATATTAACATGACGTGTGAACCCCGTCTTCGTCATGGCTCGGTGAGGGTTAATTAGGAATTCGGTGCACAGATTGCCTTCAGCCACGTTTGGCGTGGATGCTGATAATTCGAGATGACCTGGTTGAATGGACGGGCCCGAATGCGGGAGGCCGCAGAATGACCCACGGGCCTAGAAGGAACGCAGAAGTTACAGCGCCCCAGTCAACCTGCTCTAGTTGATATCTCCCCCACCATCCCATAAAGAGTGTCTGGAATGCGAAGGGCCACTCGATATAGCATTGTGGCATCGCGCACCAAGTGGAATCAATTTTCTGTCCCTCCCCAGTGTGTCTATCGTCGTCTAGGAACGCGAGCTCGCACCGGCGTAAGATCGTCGATTTCCCGTCGATACACATGCTGTAATTTTGGCGAAATACCATAACCCCATGTGACCTCGGAAGATTCCGGATGGTCGACCCCTTGCGACGATGACTGGTCGGGTTCTGATTCTGATTGCCATCCATCGCCTCGCCGTCTGACTCAACTCGGGACGCCGAAGGGCGATTGACTTTTCTGTCCGTGGGATCCCGATGGATCTCCGACTGGGTAAACCATGAGCATGTTTGAGAGGGTAGAAGGACCAAACCCCGAGGTCACCGTCTCTATATATGGCATTGTTGGCAAATATGGGTCTGATACGCCCGAGAAGTACAGTCCGACTGCCCCTGAGAACTATCGTTTCTCCAGGTGAAGTCTATAATAGATCCATCAAACAAATCTAGTGTTCATTAGGCGTATTCTTTGGATCACATAAAAGGAAGCCCGGTCGAAAATCAAGGAATCGTCTAATCGTCTCGCAGTCAAGCTGATTCAAATGCCGACTCGGACGTTCGTCGGACCCCGAAATGACTCTCGCCCTCTTGCGGTTCAATGTCCTTCTTTTCCACCTTGACCACATGTGCATGACGGGGACCGTTGTTTATTTCTTTGAGAAACTTCTTGACGGAGTCTTCATGACCCTGAGCCTCGCCTTCGACCTGCAATACTTTAGCATCTATGCGTCTAGACAGATGTTGTATTCATGGTCTACACAAGGGACCGGGAGATGATACCCTGCCGCAGTGGGTGTTCTTTACCCAGCCTTTCAAGTCAAACTCTGTGGCACGTTTTTGTGTGAAATCACTATACAGATGGACGTCAGGGTTGAGCGTGAGTAGCACACGACACTGGTAAAGTCCCTACCGGAATCCAACACCTGCAAGCAATTTCTGTCAGTTATTCAGTCCAGAGTATGTGTTGCATCTGAGCAATTGCTTGGAGGAAACAAGTCACCTGCCTTGTACCGTGCCATGGACTTTGAACGCGATCTGTTTGAAGTCAGCATAGCTTCGAGGGCGATGACGTAGAGGGAGGAACTGCTTATCCCGGGAAGATAGCATACACGTTGGGTCGACATTTTGAAAGCCTGCAGAAAGTATGATCTCAGTGTATCTGCGATATTGGATGTGTCTAGTGATGAAACTGTACTCTGCAGAATATCAGAAGATGCCCTCCAGTTGAAGTAGAGGGAGTAGTTGTATGTGAGGCGATAAATGGCTTAGTCAGTTGATCTCATGCATCCTCACCCAAACGGGTTAGTCTGGGGATGGCAGATCCCGTGATCACCCCTGAACCGAAATAGGAAACTCCGCGATCGACTCTCCGCAGTGGCATCTCATCAACAGCCCAAATACACACATTCGTTTGCCCTCTCTGCGCGTCTCTGAGGGGCCCCTCCGCGCAATGCTGGTTTAAAATGACTTCCATTCTTTCCCATCTTCGACGTCTGTACTCCCTAGATACCCTCGACACCCGCTTCACCACCTCTGCCTCTACTCCCCTCAAGGCCACTACCGATTCGCGACCTGCCTCGGCCAAAGATGCCCGCGCCAATGCTGTAGCCAGCAATGCCTCGCCCTCCAAATGGGGGACTTTGGAATTCTTTGTTTACTATCTGGTCTTTCTTGTTGCGGTGCCATTGATGTTCAAGGCAGTCATTGAGGTGTCCCAAGGTAAGCCACCCATGGTGCAGCCGACACAACACATACCGGTGTCCATATGCTCACGTCTTACTTAGAGAACCACCCCACGTACCCGACTTATGCCAACCTGCTGTCTCCAGGCTGGATCGCCGGACGTCAAGTGGTACATCAACCTTGTAGCTTGTTTCTCATGGACCTTGCTGATCATGTCTCATCCTGCAGGACAACTCCGACGCACAATACTCCACTTTCCGGGATAACATCCCCTACCTCCTCGTTCTTTTGGTTGTCCACCCGTTATTGCGTCGTGCATTCGAATTTTACACACGCCCGTCCAGTCCCAAACCTACCACATCGAACGGCAATGCCTCCGCAACCGCTGCAGACGCGCGTTTCACTCAGCGCATCCAGTTCGACTTCTACTTTGCTCTCGTTTTCATAGTTGCTTTACACGGGATTTCCGCCCTCAAGGTGCTCGCCATATTATACTTGAACTATAAGATCGCCAAGTCACTCCCTCGACGATATATCCCCGCGGCCACTTGGATCTTCAATATCTCCACCCTGTTTGCAAATGAGCTGTGTGCAGGATACCCGTTGGAGCGCTTAGCCGCTATGTTGACCTCGACTTCGGATGCTACTGGACAAGAATCCCTACTGGTCTTGTGGGGTCGACAGCTCGACAGCTTTGGTGGTCTGATCCCTCGTTGGGAAATTCTGTTTAATTTCACGGTTCTGCGCCTGATCAGCTTCAACATGGACTATTACTGGTGCCTTGACTATCCAGCTGCGAGCCCAATCGAAGTAAGTGCGACAACGTACCAACTGAATGGCGCCCTTCTGACAATCATAAGAAGAAGCAACTTGATCCAGCAGCCCTTTCAGAGCGTGATCGCGTTAGTATCCCCGCGGAACGCTCGGCGTTCAACGGCCGCAATTACATCGCGTACATCCTGTACTCCCCGCTTTATCTGACAGGTCCCATCGTCACGTTCAACGACTACATCTCGCAGCAGCGATATGCACCGCCGTCCCTGACCAAACGTCGTACCATCATGTATGGGATTCGTTTCTTCCTCACCCTCATCGCCATGGAGTTGATCCTTCACTTTATATATGCTGTCGCCATCTCCAAAGCATCACCGGATTGGTCCCTGTACACCCCCGCCCAACTCAGCATGCTTGCCTTCTTCAACCTCCACATCATCTGGTTGAAGCTGCTCATCCCATGGCGGTTCTTCCGTCTCTGGGCTTTGATCGATGGAATTGACCCGCCAGAGAACATGATCCGTTGCGTGTCCAACAACTACTCCACGTTCGCATTCTGGCGTGCGTGGCACCGTTCCTTCAACCGATGGATCATACGGTATATCTATGTACCTCTCGGTGGCGGCAGAGGCCGCAGCAGTGGAGGAAATGAGAATAAGACCTCGTCGAAGCTATATGCCAAAGCGCACCAGATCCTCAATTTCCTCCTCGTGTTCACCTTCGTCGCCCTGTGGCACGACATCAACCTTCGTCTGCTCCTGTGGGGATGGCTAATCACTCTTTTCGTCCTGCCCGAAGCCATCGGAACAATGCTGTTCCCCGCGCACCGGTGGCGCTCTCATCCGACAGCTTACCGTGTCCTATGTGGCGTCGGCGCTGTCGGTAACGTTCTCATGATGATGATCGCTAACCTGGTCGGGTTCGCTCTGGGCTTGGACGGGCTGAAGGGCCTTCTGAACGAGATTCTAGGGTCGTATGCAGGACTTGTATACCTTGTGACTGCATGTTCGGCACTCTTCGTTGGCGTCCAAGTTATGTTCGAAATCCGGCAGGAGGAAAAGAGAGCGGGGATTAACCTGAAGTGTTGACCTGCAAATGTATACATGTTCTACTTGAAAATATAATCAACATCGATATACTATTCGCTCCAAGATTAGTAATATAAATGTGTAGGTTTGAATTCCTGTAATCTGTGGGCAGGAGTGACCTTCCTGGTATTGCTGGAATATCCACTTTCAGGACATTCTGTCATTCTGCCACACCCATTGGGTATAGGGGGAGGTGCAATATCCATGACTCTTTTCGAGTTCATCTGGGCTTGCCTTCCGCTGAACGGGACATCGATCGAGCGCGTAGTCGGTCTGATCGAATACTCCAAGCCCATCATCATGCGGGCATATCTCAAGAAGACGCTTTCCGCCTTTGAGCAGTCTCGTGAAGGCCCCGTAATAGAGACATCGCGTCCAATCTTCAGGCCCAATCTATCAAGAAACCAATCCATAATCTCATCACAGCCATTCAACCCATTCCCTAGAAGAATGCCCCACACCGCGAATCCTCATGCACCTTATAACAATCCAGCCCACAAGTCCGCAAGTGACAATTCTTGCACCGAATCTTCCCCCAGTACCCACACATGCAGCAGAAATATCTCGGCGCCCTGGGCATGACCGGGGGTCCGGCGCGGGCAGCGTGATACGTGAGCGGCGGCTCAGCCAGGAGCGCCTGCATGATGCGGTCCGAGGGTGCGGACGGGATATACGACCTCAACAGGGGGTCGTTATCGTGCTCGGTTTTGATGAGACCTTCTGGGGCCGGTTTCTGGTCTTCTGTTTCGGACTGCTGCGGCTGGTCTTGTGGCTTGTCCTGCTGCTGCTGCGACGGAGGCTGTTCGGTGGACACGGACGGTGCACGCACGGAGGCCGATCGTTTCTGCTGCTGCTGTTTTGTGGTTGGTTTAGGGGTTGCGCCGCGTCGGAGGGAGGAGGCGGAAGATGAGGGTTTTGTGATGCGGTTTGGGGCGGAGCGTTGCGCGGGGGCTTGTGCGGCGGCCTGCGCCAGGGCAGCCTCCTCGTCGTCGAGGTAGTTGCGGAACGTCTTCTGGGACTGTAGGATGCGGCGCACGTTAGAGGTGACCTTTCCTCTTGTTCCTATGGAGTTGTTAGCGCGTGCGCGCGGGTCGTGATGGAGGGAGCGGTGGTGTGGCGTACCTCTGCCGGCGGCGTCTTTCTGTTTGGCGGGGATGGGGATCTGCACGTCGCGGTGATTTTCGCGATCGAGCTCGGCCAGATGGCGCACGATGGCATTGTTCTGGCGCGAGGACAGATCGGCGCGGCCAGGGTCGCGAATGCCTCGTTTGCGGCCGATGGCGGGTGTGATGGCGGCTTTGGCGGGGTCGAAGCCCCGATCAGCGACGTAGGTCCATCCCGGGGTGGCGTGGCTGGAGCCGCTGGGGAGCAGTTCGACGTGGTACATGGTCGCTAGGATGGGAGAGGGAGCATGGTGAGTTGGGTTGGGGATTGTTTGGTGGTCGAGGTTATCCCCGAAAATGTTCCCGCGGAGGACGGGATGTTTGTTTTGTTTGCAGACGTCAGTGATGACGCAGTTGCCTCCCAGCTCTACAGAGATACAAATAGTGCTCGGTCAGTCCGATATCAGACGGATATATTATACAGCTATGTACGAATGCTATTGCAAAGGAGGATACGAACATGCAAACAGCTGCGTTGATTGAAACTCCGCCACGTCTCCCAAGCAGGAACCTGCATTTCATGAAAATCGATGGCAAGATGCAAAGACTGAAAAGCGATACAACTCCTGCTGAAAACACCAGACAATGACTGTGACAGAATTTTGATATGTTAAGACTTATTTTTTCTTCTGCAGTTGGTCCACTTTCGACTCCAGCTCGCCAATGTATGTCTGGAGCTTTTGGGTTGCGGATTGCAGAGCCTGGCGTGGTGTTAGCTATCGATCCTCTTGAATAAACCAGAGTCATGATTGCATGGGCCAAATGCCGGATTAATCGCGGTTGATAGAAGCAAGCAACGGGGGCATATTCCGTCGATGTGCATCGGTACTTGATGGGACATAACACAAACAAGATACCAACGCGTGAATCAAAACAAATGACTATTGCAGATATCGCGTTCCGAGTGAGGTTAAAACATACATAAATATCTTCATTCAGCATCTCGTTGGATATCCTGTACTCTCCGAGGATGTAGTAGTAAACGGAAGCGCCGGCCGCAACAGTGCCGGCAAGAAAACCAAACACGCTGATACCGCATTAGCATTTGGCCGGTTCAGAGTTCAGGCAGAGGACTCACCCTCCACGGAATGCACCGACGGGCTTCTTGGCCGGCAACGAACCCGCGACATCCCTCATAGAGTACGAGGCGGAGAAACTCCGCCGGGCTGGGATGAAAGCGCGTGTGGACGCGAGAGGGCGTAGCACAGGACGGAGCATTGTGTCGATATTGGAGAATAGAGAATAATCACAGAGCTTTCGATCAGAGGACTTCAAGGGTCATAGTATAGGAAAAGATTACTCGTGGCGGAGCAAAGGCGTAAAGTAGAAGGCGACGGGTGGAGTGACGTTGTCCGTTCCGCATTGGGTCGTCGGCAGTTATCACGGGACTCTCCCGAGGTAAACAATGCTGGCTTATACTGGACATCCATGATATCTTACTATAGCTTCGATTCTATTTCATGTACATTATTCAGGTGCTTTTTGAAAACAACGGGCACGCCCAATAGAAAATGTATTTTCTATCTTTTGTCCGAAAAAGGCACATCCATTGTTCCACCCGGATATATCCAGTCGAGCCACCATGAGAAAATCCAAGAGCTTCATTCTATATAGTACTCCATAGTCCCAATGGCCATTACATCACGCTTAGACGCCAACAATGGTAGAAAGATAAGCACCACGCCGTAGCCAATACATATAAAAATTCATACATCACAGTAAGCCTAGTTTGCCATGGTGCTCTCATTGAACAAGTCCGCCAAAAGGTCATCGCGGCACGCATCAAGGCTGGGCGGCCCCATGCTGTATGTGCTCTCGAATGCATGGATGCTAAGTTGATCAAACCACGGCCGGAGCACCCGCTCAACAATTTCATCCTTGGCTGTCTCGCGAATCCAATCCGCCGTCAGCCCTGGCTTTTTCGCCCCTCCACTAGGTTCTGACGCTTCCCGGGGAGAGTCCACGGAGGCGGAACCGCGCACACCCAAACTTTGAGAGACTTCGTCGGCCAGTGCAATCGACTCCCAGTGGCCAGGAGGATAAACGGCATCGATCGTGTCGGTGACATATAGCCATTCGAGAAGCTGGAAGTCATCCGGAGCAAGTACCAGGAGCGTGTCCAAAAGCTTACAGGCCTGTAGCAACGAGTACGGACTGTATACATCCTGATGCGGGCCAACGGGAATAGCGGCGATAGCCTCTTGTAGTTCGGCATTGATCATTGGCCAAAAAGGTGCCAGCGTGCTTGTGGATGTTTTCAGAGCCAAGGCACGAAGGACCATAAAGACCTCGGCTCTCGTGGTCGACGAAGGAGAGGATGAGCTAGTAGCTCCAAGCAGGTCCTCCAGTTTCTGGAGGAGTGCCGGTAGCTCTCCAATGAAGTAGTCGTTATTTGCAGATAAGATCAGCAAAGCAATCCGACGAAGATTCAACTGGGCTTTCCGATCGGCATCAAGGCGCGCCGCTGAAGCTCCAACCCCGAACATCAAGCCTGCCGTACTTGGTGGAGGCAGCCGAGCCAAGATGTCAGACAACCTATCCTTGTCTGCCACCACCCACTGCCGTAGCAAATTCATCCAGCCATCCTTGACTAGATCAACCTTGGACGCAAAGAACCGCGGATCATTGAACGCCTCAGCTACGTCTTTTTTCCAAAACTTGGCAGCAGCGGGGGATTTGGCGATGTGTTGGAGGAGAGCCAGAAAACTGCGGTTGAGATTGTTGGGGAAAAGCCGAGAGCGCAATAATGGCCCGATAACATTGGTGGAGATACCGGATACAGCTGAACCGATACGATCAGAGTCACCCAGCGTTGCAGAGAAGGCGGGCATGGAGACAGCCAGGATACTAAGCATGTCATCCGGTCCGATATGTGGTACTGCTGAGTTGTCATGGTCTAGAGATGTCCGGCTGAGAAAAGCTGACTCTTGTGATAGTCCCATAGGTTTGCTTGTGAAGATTGCAGTCAGCAGACGGAGTAGTACATCCTACAGAATGTTAGCACACGTGTTCATTCAGCGACGAAAGACATGGGAAAACATACACCCAATTCACGCCGCATACGACGATCTTCACCAAAATTCGTGTTTTCAAGTTTTGAGCCAAGAATGGCGGCAAACTCGACTAGCCGGGGCAGGATCTGCCTGTGTGGAAATGGGTTGCTGAGAACGTCGCGCAAGAATGTTGTGCAATCTGCCCAGATCTCATCCAGTACATCGTCGTCCAGCGACCGAGCGTATGTGACCAGGAATGCCGCTAGCTCACCATCAGTGAGCGAAGATGTCAAGGTAGACTTGCGACTAGGATCCAATGCGCTGGGATTTGTTCGAGTGTATATGGCATTGAATACAGCTGGAATGGTGATTTTAGGTCGAGACCCATCGAGAGTGTGAAGAAGGCTGAAAATCAATGAGGATGTATCACTGTCTGATTTGGTCCACATTTCCACCAGTGTCTCAAGACACTCAAGGGCTTCAGCAGTGAAAAGGTGCTCTAGGATACGACGTGATCTATTTCGCATTCGCAGAGATGTGTATTGGAAGGAGGCCAGAGATTCTGTGTCCTGCGGTAGGGTACTTCTTTCCACTGCTCCCCACGACCAGATCGAAAAGCAGAGTCGCACAGCATCTTGGAAACACAGCAGAACAGTTAGTCGGTTATTTGCAGCCGTTGACCGACTATGCGTTGCATCAGACGTGAACACCCCTGATACCATATTTCCAAAGAAACCATGGGATTGATCAGGACTCTTCGCCGCTGGAACGTTTGCTTCCTCTACAAGAAGTCGCTCATGAGCAGTTGCGATGCAAGTCTCGAGACCAGCCAGCAAAGCGATAGTGGCATGTTCTGAGCGGTCTTCAGGCCAATCTTTTGTTTGCTTGAAGGAAAGTTGAAGGTGCGTATATGAAAGCTGGATTTCCTTGCAGAAGCACTCCACTAACATCAGAAGAATCTGAAATATTGACCCTGAGAACAGTGGGAGCACCTCGCACAGTAGGAACGTCCATCTTTCTATAATCTCTCTGGAATTTGGAGAGCTGATGCCTTTGAGCAGACACTCGAGGAGATTCTTGGGGGGTTGAGGAAGAGCGGGCAATGCAGGAGTTTTGTCCGCTTTGTCGCTCGTGAAGGACAAGAGCGATGGGCTTGTTAGCCGTTCACGAGAGCTGTTCCTCTGGTGTTTTGGACGGGGTGGGGGTGGTGGCAAGTAAGCCTCGGCGAAGCGAACTTTCAATGCTGCAAGAAGAGTGTCGATGAGTGCACCCTGCACAGCGACACTTCCACCTTCGTCAAGCACGTAGAAAAGCCGGTCAACGAGGAACGAGTCGATGCCTGAGTCAGCCAATTCCTCGGCTCCGGGTCCTAGTAGAAGTTGGCGCATCACAAGCAGGGTTGTCTGTTGCAATTTAACTTCTTCTGCGTTCGTTACTGAGGCACTAGTGGCCTGAGCACTAGTCACTCCGAGTGCAGCTTGGAAGATACTCGAATGCAGAGTCTGATCTTCTGTATTTGCTGCAAGAGTCGTAAGTTGTAGTACGCGATTTCGAAATTCAAGGACCTTACCATCACTTGTACTGGTTTTGTGGTGTTTATCAGCTGGAGAAAGCGTTTGTGTCAACAGGGTAATCCAGCCATTATGAGAAAGTGCCGAGATGGTATTGTGAATGGTTTCGAACAAGTAGCTGCACTCCTTGAAGTCATCAGGGGATATCGATATGCCCTCTGGATTGGTTTCAGGGCCGTCGGTCCTCAAGAAAAGTTCCTCGAGTCTTGAGATGATCATGCGGAAGACTCTGTAGAGGTGAGTTATCTAGTGTATTCACTGGTTGGGACGTGTCAAACAGGACTTACTTGTCTATAGATGGTAGCTCCTGCAACCATCGCTGGACGATCTGGCAAGCCTCACTGGGTCCCTGAGAGAGGAGGTCCAGAACGATGAAAAGAGGGCGCTCAAGCATCGATGACTGATAGAATATGTGGGAGTTTCCAATATTATGCAGACTTTTGGGAGGAAGCTCATAGGTTCCATGATGGCTGTGGTTCCATAGCACAAAGTATCTTCCGATTTGTTCTTCCGATGAGAGCTGGCGAGGTCCAGCAGAGAGGGGATCGATCATCAAGGACGTGACAGCGGCTTCAACAACATGATCTGTCCAGGAAACCGAGTGCAGTTGCCATAAGCAGCGGACGGCCTCGACATGAAATTTGGGGCTGACCGGAGACAGAAATTTCCACAGGTGCTTGACCAATGCTGGGATTAGATCGGAGATCTCCTCGTAACTGATATAGAAACCAGGAGTGTGTATTGCATATAGGTTTTTCACTGCAGAGACAATCGTAGATGTCGTAGAGAAAGACCCAGTGGTCGGCTCGATCTGGCCCCCCTTGACACGTTCACAAATTGCCTGGTAGAGTCTCCGATCACGGAGCACCCTTGACCTAGGCAGTTTCTTCAGCAGAATGATGAGTAGGTTCACCTTCTCCTGAATTGGCATGCTGCTATGGGATCCATTCAAAGACGAGATGGCAAGTTCATGCGCATGCCTGATTATGAGCTCGCCCATCTGCTTAGGAGTGAATGGTAGCGGTGGTAAGTCAAGGCTGTTTTTGCTTTGTTCATAAAACTCGTGTATCCGTTTCAAGATTTCCGCACCTGGAAGCTCATAAATGGAGACACTGTTGGCGGCCTTATCCAAGGAAGATTTCCTTGTGAAAGCCCTCTCCGTGAGCAAGCCAGTCAAAGAGTTTATCACCTTCGAGAGGGCATTGGATACAAGCCGTACATGATCAGGAGAGGACACCTTGTACTCTCCAGACGAAAGCGCCCTCATCTTTAAAAGGATGGAGAGAGTCAGTAACGGAACATGCGTTGATACCATGTCTTCTTCTCGCACGTTGAAGTTTTCCAGAATGAACTGGGCAAGCTTCAAGTTCGTCAGTACTCGATCATGATTGCCAGCGATGTCGGCAGAATCCCAGTCTATGAGGCCAAGCAGCTCGGAGAAGATGACACCGCTTTCAACACCGTCAAAGAAAGCACTAGCACTGCGGAAGACCTCATCAAACTGGGATTTGGTAGCAGTCCCTTCGAAGGCTGCAACACATCTCATCGTGGGGAGGAAAACGGCTGGGACAATATGTCCACCGACCTCCCACCGGTCCATCAAGGCAAGCGATATTCGAAAAGGCTTTGTCTTTTCAGAAGGCGACGTTGCATCTTGTTCGATCAGTTGGAGTAGCCCATTTACTAACGGTTGCAGCCCAAATCGACTGAAATACTCCGCTTGGGAAAGCTCTTGCCCATCAGCACGAGCTGGATTCGTTTTCTCGGATGACGATTGTTGTACATCGAACGACACCCGATCGTTGGTAGGCTCAGGCCCCAAGAACCACGACCACAACCTCCTGTTCAGGCTCATGTCTCGCCTAGCCACGACCCCGACAGCCGCCATTACCAACAATTGCAGGTCCTTGTCGGTGATTCGAGACTGTAAGATCGGGGAGCTAAGCGGCAGATGTGTCACGAGTAAATCAAGGAAGTTGCGCTGAACAAGGACTTGTTCGTCGGCCAGACCGGAGGCGAAACACCGAATAAGCAACCCAGGTTCAGGGAGAACAACCGAGTCCACCGCAGCAAGCATGTCCTGCGGCATTTCGCCAGAATCGCCCACATCGCTTTTGCTCGGCCGCCGGTCTGTGATGCCCAATTTGGGAAGATGACGGTTTAGGTACGCCAGCACACCTGAACGTCTGCTAGGGCTTGTTATAGAGGCGAGGAATAGGCACTGCCAGAAGTATTGGCTGCTCGAGTTCACGTCGGCTCCTGACCGTTGCGTCTCCATTCGGTTGGATATGTCGCGAAACTTATTGATCAGCCGCAGAGTGGGATCAAAGTCATCGCTTGTTTCTTCTTCAAGGCCAGGTAGGAGGGCGAGGATGATCGCTTTCAAAGCCGGGCGGATTGCCCATGGTTCCAGGTCACAGACGTACGTCTCAATTAGCGACAAGAACAACGGACGGACAGTAAGGGAGGCGAAGGTCAACGTCGGCGCGATTCCGGGTAGGTATAAAGGTAGATCGTGAGACAAGCCATCGGACTAGAAGTTGAAGTTGAGGTGTCAGCAGATGTATTTCCTCTCGTATACACGTCACACCGCAGTTCGAACCTTTATCAAGTTGAATATAAACGTGTATACTTCCAACGCTTTCTGATGGACACCGGATGGCAAAGAAGGGTTCAGGCATTGCGAAAGGCGTTTTGCGACCAGCACTTTGTGAGGGACAATGGGTAACTCAGGGGGGTGAGATTGTAGGGCCTGGATCAGACACGGTCAGCGATTTACCCCAGACATTCCCTCAAGCCTCAATGGTGATACCGCACCTTCAGCAATCGACTCAGGAAGGAAATATAGTCCGCCCATTCTTGCAACGCGGTATCGAACAAGGATAAGGCTCGCTCGACGCTGGAGGCATAACGACGGTAGTTTTTATCTTTCTTCAGGGGCTCTAGTCATGTAAAAATACGTGAGACGCTGTGTGATTTGGTAGCTTGGCTGAGAGTCGCTCACCATCTCTCCCTCGTAACCGCGAGCGCGCCAGAGAGCTCTCGGAGCTTGCGGGGGAGTTCGACCTCGGAAAAGAGCTCGGATCAAGATTCATGATGCAGACGGCTAATAAAGAAGGATGGAGTTGCAGTCGGGAGATCGCAGGCCGTCATATTTCGAGCATTCTACTGCAGTAAAGGTGTATCTGAATGGGGTGTTGCGTAAGACCCCGGTGATGCATGAAGACACGAAGCCAGAAGGTTAGGCGGACATGTTTTGACTGGAGCTCTCCGAGTGTCTCTCCCGGCGGGAAGGAAGATCCCCCTCCCCACATCTCTGCTACCCACCACCACGATCATCTTCAACCTCCACGATGTCAGAATGATTTCGCAGTTACCTCAGATCTTGCGCTCAAAGTGAAGGCTCGGCTTACGCCTGACGAATTTTTTTCAGCAACTTCAATGTCCCGATAACATGGACCTCACCGACCAAAGTCGACCGCAGACCGCATCTGGGGACGATCCTGATGGTCGTGTCGAAAATGCGCCTTCGTCCTCGACGACAACAGCATCAGTTGGAACGAATGACAGGACGGAGACCGCTAACCCTGAGGAACAGCCGCCACCACTACCCCCACGACCGAATACATTAAGCTTGTTGGATGAAGGAGGGGCATCCTCTCGGTCGTTACGTCAAACAGGCCCGGTCAATCTCCAGTCCAAGGCTACGACCGCCGTAACTATACCCGACATTGCTTCGAATGATGCTGGAAAGGAAAACTACAACCTTCGCGGTCTTGCGGGAGCCCTGAGGGCCAAGGCAAGCCTCAGTCATCTGGCCAGTTCGAGGGCGAGTGAAGCTGGGGATTCTGCAAGCGTTCGGAGCTCTGTTCCGCATACCGAGGCCGGAGAAATGGAGAATGTCTTTGGCGATTTGCTTGCGGCGGAGTCAGGTGTTGTTCAGCAAGATGGCACCGGTCTTCTCCAATTCCCTGAATTTCAGGCAGATGATGTCGAAGACGATTTCGCATGTGAATTTGAGCCAGTCGGAGAAGTAGAAGAAGGGGAAGACAATGAGGGTGCGTGACTTCTATGGCGCTCCATAGTGTCCTTTGCTGATTTTCTTCCAAACACAGAAATGGTCCTCGAGAAATGGAAGTCGAAACGCAAACACTACCTCATCCTGTCCGCAGCAGGGAAACCAATCTGGACGAGACATGGTGATGGGGCCCTGATATCGACCTACGTTGGCATTATACAAACCATAATATCATTTTTCCAGGATTCCGACGACCATCTCCGGAGCTTCACGGCTGGAGACACCAAATTCGTCGTTGTGACAAAAGGGCCGTTATACTTTGTGGCGATTAGTCGGATACATGAAAGTGAGACTCAGCTCAAACTCCAACTCGAAGCATTGTACATGCAAATACTTTCCACCCTCACGCTTCCCTCCCTGACCCACCTCTTCTCCGTTCGACCATCCACCGATCTCAAGCGGCCGTTACAGGGATCAGAGACACTTCTCTCAACGCTGGCAGACAGCTTTACAAGGGGATCCCCTTCTACTCTTCTTTCTGCGTTGGAATGCCTGAAGATACGCAAGGCTCATCGCCACATAATCAACAACACTCTTCTCAAAAGCCGGGTCAACAGTCTGTTGTACGGTTTGGTCGTTGCTGGAGGTCGACTAGTCAGCGTTGTCCGACCGAAGAAACATTCTCTGCACCCTGGTGATCTACAGCTCCTATTCAGTATGATTTTTGAAGCAGAGGCGGTTAAAACTGGAGGTGGGGAGAGCTGGATTCCAGTCTGTCTCCCTGGCTTCAATAGTAGCGGATATCTATACATGTATGTCAGCTTTCTTGACCTGAGAGAAGACTCAAGCAATGTTGCCGATGATTCGACGACAAAGGAAGAATCGGTTGCGATCGTCTTGATCAGCACGGATAAAGAAAGCTTTTTTGAACTGCAAGAAATGCGGAATAACTTGGTGGAGGTAAGTCGATCCACCCTTCTTTTGAGGTCCTCAGACCACTAACGACGGTGGCCGCTATGCAGCAATTGCAGAAAAATTATAGCCTCCAAGTTATCAAGGAGGCAATAGATCGGGGCCGTCCGGCTACAACTGATATTGTCCCCGGAACAGTGTTGCATCATTTCCTGTACAAGTCGCGGGCGAATGTACAGTTTACGATGTCTTCCTACGATCCGGAGTTCTCGTCCATCTCAAGACGTAGGAGGTCAGTATCTCTGAGTTCATAAACTCACTCAACACACATGATCCGACGGCTAACGTGGCATTTTTCATAGGCTAATGTCAACATATAATAGCCTTCATGCCAGCATCCACGCAAAGCACACACACGTCAAAGTTCACCACTGTGTATCTAAATCATCCACCTCTTTTGCTTGGGTCACTCCGTCATTCGAACTTTACTGCGTGGCTGGCCCAAACGCAAACCGGAATGCTCTTGCGCAGAGCGCGAGTAAGATAGTCCATTGGGTACAGAAAGAGGAAGAAAGGCTATTCATCATTGGTGGCGCGGTGAGTATTTGGATCTCTATTTACTAGGTGCTATCCGCATTATTCTAATACGCTTATAGGTCTTCTAGGTTATTGTGGCCTCATTCTGTATGTATAGTCAAGGTGGGCTGCGGCCTACCGCCGTCTCCCCGTATTCCCTGCAGGGACGGATGATCAATGAGTGATACGACGTAACGAATATGAAGTCAAAACATAAGTATATTCAAACTCGATAGATCCGTAGTAGTTTACTATCTAATCTATGGTGTCTTCCCGCAGGGCAAATAGCTGCTGCATGAGTTCATCTGTCTTGCTCCGAAGAGCGTTGTGATACATGACGTTCGTGATGAACTGCTTGATACCCTTGATCTTCGCTGCCGTGTTGGTTGCATAGTCATAATGGACATACATATCCTCCACGTACGTAGCAGCGTAGACCGGCACCTCATTCTTAGCCAACTTGGCTTCGTCGTAAAGTGCAGGCCAGTCATTCGTCATTGCCAGGATGTCGGCGGCGTTTTTGATTTTGTTTAGCTCGTCGTAGGAGTCAAACATGTCTCTGAAGATCTGCGTAGTGTCAGGGTCGGTGATGGAACGATATCGATAGACCTATGTTGTGCACTCACCATCTCTCCCGTAAACCATATTTGCGGCAAATCGACATTGATCTGGAAATTTTTCTTGACGGATCGAATTCTGCTCGCAGACCAGTTCGAAGCTTGTCTGCTCGTTGTTAGTGCCACGAAACCAACTGACACCCAGAAGAACCTACCCCTGGCAGTAGATCGCTTCGTGCAAGATGGCGTAGATAACATTACTGTCAAAACCGCCATTGCTGTCAATAGTCGTAAGGGTCGGGTAGGTCAACACTCCGAACATGTCCAAATCATTATTGGCGCGCAGGACAATGTCTACGTAAGTCAGGTGCGTCGTCTATATCTCTTCAGGACTGGATGATATTACCATGAACGATATCGAGGCCACCTTTGTGATGTTAGATATATCATTCGACGACCTGGATATGTCCAAATGCTTACCATGCATGCCGAATAGGATACCCAGTTGTTGGAAGCGCTCTGGAGTGAGCTTTCCCGAGGGGATCGTGATGTCGTTAGCACTCAAGTACTGGACGATGCGTTTAACACGCTCGATGTCTTCGGGGAACTTGGCATAGTATGCCTGGTTCCTCTGCTCCACCTTCTCTTCGCTAGGTCAATTGCTGTAGTTGATAGCGTGAGCAGCATGCAACATACCGAAGGTGCGCTCATAGACCGGGTCCGGTCCGTTGACAAGTGGAGGAAGTCCACCGCAAATGAAAGCTTCCGCTAATCCCTCAGGGCTTTCATGACATGTTCGTAAGCTAAACTGGCCACAATACGAATCAAAGCTGTTAACGGTTCGATAGGAAACTTACAACATTGACAGGTAAGTCACGGCGCAGAACCCGCCGAAACTCTGGCCGATGATGCTCCATTTGCGCTTCTCCTGGGGATAATCCGTGGTGAGGCATCTGCGCACGGCTTCACAGTCCCGGACAATGTTATCTGCCCGAAAGTGCTTCAAGTACTCGGCCTGCTTGACGGCATTGCCCTGCAGAGCGAGCGTGCCCGCAGTAATGGTGGAGCTCAGGCCTGTACCCCGCTGGTCGAGGAATAAAACCTAAACAATACATCAGCCGTGTGCTTCAAAGCGAAGTTCCACTTGATCAATGATCATAGTACGTACCTGATATCCTTTGTCAAGGGCGGTCCCCACCCAACCGTTGTCCTGTGGCGGGCGACATCCGAACCCAGGACCCCCTTGAAGATAGACCAACCAGGGCAACTGCTTGTCGTCCCCGGCCGTGTCGAATGGAGGCGGGGTACGCCGAACGCTCCGTGCAAAGAGCCTCAAGTTGCCATCATTTGGCTTACTGTAGTTCAGTGGCACATCAAAGAGAAGCTCGGCCACGCGGAGCTTGCCTGGAACGCACACCGTTCAGCTGTGTATCCCGGTATGGCTTTGGGTAACCACTGACCTGGGATATTGTGAAGTCTTTTGTCCACCAGTTTAGCCGCCATAATCTATGTACTTGCCGTAATATATGTGCTGGAGAGGATGTTGGAGAGAGCTCGATGGTGTGGAGTGGATAGAATGAATGGGGAGAAAAGAGGGGATCAGATTTGCCAGTCCGCAGTAAGCTTTCCCCACATCGACATCCTGAATGCTTGTCGGCCGACTTCATCCGCCACGTATGCCTATTTCGGTGTCGAGATTGAAAAGCTCAGGACTAGGCTGACTATACTGGATCCAATTAGTTACATATCGGCATTGATGGCGCAACTGGGGGAAGCAAATCCCGAGTGAGTCAGCTATATATATTGCCTAGGCAGCACTACACTAGCCTCGTATTTCACTTCCCTAGTCTTCAAACACCATTGGGTTGTCAGCCAAAGAGTCGTGGACTTCAGCTACTCTTGGGATCTGAACCTGCACCTGCTTCACCAGATCTACGCAATGGAGATCAAAGACATCGACGCTACCGCTATGGCTCATGGGCATCTCCAAGAAGAACTATGGAGAACTGCCCAGGGTCCATGGAAATCCGGGGTTCTGCCCACGGCTGAAAACCTCGCTCGAGCTCGAGCTTCCTTACCGGATCGCCTGTCTCAGGACGGAGTAGGCTTTGAGGCATCCAAGAACCATATTCTAGACGACATTGTTCCTGCTTTCAATGGCAGCAGCATAAGCCCAAACTACTACGGTTTCGTCACTGGAGGAGTCACACCTGCCGCCCTCTTCGCCGATAATGTTGTCTCTGCATATGATCAGAACGTGCAAGTCCACCTCCCAGAGCATTCCATTGCAACGGATGTGGAATCCAACGCTCTAGGTCTTGTGGTTGATCTTCTGGATTTGGACCGGGGAGCCTGGCACCATGGAACCTTCACCACGGGTGCAACCGCGAGCAACATCCTAGGGCTGGCCTGTGGAAGGGAGTATATCCTGCGTGTCGCGGGTAGGAAGAAGGGCGTTGCTTTCAACAGCGTCGGAGAGCTTGGCCTGTTTGAAGCCATGCAAGCTGCCGGTCTTTCAGGAGTGCAGGTTCTATCAACTTTGCCACATTCGTCGGTCGCCAAAGCTGCGGGAATATTGGGCATTGGCCGTTCGAACGTGAAGAATGTCTGCCTGCATGATAACCCCCTGAAGTTCGACATGGGAAAACTCGAGGATGAGCTGCAGAAATCAGACAGGGCGACAATTATCGCTGTCTCCTGTGGCGAAGTCAATACCGGACAATTTTCGACAGGTGGCATGCAGCAAATGCAGGCTCTGCGCAAGCTTTGCGACAAGTACGGCGCTTGGCTTCATGTTGATGGCGCCTTTGGAGTATTTGCCCGGGTTCTTGGAAACAATGAAGAGTTTTCCTCCATCAGGAAAGGTTCCGATGGCATGGAGTTGGCCGATTCTATTACAGGCGATGGTCACAAGCTGCTAAACGTGCCCTACGACTGTGGTTTCTTCCTCTGTCGGCATCCAGATGAAGCAAATAATGTGTTTCAAAACGCCAATGCGGCGTATCTAACGGGGGGCAGTGGCGCGCAGCCTTCAATTCCTTCCCCGCTGAACATTGGAATTGAGAATTCTAGGCGGTTGAGGGCGTTGCCCGTCTATGCTTCGTTGATTGCGTACGGAAAGACCGGGTATCGCTGCGCTCTAGAGAGACAGATCAGATTGGCGAGGATGATTGCAGAGTGGCTTTTTGACCATCCTGCATACAATGTGCTGCCTGAAGCCAACAGCAAGGAAGAGCTGTTAGGCCAGACGTACATGACTGTCCTCTTCAGCGCGAAAGATGAAGAGCTCAACAATCATCTCGCAAAGCGGATCAATGACACCTCCAAGATGTTTGTCTCGGGGACCAGCTGGCAAGGCAGATCCGCTTGTCGGATTGCCATTTCTAACTGGAGGGTCAATGAACAGAGAGACTTTGCTGTTGTTACGGCAGTTCTCGACAGTGTCGCTGGAAGAAACGAGAAAAGCTGAGTTGCTTAACGGCAGGTGTTTAACGGATGCCTCTGAACTTCATAATGCGCAATACTTCTTAGAGACAAATATCAATAGAACATCACCGGCGCCGTCCTGCTCCACCAGCATTTTCGGTTCGGTCAGCAATGTTAACAACCTCACCAATTCCAGCGGCCTCCTGCTCATCTTCCAAGGCCATGATCTCCTCTCTGCTATCCCACCACTTCTCCTCCGCCATACTAAACGCATCTTTGCGTAGTTCCTTGATGTTCTTCTCGATGGTTATACCTCGTTCTGCCAAAGTCTCCATCAGAACCTTTTGCCATTCTTCAGAAGTCCGGCTAAAAAACTCTCGTAAACTCTCGAAAGGTCGAGGTTGAGGCCGGCTATCCTGTACTGATGGCTCTCCTTCTTGTTCTTCCACCTCCAGCTGCTCCATCTCTTTGGTCACAGATGGCACTGTCGGCTCTGTCAGCTCAGTAGGAGCTTGGGATGATGCATCCAATGACATCGTGTCTTCTTCGTCTTCATCTTCATCCTCCTCCTCGTCCTCATCCATCTCGTCGTCACTCTCTTCTTCGTTGAGAAGATGCCAGTTTGCTGGTTCGTTGTAGTAGATTTCCTTGACACCGTCCAGCTTCACCAAGTCGATGGAGTACATGTCATCAAATGTAAACTCCCGGTCACCTTTCTCAAAGGTGCCTCCGAATATGAAAAGCGTATCATCTTGCACGGCTAGCTGTGCATTGAACCGTCTATGCGGCATTTCAAACCGCACAATGGAAGGTTTCTGTGGCTCTTCGGGCTTCTCCTCGCTCTTGGGCGTGCTCAACTGCATTTCGTCGTCGCTATCATCACCCCGGAGACCACCCTTTGCCTCAAGGGCCTTCAAATTCTTCAAGAGTTCTTCTTCGTCGGCCTTGGTCCGATCCCGAGATTTGGCTTGGTTCGCCAACTGCTTTTTGCCCGGAGCGCGGGGCCGTCTCAGACTCAAGGGGAAGAACCGATTGCGATCTGTGTTCCACGCGTAGAGAGTATCGAAGAACTCGCTGTCGATACCTTCCTCGCTCATTTCCACATCATGGACACCACCGAACATTATACCGCGGCCCTTATGGTACGCCATAGTCGCACCAGCGCGAGGGGGATTGGGCGAGTTCGCGGGCTTCTTGCGACGTTCCCAGCGCACTGTTGGCGCTGCGGATGCTCCTGCGTCTGCTTCAGGAGGCGTGACACGGAGAAGCCATGTGTCTTGGTGGACCATGGGCTTCATCGTCATACGCTGAGGGCCACCCTTTTGCGGCCTGTTCCCGACCACCGTTGATGCTTTGACACGGGAGTAGCCTCCATAAAGGACGGCGCCTGACTCGTTGGGGAGGAACGAAAATGAAGAGCGAGGATCGGGCTTCTGCGAGGCAGTGGCCAAGGGAGGATTGAACCATGTATACTTGGAACAATCGTAGATCCACAGATCCTGAAGATACTTGGTCTGCTGCGAGGTATCCTGGAATCCACCGAACAGGAGAATGTAGTTCTTCGCAGAGTCAGAGACGATAAGGGAGCAGGGTAATACAATGTGACTCAACTCACCTTGTAGTATGTCATTCTGTGACCACTTCTGGCGGGAGGCCCTTTTCCTTTAGTCTCCAGACGAGTCCATTCCCTGGTAGACGGGTCGAGATGCCAGAAATCATTGTAATGATAGAATGTCCCTTGCTTCGGCGAAGAGAACTCTCCTGTGCGACATGTATCAGATTGGATTCCAAAATTGATATAGATATGGAGACGCTTACCTCCAAAAAGATAGATGCCACCGCTATTGCCTCCACGACACCAAGCATGACCACTACGCGGCAGCGGACTATTAGGACTTGTAACTTCCTTCCAGTCTCCACGGTCAATGTTATAGACAAAGAGATTGTTGAAGAAAGTTGCGATGGTGCCGTCAAAGTACTCTCCACCAAACACCAACAATTCATTGCGGTTCGACGGAGAGGCAATCACTGTTGCTGAGGACCGGGGAGTGGGCGGTCCCGAGGAAACCTCAGTGACTTTAAGGAACTTGGCCTGTTCCTCTGCATACTGGGCCAGAATGGCATCCAAGTCGGCATCTTCCACGTCGCTGTCGGCGTCTCGTCCCTTGGTTTTGGACTTCTTTTCCTTCTGGGCAGCCTTCTTGGACTGCTTCGCCGCTACCCGTTCCTTGTGTTCGGCGGACTTCTTGTTCTTCTTGCCCATTTTTCAGCTAGCGCAAAGCGTCCGTATTATATCTATGCCTTGAGATAGGGAAGGTAGTAGGGAGTGACCGGGTCAATATTTAGTGGAGTTTTGAGGTTTGATATAGGTACAGCGGGGTCTTTAAAAAAAAAAAAAATTCCTGAACCAACCAACAGTGTAAATTTCAATGCCCATTACCGTATGGTATATCAAAACTTGAATAATGCTTATATAATGCACGATGCTGGTTATTAACTATTGATGACAGGATATATTGTTCCTTTTATCTTTATCAAGTCTCTAATCTGCCGGAATCACTCACAATTTGAGCACCTCAATCTCATCGATGCATGTACTTGTCCTGGTATACACGAATGTAATGCAAATACTCGATATAGTACTGCTTATGTAACATGCAACTCGCTGCTGCATTATTCTACAGAATGTAGTTGTGTAGCAACAATAATTAGGCCAGTTAAGTAATCCTTTCTAGCTGTACTCAGGTTATCTATATTATAAGTATTTCCAGCGCACAATGCGTATCAATGGCCAGCACGAGGGTATATCTCTTGTTGAAGTACCTTCCTGGGAAGTTCTATGCGGAGGTACTCACTCACCGCCCACATGACGACGCGCTTGGACGCGTCCCGTTTGCTATTGATATCGGAGTATTATTTGCTCTTCGTTGAAGTACTCGCCAAACGAACTTCCCCGGATGGAGGACGACACCACGAATGCTCGCTGAATTTTACGAAAAAACATGACAGAAAATCCACGCCTCTATGACGAGGAATAATTTAGAGGCCCATCTCAAATGGCTTTTGAAGCAGGGCCCCTCGCTCTACCCCTCGTTATCTCCGCCGGCCCACGAGGAGCATCCTCGAATCCGATCAGTCGCCTCAGCACATGCGCCGGAGAATCCAGTCGCAGAAATAAGAATAAACGACTCCCAACAGCACACGGAGGAAAGTGTTGGCGCGGAGGTTTTGGGAGATGACACGGAATTGACATCGGATGCAAATATGGCTCGGCTACGACTTGCACCCCAATCTGCACGCAAATCCCGGTTGCTCTGTACTAGCTCCTCACCGCGACGCGCGATTGCTCCTAACTCATCGGTATCACCGTCTGCCAGAAAGGCACAGGAAAACGCGACGCCCAAAGGTAGAGTCCCAGTAGTTCTGGAGACAGCGAGGTAGACTAACAATGCCATGGCTATGAAGGAATCCAAGGCGCTCAAACTACCTCGTTACGCAGTATCGGGCGGTCCACTACAACTCCTCATCGCGCTAAACAACTATCCGACCTTGACTCGCCCTTTTTCGAAGATCTAGACATTGATACTATCGATCTCACTGGCGACATCGACCAAGCGGCAACCTCATCCGGCGCTGTTGAAGCATTTGGGGAGCCACGACGACTGTGGACAGAAGAAGCTGCGTTTCGGACGGAACCAATTGAGAAGCGAGGGAAGAAGCGGAAGAGTGATGAATACAAGTCGGATCTAGTATCCCCGAAGAAGAATGGCGCAAAGGTGCGGCCGCGATCAGCTCTCAAAGCCGATGGTGCTGCATCCTCAGATGCACAAGGCCCATTGCGATCATCAATCACAGCTTCGTCGCGCTCTGCGAAACAAGACCCGACAATACCATCACCAACAAAGCCGACGCGCCGATCCTCTCCACCCCAGCGAAGAGGTGTCGATAGGGTCATTGCTGACTCTGATGATGAGTTGTTCGATGACTGGAGCGCTGGTGGCGGTGATTTGGAGCTGGATGACAATCAATCGCTTTATCCAGTTCTCCCAAGACAAGACTCTCCAGAGAACCGAGGAACAAGCGAATCTTCGACGCGAAACGCCAAAAATTCCCCAGCTCCGTCTGCTGTGCCCAGACTAACAGAGTTAAAACAAGACTCACTTCCTGGATCCCCCTCGCGTATCCCGTCCTCGTCAAATTTGTCAGAGTTATACCCGAAGAACCAGGAACTTGCCGAGTTACTGGCTGTTTCAAACGGATATCTCGATCAACAGATCGCAAATCTCCGGGACACTCTGACGAAGAACTCGGAAGTCGTCTACATGCAAGCTATGAAGGGCGAGCTAGCCCCCGAACTGATCGCTGAGAACAAGATCCTCACAGATCGGATAGACGCAATAGAGTCATTGAAACAACGCAAGTCAGCGTACCACGCATGTGAATCAGAAAAGGGAAAATTGAAAGACGCTCTCATGAGAGTCATCTCACAAGGTGGTGACCCGCACACAATGCCCCATGAACTTGCCCAAAGTCGGAAATGTACTTCTCAACTGGAAGAGATGGAGCATGAAATACTACGATTACTGGCTCGAGCTCAGATTCCACTGAACCAAAGTGGTCAACCACGAACGACTCTCCCAACAGACAGAGAGCAATTAGGTCAGAGTGACCGGTTGCCCAAGCATTCTATCTCAACCAGCGATGCTCCCACTCGGTCCTTCAACACTCTTGGAACTGAGCGTTCTCGGCGTCCGTCATGGCCGACTATGGACAGTGGACCTAGTTCTCGAACCGAGAACAGGTCCCGTGCAGCTGACTCTTTTACTCGCGGCACAGATAGAGTCTCTGGAACGGACATCTTTAATTATGATGAGTCGCTTATGAGTGGTGATGACGACGCTTTTACCAGGACTATGGGCTCACCGACACTTCCAGCTCAGCAGGCGGACGAGTTTGACCTGGACGCCGATGATGCAGAGATGCTTGAGGCCGTCGATTATTTTGAGGATGCCCCGCCGCCTCCCCACAGTCGTGAGCCACTAAATCGGAAAGTCTTCGCTGAGACATCCGGAAATATTTCGCGGGTGCCGGCGTCGCAAAAGTCACCCAGTCATAATGCTCTTTGGCACCAGCATCCATGGTCGAAAGAGGTGCGGACAGTGCTAAAAGATCGATTCCACCTCCGAGGGTTCCGTATGAACCAGCTTGAAGCCATCGATGCAACGCTCAGTGGCAAGGATGCATTCATTCTCATGCCGACAGGAGGAGGAAAGTCGCTCTGCTATCAGCTCCCGTCCGTTGTCACTAGTGGCGCAACTCGAGGAGTCACTATTGTTGTGTCCCCCTTGTTAAGTCTGATGCAGGATCAAGTCTCACAGCTTCGCAAACTTCATATCAAAGCATACTTGCTTAACGGAGAGACACCAAAAGAGGAACGGCAGTGGATAATGAGAACACTGTCCGGATATGGCGCGGAGGACGAGATCGAGCTGTTGTATATCACGCCAGAAATGCTCACCAAGAACCAGACCCTGGTCAACAGCTTAGAAAAACTCAACCGGAAGTCTAGGCTGGCGCGCATTGTGATTGATGAAGCACATTGTGTCAGTCAATGGGGCCACGATTTTCGTCCTGATTATAAGGAGCTGGGGAATTTGAGATCCCAATTACCTGGTGTTCCTATGATGGCCCTGACAGCTACGGCAACGGAAAACGTGAAAGTGGACGTCCTCCACAACCTTCAAATGCAGGGTTGCGAGCTTTTCTCGCAGAGCTTCAATAGGCCAAACCTTACATATGAAGTCCGTCCGAAGCCAAGCAAGAACGAACTCTTGGCTAGCATAGCGAACATAATCACGACCAAGTATCCCAATCAATCAGGAATCATTTATTGCTTGTCGCGTGACTCATGCGAAAAGGTTGCGAAGAGTCTGCGAGAGGACTATGGCATCAAGGCTGAGCATTACCATGCAGGTATGAAGCCGGATGAGCGAAACCAAGTTCAACATGGCTGGCAAGCTGGACGGTCTCATGTCATTGTGGCAACGATCGCTTTCGGTATGGGTATCGATAAACCCGACGTACGCTATGTGATCCATCACAGCCTTCCGAAAAGCTTGGAAGGCTACTACCAGGAAACTGGTCGTGCTGGTCGGGACGGCAAACGCTCTGGCTGCTACATGTACTATTGCTACAAAGATGCCATGACCATCACCCGTATGATTGACCGAGGTGAGGGCAGCAAACAGCAAAAGAGCCGACAGCGACAAATGCTCCACAATGTCGTGCAGTATTGCGAAAACAAAAGCGACTGTAGAAGAGTCCAGATTCTCGCCTACTTCAACGAATACTTCCGTCGGGAAGACTGCAACTCTTCCTGCGACAATTGCAAATCCGATTCTGTGTTTGAGCTCCACGACTTCTCCCGGCATGCTGCTTCTGCAATAAGTGTGGTGCGATACTTCCAAGAGTTGGGGGAAAAGGTCACCTTGTCATATTGTGTGAACATTTATCGCGGCAGCGTGAAGAGGTTCCGTTCAACTGAGCATCGACAGGCTACTGGCTACGGCGATGGCTCATCACTGGAGATGGGAGAAGCCGAAAGATTATTCCACCGTCTCCTGGGTGAAGGAGCTTTGGTTGAAGATAATGTCGTCACAACGGGCAAATTCGCTGTGCAGTACATAAAGCTCGGGAAACGCGCTTCTGAGTTTGAAAGTGGACGTCGCTCTCTCCAACTCTATGTTCGAGTTTCGCCAAATGGGAAGAGTCGTGGTGGGCGCGAGTATCACCCGCAGTCCACGAATGTCTCATCGCCAGTTCAAGCCGCCCACAGTCGCCGTTTGGCTCGTTTTCGGTACAGCAATGGCGGAGGCGACGACTCGGACAGCGATGGGGATAGCGACGGCTTCGAGCCCGTCCGGGTCGCTGGACAGCAAAAACGCGACAAGAGGCATGTTCCAGGTCCACCTATCACGCAAGATCATAGGTTCGACCAGCTGGATCCCCTGCATAAAGCCGTTGCAGAAGATTTCATGGTTTACGCAAAAAACTATTGCCAAGATGTAAGAACCCCGATACAAAGCAGGCTGAGTTGCCGGTTTCTCACATTTAGAACAGCTTGTCCTCAAGAAAGGCCTTCGCAATCAACCTTTTACCGATACTGTGTTGCGTGAAATGGTCATATCTTTCCCGAAAGGTAAGCTTAGCTGTGTCGTGCCCACGTATAACGCTAATTTATGATAAGATATGACCGAACTCGCCGCGATTCCCGGTATTGACCCGGACAAAGTCAATCGCTATGGAGCCCAGATCCTGAAACTTGTACGGGACACCCAACGCCGCTTCGCGGAGCTGATGAAGGACCGTGACGACGCTGACGGTGTTGTGCCGGACCCCAATCACAAAAACGTTATTAACCTCACGAGTGACGAGGAGGAGTACGATGATGGCGACGTCTTCGATCAGGCTTCCAACCTGGGTCTCGACGAAAACCCCATTTCGAGTCGATATTTCAGTACTCAGCCCATTCCTCCCAGCGATTCAGATGATGAAGCTCCCTCCAAAACTAGAGGTTCTAAGGGTCGCAAGCGTGCCGGTACAAGGCGGCCACGCAAGAACACTGTTTCTAGCAGGCCCAGGGCCAAGTCAGCGCGGCCGAAAAAGAAACAGGGTGACCGATCTGATAGTCGTCCGTCTGTGCGGAAGGGTTCCAAGCCTTCCGCATCCACTTCTCTCATCGGGATGATGCCTGTATGAAGAGTTGGCCTAGTTCTCTTCCTCTGTGATGTGCGTGACGATAGACTTGATGTTATGATGGATGGCGCTGCTTCTGCTTGCATGTTCAGGCGTTCTGTTTTATTTGCTTCTCTCCCCTTGCTTCTGCATGCTGGTGTGGAAGAGTCGCTTACATGCAGATTCTTGTAAAATAATGGCGTATATATACCCTGATTTCACTCAATTATGAGTTGAACACTTGAACTCTTCTCATTGCCATATTGGTATCTCAAAATTCATGGTAAATCGTCACACAAGCTTCGCCTCAAAGGCCAAGTCATTCAGTCATCCAACGAACGCCCAAAGTCGATCAATCTAAGCCGTTTCGCGTTATGGGGATGGAACTGCGCAACCTTCGCTCTCACCAAAAACCTTGAGGATGCAGATTCGCGAGGGAGATCGATATAGGACGACCCGGCTTCTAACAGTGCATCCAGTAGGTCATGCATTTCCGCAGCAGCAGTCTCTCTCTTGTTGTTCCGATTCACCGCCTGACTACCCCCGGGGGCTGATTGGCGTGGAACAAGTTCGTCAATACGAAGTTGGGTGCTATCGATGTTCGTCTCACCGGACTTGGGCTTCTTTGGTTTCCCATGGCTCGTATATCCGCGCTCGAGTACAGCGTCGGAAATCTCGTCTGCATCTCCAACCGTAGGGCCTCCTGAGTCCTCTGCGGCGAGCATGGAGGCCAGCGTCCTATCAACGAACGCATGCAGGGTTTTCTTTAGATCCTCTGTGGCCCTGTCGAGTTCCTCTCTCTTCTCCTCCTGTTCGTCGACAAAATCACGTGCCAGTTGTGACGGCGTCTTTTCGACTTTGGATGATTGCTCGATGCGGACCTTTTGTATCCGCTTCTGTAGCCCATCGCGGATGGCTTGGGCGTCGCGCAGGTTCGCCTCTTCGACCTTTAAGCGCTCGCGATTGGCGGACAGACTCTCAGCAGTCATCGAGACGTAAGCTTTGCTTTCTTTTACCAGGCGCGACGTCTCTTCAGCTGCAATGAGAGAAGGCAGGGGCGATAATGGGTCCGGCAGGTTCGTTTCTGCATTCAGAAGAGAGTCATATGCTTTCTTGGCTCTCCGTACTTCAGAAACACGGGCCCATGGGTCTGTGTGGATTTTAGAAAAATCAACCGCATTGGTCGTTCGAAGCTGTAGTTTATGTTAGGCATTCTTCCACGGCGCATTTACTGAAAACCGGTCTGTACATACTGTCCGCAGATCATCCTCTTGGCGTCTGACCTGCTCTTGGAGCTCTCTCAGGGTGTCATCTAGCTTCCTGTTATAGGCTTGGATCGCGGCCGAACTAATGGGTTGGTCATCATAAGCTTCTTCAACCTTCCCGCGTCGTTCTGCGAATCGTTGGATCTTCTCAATTGGGGTCTGATACATGTCTCTCAGGAGATTTGGGTTGGTTGGTATAGAATGTCACTTTTCATATCAGAATGAATGCAATGACAACGCGTGAACTCCTTTCGACTGTTTGCGATGCTATATTCACGTGACAAGAGCCACGCCATGCCTGAAATAGGTTAGCGTGGTCCCGTGCCATCGGCTCACAGCACGCCTTCTCACAACCTCATCTCTTCACCGCGACCTCTTCTCTATCGTCTTCATCTCCTTTTCTCCCCGTCAGTGCCTCTATTTCACAGCTACGGTCCAAAACTGCGGCTTTTGTGCTCCATCCTGTCTTTTCTTTGTTCTCTTTTGCCTACCTCCCTCAGCCTGGGCTCGTTCTGGTCCCTATCGTTATCTCCTTAGTTGGATCTCTACGCGCCCCGAAGTCATCGCGTTTCTTGGAGGAGAGCGGATAGAAGGGGCTCTGGCTATCTATCGTTGAAGACTTTAACCTGCTCTGTGGCATTTCATCACTTCCCCAGCTGCCCACCCGTCAGCCTCACGTCGGACCCTGAGTTTCTCATCCTCTCATCGTTCACCAACACCCTCTCCGTTTCATCGCACCCGATTCGATTGAGTCATTCCTCTACCTCCATCTCATAAGCATTGCTTTGCTTCTCAAGCAAAGTGCACTGCTTGTTATCCAAGGCCCGTGATCACCCAGCATTACCTTCCTGCTCCGTCGACCTATCCTTCTTCCAGCACCTCACCTCCTTCACCGTGCACGATCACCAAATTTTCCCAGTCTTTTCAAGCACCAGAATTCCCTCTCCAGTCGGTCGCCAGCACCAGCAAGTTTTATTGGGAACTCCTGGTGTACATAGTCGATCCAAAGATAAAGCTGAAGAAAAAAGAAAGATATTCTCTGACACTCGACTTCCTGCGTAAGTGAAGCACAGACAGCACATCTGGAGCCATGTCTGCCTCGCCGTCTGCATTGCAATCGACCAAACGTCCCCTGGAGGATCCGTCCTCTCCCTCGGGCCCCAACGACCAGCCCGAAGCCAAGCGTCCTGCTTTGGATAAAGTAGTTAAGGGTGAGGAGTCCGAAGACATCAAGACTGAGACTACCCGTGCCGATGGTCAGAATGACACGGTGGTGCCTGATGCTCCCAAGGCTGCATCCTCTGAGACGCAACCCATTCAGTCCACCGCGTCCCATGCGGACGCCGGTGCTTCTCAGACCGAACAGCAGCGGCCTCAGGATGAGTCCAGCTGGATCCACATCCGCGCCGTAATCTCCAGCCAGGAAGCCGCGACGGTTATCGGTAAGGGTGGAGAGAATGTATCCCAGATCCGTCGTCTGTCTGGGGCCAAGTGCACCGTCAGCGATTACTCCCGCGGTGCGGTGGAACGTATCTTGACTGTCAGCGGCCCCCAGGACGCCGTTGCGAAGGTTAGTTTTATATGTGCGCATTCCTGACAATCAAACCCAATACTCATCTTTACGCTAGGCATTCGGTTTGATCATCCGTACCTTGAACAATGAACCCCTTGATGCCCCCTCCACTGCCCAGTCCAAGACCTACCCCTTGCGTTTGTTGATCCCCCATATCCTCATTGGTTCGATCATCGGTAAGGGTGGTGGTCGCATTCGCGAGATCCAGGAAGCCTCCGGTGCTCGTCTGAATGCCTCCGACGCCTGCCTGCCCCTCTCCACTGAGCGGTCGCTTGTCATCCTTGGTGTTGCGGATGCCGTCCACATCGCCACTTACTATGTCGCCGTGACGCTTGTGGAGCAGCTCACTGAGCGCTTTGGCGGCCCCGCTGCCTCTGCTTATGCTACCCGCAGCGGTGGTCCGGCTGGTGCTGTGCCTGGTGGCATGCAGGTCGTCCCATACGTTCCTCAGCCTGCTGGCGGTCAGTATGGTCATCCCGACACCTTCAAGCGTCACCACCCTCACCCCAACCGTGGTGCAGCCGGTGCCTATGGTGTCCCTTATCTCCATGGACAAGCTGCACCCACTCCCGTGGCCCAACCCGCGATGCACTATGGCGCTGCGCCTACCCCCTATGCTGGCGCCGGTCCCCATCAGCCTGCCCCCTATCCCCCGCAGGTTCCTCAGCCACGTGGAGGCCCGACTCCTGTCGCTCCCGTGGCCGGTGGTGCTATGCCGGGTCAGCCTCTGACGCAGCAGATCTACATTCCCAACGACATGGTCGGTGCCATCATCGGAAAGGGTGGTGCGAAGATCAACGAGATCCGTCACCTTAGTGGCAGTGTGATCAAGATCAACGAACCCCAAGAGAACAGCAACGAGCGTTTGGTGACCATCACCGGCACCCAGGAGTGCAACCAGATGGCGCTCTACATGCTTTACTCTCGACTTGGTACGCACCCTTTGCCCCCGTCGTCTCCGAATGAACATGCTAACGTATTTCATAGAAAGCGAGAAGCACCGGATCTGAGGGGGTGGAGTTTGTGTCTAGTTTCATGTTTTCCCTTTCGACAAGCGTTGAGAGCTTTGTTCTTGAGTCGTCTTTCTGGTGTGGCCATGCCTATGTGTTTTTCATTTTCGGGTAAATTGGTTTCGAGGTGTATTTTACTGAAAAGCGCCGCTAATTGAGGTCACGATGTATTCCCACTTATTTCAAAACCCCTAATGATCCCATATACACTTCCCCCTCTGCCACACATCCCCCACGCGGTTAATTTACAACCCATCAAACCTTCTGAAAACTAACATGCTTCATCCCCAACCCCTGCACTGGCGGGAGCATCCTCTCCCGAATCGGCTGAATAGACTCCGTAAACTCCTTCGACTGCTTGATCGCCATATGCGCCTCCACGCTCTTCCACCCCACCGTCAGCAGATGCACGATAGCCTGCCCCGTCGGGCTTTTCTCATGCTGCAGCGAGCCAGGCCGCTCCACCTGCCCCATAGCCCAGGACGTCGGCCGCGACTCCGCAGGAAGCTGCTCGGTCAGCGCATTGCGGAAGTTGATCAGGTCGTTGCAGAGGGCGCGGTGGTCGTCCGGCGTCAGCGAGCTGGGGAACGCGAGGGCGCAGAGCTCCGTGACGGGGTTCTGGGTGAAGGTGTCGGTTTTGGAGATGGACGGGCTAAGCGTGGTGTAGATGACGGTGACTTGCGTGTCGGGTTCGACGAAGGGCGCGAGAGATTGCGGCTGTATGCCGGCGTGGGCGTCTTTCCATTCTGCGTGGAAAATCAGTTAGGAGAAGGGGGGGTGGTTGTTGGCTGGAGATGGTGGTGGGGTTTATGCGGTCGATTATTACACTCACCTACTACCCAGACGATCGTCTTCGAGTCTTCCACTGTCCTACCCCACGCGCTGCTGTGATAGCCGCTCTGGTGCTTGGTGGTCTGGAAGTGCTCCAGGAGCAGGCGGCCCTCCTCGCTGGAGGGGTCTTCGGGTTTGACGGAGTCTTTGGGTTGGAAGTAGATTAGTTCGGCGACGGTGGACATGTTGGTTGTTGGGTCAATTGGTGTGTTTCAGTCTGCGATGTGGATGAAGTTTGGGATGTTCTTGGGACAAGAGCTCAATTTGTTCTGGCGAAGAAAGATGATGTCACAGGATGATGTCAGCTATACAAATACGATCCTAACTATCCGAAGTATAAGAAAACCGTTATTTACTAATTCAAATGGTCAAGATAGTTACCTCTCTTTTACGATCTGTTAATTCTTATTATCTTACGCTCCCACTTCACAATGGATATACTCAAACACTTCCAGCAACCAGTTTCAATAACAAGTAGAACTCGCTTTGGGGAATTTGGCCAGGATGCCACACAAATATATTAGGCGGTCACATTAGTTGATTGATACCCAATCCACGCCCAGGTGAGCATCCTTTGGCTGTATGTACACATAACCACTCTTCAAGAAAGGCATCTCAAAATTCAATTAACTGCCACTGTACCGCGCCGGCCCGCTGTTCTCAATGATTCATCTCGTGAAGTCTGAAGACACGTAAACAAAAATAGACAGTCGAGTTATACAAATGAGTACTTCTACACGTCATCCACCCCCCTGACCTTCGACTTTTTCTGCTCGATGGCTTGTTTCAGGCCCCCAACGATCTGTTGTCGGCGCTGCATCTTCGCCTTCCATTGCGCACTCTCCTTGGTGGCGAGGCCGGTCGTGGTTTCAATGTTCCGAAGACGACTTGCCCTGGCCGACCCGTTGACACTAGATCGGAAGTTGACCCCTCGAGTAGCGGATTCGGGCGTGTGGTATGCGCTCACTCCGCCGTCAATAGATCCACGTGAGCCCGGGGTAGCAGGAAGTCTTCCTGCTGGTTTCCGTGGTGTGGTGAACGGGGAACCCTCCCGACTTGCCGGAGAGCCAGTCGTGTCAATACCCATCTTCCGTAGTTGAGCTTCCAAAACATCAATATCACTACTCTTGCTCTCGGCCATGTTCATCATCGTGGCAATAGTAGACGTGACGGCCTCGACGGTCGGACGTTTTGCAGACTGTCGGGAGCTGTCAGATCGGGGCGCGTCCGCAATCCGGGCTCGCAACAGAGACACGGCCGACTCCAAATCAGCCAGCTTGGCTTGGATGTTCGTGGAGGCCGACCGAAGATCCTGTTGGAGATTGGCTTGCTCGGCCGACAAGGGCGCAGAAACGATTGCAGCCGCATCGGTATAGGCGTCAAGCGTCCGTCGGATGCTGGCGCATTGGCCACGTAAAGTCAAGATATCTTTACTCAGCAGATCTTGACAGCCCTTGAGCTTCTCGTCTACTCCTTGTAACCGTTGGTTTTCCAACAAAGAAACAAGGAGAGTGACACCATCATCGAGCTTTTCAATCTGCGACAGGCGGAGGTTCCGATCCTGGATATCAGCTGGCTGATCACCTTCCAATGTCTGGACCCAGTCGGAATCCTCCTCTTGTTGCTGGAAGAGGAGGAACGAAGATAGGGAACGAGAGTTGATGCCCAACGTATCCACCATAGAGTTGATATCACGATAGAGCTTTTCAATCTGCCCCGGGATACCAGGCTTACTTGTTTCACCTGTATAGTCCTGATGGGGCAAGAAAGGGTCAAGAGTTGGAACAGGCTCTACCGGCCGGGCAAGATCAGCATGCAATCTTTCGTCTTCATCGTCAGAGAGCGACAGAGACTCTTCCTCTTCGCGCTGAGCTTGCGCTCTAATATGAGCTTGTTCCGGGCTGAACGCAGGAGCAGAAGGCTGAGTCAGAAGACCTTCGCGTCTCGCAGACTCTCCTAGTGAAGCCTTCCGAGCAGCAAGGGCACTCCCAGGCGGTTGCTTCTTATGCTTGAAGAGGGTCCCCGATACCCCACGTCTGACCGGGCTCGGCGATCGTGGGGGTTCACGATTCGCACTGGGGCCTGGAGGAAAGAAGGGCTTCGCAACCTCGCCAAACAATTGTCGTGGAGGCTGCTGTTCATGCTTAACCGGCTGAGATACACGAGAGAATAAGCCTCCAAGTGAACTCTTGTCGGACTTTTCGGCACCAAAAGAGGCACCAAACGAACTCTCCGGCGTAATCTTGGGGGTTTCCTCCCTTGCTTCAGGTTCGCCTTCTTCTTCTTCATCTTCCTCCTCCTCAGATTCTTCTTCGCCTTCTCCCTCGCTAACTTCATGCGTGATATCCTCTCCACTATCAGTGAAACCGGATTCGTCCGCATCGGAGCCATCTGGAACGGGGCCAGGCTCCCCGGAGTCATCTGCTGCAGGTTTTGACTTTGTAAAATCTGGGGGCAGAGGTGCCTCTTCCGGCTCAACCTTCTTGCTCTCCTTCGGCTTCTGAGTGAAGTCTGGGGGAAGAGGCGCCTCTTCCGGCTCAGCACCCCTGGTCTCTTTTGGCTTTTGAGTGAAGTCTGGAGGAAGAGGTGCTTCTTCAACAGAGCTCTTAGACACGTTGGAAGAAGCAGATGTATCCCCAGGTCCATACACCGCTCTGCTGGTTGAGTCAGGAGGCAGTGGTGCTTCCACCTCTGTCTTGATGGGGGTGCTCTCGGCATCGGTCGAAGGCTCCTTTTTGAAAGTAGGACTAGGGACTGCTGTTGCTTCTGATGTAGGGGAGAACGGTGCAGATGGTGGCTTCTCGGCAGCCTTATTTCCAAACATTGCGAAAGGGGACTTGTCTGTTGGAGGCGCACCAAAAGGTTTGGGTGTTTGTGCCTGTGTCTGGGTGCCGAAGATATTTGATGGAGCAGTGGCTCCGAACTTGGACGGTGCGCCAAATAGCGAAGGACCCGGTTTGGCTTCAGGCTTCTCTTTCGGGGGTGCAGAAGATTCGTCTTCCATATCATCCATACTTTCTGTAGGCGGACTGGCTTTATTGGGAGTAGAAACCATCTCGTCCAGGGACTCACCCAAGGAAAACAACGATCCCGTTGGCTTTTCTGGTTTGGGACCATCGTTCACCGCGCTGCCATCGCCCTTGAAGGAGGACTCAAGTTTGAACCCAGTGCCACCGAGTCCGAACAAGCCTTTTGACTCCTCACTCTTCTGAGAAGTCGTGCCAAAAGACGTTGTGGAAGTAGTTTGGTTGCCGAATACCGACGCGCCTGCCGGCTTCGCGAACAGGCTTTCTCCCGCGGGTTTACTGAATGGCGATTCGGCCGGTTTCTGCGACGCTAGACCAGCAAACCCGCCTGCACTCGCGAATGACCCGAAGCCAGCGCCTGATGGGGCACCCGAGGTCCCGAAGGACGGCGCGCCAAACCCCTTCGCAGGCGTTGACGGTTGTCCAAACGCTGGTTTCGCTCCCATTGAACCGAAACCCGACTGTCCAAATTGTGGCGAGCCACGGTTCAATGTACTCGGTGTGCCGAAGGATGGAAGTTGAGATGGAGTTCCGAAAGAAGGTGCTCCAAACGCGGGCTGCTGGCGAACACCCAGTGGTGAAGGGCTGCCAAAAGCCGGGCCGGAAGACGGTTTTGCAAATGCCGATGAAGCTCCTAGAGCAGATGGGCTGCCAAAGGCAGATTGACCAAAGGCAGGCTGCTTAGGGGGTTCGGCAGGGGCCGGGGCTGGGGTCGCAGCTGGGGCCTGTTGAGGCGCACCGACCGAAGAAAGGCCATGGTAGGGAATTTTCTGTCGGATTGAATCGGAGTAGATGAACCACCAAGAGGAAAGAATACCCTCATTATTGAGCAGAAGTACGTTTGGCAGGGGCGTGGAGCTCTCAGCAATGTCTTCACCCTGGATTGGAGAAATCACCACATCTGTACTTGACAGATCAATGCCCAGGCCAATCACAGTAGTCTCATCAACAGAGTCCTTAAGTGGAAGAGAAGCTCTCTTAGTGTCGTCATTCACTTCAGTCGTAGTAAACAACCCCACAGTTTCCTTGGCAGCATCATCGCTGGCAAGCGGCTGATCAGACCTAGTGATCATTCCAACATCAGTAGATGCGGTAGAAGAAACGATCAAAACATCCTTCAGATGGGGCCTGTAATCTCGCAACCGTGCGATGAATTGATAGGCAGGGGCACGCTTGAAGCCGAAGGGAGTGCACAGCTCAGGTAGCTTGCGGATTTCGAACGGAGCCTGCTTTTTCCTTGTGATGATATAGTAAGAGGAGGATGGCACCTGGCCCATGTCATCCTCCGCGGCATTAGGTGTGTATACCATCAGGAAAATATCGTTCTCGAGCCAAGCAATGGAGGACACATGGCAATCGCCTTCCAGATCGGACGGACGCGGGATAATATCCTTCTGGGCGCCATCCGGGGCCATCTGGTATCCAGTACCGTCGGCAAGTCCGGCCACAAGCTGCTTTCCCTTGTTGCTCCAACATACCGAGCTCACACCAGTCTTCAAGACCTGTCCATTCGGCCCCGAAAGCAGATTCCCAGCCTTCAAATCGGCAATCAACAGTTCCCCGTTGTTTGTCACGAGGGCAACCAGAGATGAATGAGCATCATCGGCTTGCGCGGGATTGGGAGCTAGGGCTCGGAACGTGGCGTTATTGGTTGGGATAGACAAAGCCGGCTGCGCATTTCCCGTCGTCAGGCTGGCGGTCTCGTAGACGGCGAGTTGGGCTCCATTCTCCGTTGCCACAACTAGTGCGCTTTCACCGGAAACGAAGGCGACATGTGTTGGCCGCGCAGGAAGGGAGATCGTAGCCTGGGGCTGGAAAGGCTTTGTTTTGACCTTATCTTCGCCGGTGGGGGCGGCGATGGTCTTTCGGACGGCGTCGGAGGAGGCGATAACCAGGGAGTCGGGCCCAGCACCAACGATGACGCCTTTAGTTGGTGCGACAGCGAGGAGCGAGCTAGTTGGGGAGGGGAGGGCGTCCTCGGGCCAAGGGGTGGGCAACAGTCGAATGTTGGTATCGCCGGAAACACCTTTAAAGCCCACTTCCTATTTTCACAGGTTAGCCCACATGCGAAACCCAGGAGAGGGAGCACACCACGTACCTCCGCATAGACATCGGGGAGCTCAGGTCCGAGCTCAGCTGGTATATTCGCCCCAGCGGGGCTGGACGCAAAACCGAACGCCATTCTGAGTTTGTCTAAGTCGGCAGAGATCGAACGAGGACGGTCGCCTAATGATCGCCTGGTCGGAGAAGCATGGGGAGATGTCGGACTCGGCGGTGGCAAGGATGCAAAAGAGCGACGTTGGAGTTGTTGGGGACTCCGGTTGAAGAGCTTCAGAGTACGCGCAAAAATCTTGAGAACCTCCGCTCGAGAGGAGGAGACCCGTCCAAGGAAAAGGACAATCCCCTAGTGAAAGAGGACGATCGAGTCAAAGAAAAACGCGTAAATCCGATGCGCCACCGGCTGGCTCTGCGAGGAGGAGAGGAGAAGAGCAGAGAGAGCTGGATGTAGTCGTAGTGACGGATAAAAAACAGCGGGAGAGCTCCTTCTGTTTAACTCGATCGACGTGCGGGTGTTTCTGCCTCAGGCATTACCAGGCAACGGGAGCTTCGTCACTCTCAACCTCATCATCTCCGACCACAGCTCTCCCTCTCTCATCTCTCTCCCTCCTTAATTCCCCCACCCATCTTCACGCCAGAGCTCTCCGTTCCTCGAATAAGCTCTGTCACGGCTCCTCCTGATTGTTTCTTCTATCCTCCGTCACTTCCTCCTCTCTAGCCACTCTCCACACCGTCACCATGACCGGCTTTGATTTCTCCAACTACAACCGCAACGCGGCCCTCCATGCCAGGGGTGTCCCTCTGCCCAAGGCTACAAGCACAGGTACCACGATTGTGGGCTGCATCTACGATAATGGCGTGGTGGTACGTGTTCCTCAAGCCCGGCAAACAGCTGGGGTTCTCGGAGGATGAAGCTGACAGCTCGGTTCTCACCCAGATCGCCGCCGACACCAGAGCTACGAGCGGTCCCATCGTCGCCGACAAGGTACAACCCACCCCAATTTACCCCACCATCCCGAGCCGATCACTGACCTTCTGTCTCCCAACAGAACTGCGAGAAGCTGCACTACATCGCGCCCAAGATCTGGTGTGCCGGAGCCGGTACCGCGGCCGACACTGAATTCACCACCGCCCTCATCAGCTCTAACATCGAACTGCACTCCCTGTCGACGGGCCGGCCCCCACGAGTAATCACCTGCATGACGATGCTGAAGCAACACCTCTTCCGCTACCAGGGCCACATCGGCGCGTACCTCGTCGTGGCCGGCGTCGACCCGACCGGCATCGGCCTCTACACCGTGCACGCCCACGGTTCGACAGATAAGCTGCCCTACGTGACCATGGGCTCCGGTTCGCTGGCCGCCATGTCGGTCTTCGAGTCCACGTGGAAGCCAAACCTCGACCGCGCCGGCGCCATCGCCCTGTGCGCTGAGGCCATCAAGGCCGGTATCTTCAACGATCTCGGATCCGGTAGCAACGTCGACGTCTGCGTCATCGAGAAGGACAAGCCCACCCAGCTGCTGCGCAACTACATGCGTCCCAACGAGCGTGGCCAGAAGGAGCGTGACTACCGCTTCCCTCAGGGCACGACGGCTTACCTCAACCAGAAGATCATGAGCAAGGAGGACATGCGGAAGTATGTCACAATCGAGGAGGCTTCTGGGGATCCCAACCTCATGGAGGTCGACTCGTGATCGGGTGCGGAGTAAAGGGTTAGACAGATTCAGTCGTTGTTTTTATCTTACTATGGGGCATACATGAAATCACTTGACGATACTGCAGCCATGCTCTGTATTATTTAATGCCAAAGAACGTATAGGAAAGATATCCTCTCACTGTAGAGTTCTTCCATTTCCCATGGCCCCTGAACATATGCGAAGAACATGTGATTGACAGCGTATATGTACTGTTTGAACTATATACAGCATTGGGTATCCTATAACTCTAGGTCTATTATACAGGATCACCGGCTAGCTCGTCCACAGGCGTCCGTCCTACCTGTGGCGGCTGCATTAGGGCAGTGACCACTTCAGGGCCCTCGAACCTCTTTACAGCGTTAAAAATGAACTCGTATTTCGTAGGGGAGATGCTGTATCCCTCCCGTCGGCAGCGCAGAATGCCCGCATGGTACATTGCACGCACCAGGGCGGGCCGGACAGGCGCATTATGCCGCATGAGAAACGCATACAGCCAATGGACAAGAGCGTAGGCGCGCGGTGGGCTGAGGGCTTTCGAACACGAGATCGAGATTGCCAGAAGATGGATCATTTCGAGTGCCACGTGAGGATCTGGACTCTCCGCGGTCCTGGGCTCCGGGTAGTACCGAACGAGAGCTTTTTCGGATGCATCCGGGAGAGGCTGCCATGACATCGCCAGGGCGATCTTCAGGGGCGTGTGGGAGCGAAGGAGGCGGATGAGCGTCCAGATGCTCTTTGCATCGCCAGTCCGAGCAAGATGGACGCTCTGCTCGATGAATGAGGGGCTGGTGACGTCGATCTGGCGGACCATCCGTTCGTGCGTGGAAAAACACCGCGAGACCATTGAGTTGTATGTGTTGAGGTCCGAAAAGGTATCTGCTAAGGAAATCTTGGAAGACTCCAGGTTTTCGAACATCTTCCGAGACGCGGCCGTCAATCTCCTCCTGGTTTTCAGCTCAACGGCCAGCATGAGCAAGCCGTTATACGGCATGCCCAGGTCATGAATTCCTTTCATGAATCCCATCAAGAAATCGCCATCCGTCCGTGAGCCAATGAGAGCTTCATATTGATTGAAAAGCTCCAAAATCGGGAGATCGGTTGCGCGGTGGTCCTGAATCCAGAGCGGTCCTCGAGGAAGGTTCTGACTGAGTGTTCGCAAGACCCAGAGACGTGCAATAATCTGATGCTGCGGGGGCAGTGCTGAAGACTTCGCCGGCGTGTCAACCCAAACCCGGGCAGACACAACAGTGTCCACATCTGGGAGCCTGCGCAAACAATGCTGCCACCTTTCAAGCAGATGGTTTTGGCCCGGCCGCATCAGTGACTCAGTGACGGACAGGATATGGGACGATGCAACTTCAGGGGACAGCTTCCGTAACAAAGCATTAGGGTAATCTCCCTTCGGCCGGAATCGTGATCCTTCAGGTGATCCCAGCCAGAGTCTGATAACAACAGGCACCCATGCACAGCTCGCGGAGTGCGCACATCGAGTTGCCAGGATGATCTCTTTGGCCAGAAGAAGGGCGTCGTATGTTTCGATTTTAGAAAGCGCATCCAACCACGTGTCAGTTATGTGTCCATCCAGGTCCTTGTATCCGAAGACATCGCATCGTCCGATAGCACGCCACATTTTCCGGTAGACATCCATCAAGAGGCTGGGGTCTCGCTTCGACAAGTGATCGGATCCAGCAAGCATTTCAGATAACTTTTTGATAATACCGGTCAATTCCGTTGGGTGGATTTTTCCAAGCTCGAGCGCTCGGACGATCGTGCGCGATAGAACGGAGGGGATGGCGTGGGCATCGTTATGGGAGGAAATATGCATCACGGCGCTTAGATAGTTTCCCGCTCCGTGAATATTCAGGTACGGGTCATCCAGAAACATAGCGACCTCCTCGATGGCCGATGCGTTGGCCGCAGAAAGCGCCAACAAATGGTCAAAAATGAGCCGGCTGCACGTCGGTTGTCGCTGGAGGTCAATTCCGAGATGGCGAACAAGCTCCCACACATCTTCCAACCCCTGACACTCTCCCAATAGCTCACCAAAATGCTGTTCTCGCGAAGCACCATCCGTGTTTTCAGGAACCGCAGGCCAAGGGCTCGTTGTCGGGCCGCGACCGAAGTCCAGGTTCTCATCGTAGAAGGGAATTTGAGAGACAGGAGGGTTCATGGAATAAAGATCGGACACTGTGAAGAGTCAGCATCAATGTCACCACTCAATTCGTCGTGTCGTCGAACGGGAAATCTCACCTCCAGTCTCCATTGGGGCCTTCCGCGATTGTCCGTCACTCCACTTCATATGCTCACGGCCATTCCGCCCAAACAAGCATGCAATATCATCCAGTGGACCGAATCCCGCCATTCCAGCCAGCGCCGTATTTCGCCGCTTCGCCAGGCGCCTCCGCGCCTCGAGCGGACCTGGCACTCGGCTCTCATACCGGCGTTGGCTGTTTGCGAAGCGCCGAAAGGTCGCAGCCAGTAAGTCTTCGCTGACCCAAACATGGTCAAGAAGTGCATGCGAAGATGGCTGCACAGCATGCCTGTAGGCATGTCTGCCGAAAGACATGAGGGCAAAGGAGCATGCGACAGCAATTGAGCCTGTGACCGACGAGGGATTAGCAAAACGCGGAGCTTGAGGAACTTGAAGTTGGAGGTCCGGGTATCCAATGACTAAGCGCTGTTCTCGACACCTCAGGCAGAAGCGGTTCAACCATTCCGATGTACTAGGTAGATTCAAAGATCTTAACTCCCCATGGTTTAATACTTGGGAACTAAGACTGTGTCTGAGATCTAGCCTTACTTCAACGACTGTAGATTTGGCATTATGAAGTACAGTCTTACATACATCGCCTCGATATGCCACTCCCTGGACGTGGCACAACGTTGGTACAACCTAACAATAATAGTCAACAAAACTTGATGACGGTGGTACGACTGATATGCTGGTCTGTATGTTTTTAAAATAGATGCCCAGCTGAAATAAACAAAACCTTGCTCGCCTTTCCATGCATGAAGGCCACTCCTGCCAATGGTATCTTATGCAAATGCACGCCAATAATCAACTGACAACAGGAAACGAAGAAGAACTGTCGAAGTGGAAAACAAAGATCAAGGACGATTCAAACTTTTAGATGTCGCATGTCAAGACGCCTGCTCACCAGGCCGGGGCTTTCTCCCCGTCACTACGTAAAAATCGAGGTACGAATGTACCTCACGGTTCTGAATGGCCTTCCTGACATCGACCAGGAAGACCTCAATCTCAGGCTTCGACCATCCAAGCAATGTGAGCGGCTTGTATGACCATCCTGCCAACGCTTCCAGCCAATTTTGTTCATTCCAAGAGCCAATGAGTTTCATGTGAGGGTCCGTGGGCCAGGGGTTCGTCGGGATTTTGGCGACCCGTTCCTGGACATCGACAAAACCCACCTCCCTCATCCACCGCGCCAGGCGATGGGCGATGCGGAATTGTCTGGGTGGGTCTGCAGCCTGTCCGGCGCGGATATTGAGATCACACCAGTCCTGCAGGGGATAGGTGCTGAATTTTTCGGGGTCTTCCGGGGGCATGGTCCCGTCGTCGCATTTGGGTTTCGTGTCGAATTCATGGCATTCGACGTAACCGCCGGGTTTGAGATGCTCGAATATTTTTCGCAGCAAGTCTTTGAATGAGGGGAACGCGCCGCACAGGTGGCCGGTGTGGATGAAGTCAAAGTGGTCGGGGCCCCAGAGCCAGTCGTCATCTATGGCATCGTCCACGAGGAAATGGACGTTTTCGGGGACTTCGGTGGGCTGGACGGGGGAGAGATCCGTACCGATGATCTCAGCCTGTGGAAAGATGGAGGCTTGATGGGTGTTAGTCTCTACAGTGGTCGGAGCGGGCAAGAGGGGAAAAAGAGACTCACCCATCTCTATGGGCCAAATTCCCGAGCCCGTGCCGATGTCAAGGATCCTCTTAGGGTTCTGTACAGGGGCAAAGAATAATCTCCCATTGTTGGCCAATTTCAACATATGATGTTGCATGTCTAGCCGATCGAGCTCCTGCTCATCGTTCGGGTAGACATAAGCTAGTTTGAGTCAGCATATGCAAAGTGGGTTGAGATGGTCTACATTGGTCAAGACATACAGCCTTCATGGTATTTGTGATAGCGTCTGCCATTTTCCACGGGGTAGTCTGTCACACTGGCAGTCAAAGACTGGGTGTCACTGTGGTTTATGTTCAGTACTGCAGCCAGCCATTTCCCTCATTGTGGGACTAAGGTGCGTTCTGGGACTTACTAGTCACGACCGGAATCCTGAGACATTTTCCGTCAGCATTGAATGCTTGAATGCAGAGATGCAATGTAAATATGCAGGCGATGGGCAGAAACGGTCAAAGAGAGGGTAAAGGAGGATATAAGAAGATGAGGTGCAGCAGACGGTTGTCAAATTATTAACGGTAACTGATGGCGCAAGACAGGGACCACGTAGACTGGGGAACGGAGGACGCTTACATCCGACCTCTTCCCCGTTGTCATTTCACCAAAACTCAGCGGCTTTCGGAGCCCCTTCGAGTGGGGGGAAGGAAATGATAGTGTCCAAATCAAGGAACTGTCACGGAGCTCCCGGTGGGCAATTATGGAGCGAGTTGCACCGCGATCACCGGAACCGAAGAGGCTCCCGAGTGTGACCCAGACAGCCGGGTAAGAATAGGTAGGTAGGTAGGTAGGTAGATGATAATAACAGGCAATATTTACACGCTGCCACAGGGTCGCATAGGTAGATCACGTTGGTGTGGAAGAGTAAGAAGGGAGTGGCGATTGTTAGTTAATAGCAGTGGCTGACCCCTCATGTACAGATTGACACGCCCGACATGAGATCGGATGATTGCTGGGAAGGTGAATCCGTAATAAATAGAAACAGATAGAGCACTAGGTAGTTACTCCAGGGGGAAACCAAGATTGTGGGTAGGCAGGTAGGAATTAAGATGGGCAGACCCAAGTCGGCTGGCCTTTCCACTCTTCTTCCCTGAACCCGACAGCCTGGATTAGGTTTGACTTTAGCAGGACTGGGGGGGTGGACATCCTAACCACCATGTCACTGGCCCGGAAGCGAAGAGTGGAACTATTCGAAAAGAAAATAATTATAATAATATTAATATATCGGAGTACTGAGTAGGTAATTGTAAGTCACCTCATTGTAACAATACGCTGGATTACCCAGTCATGATCCAAGGTTTACTAGGACCTATTCTTATGACGGCATCTTACCAGCGGCCTCTCACGGGGGTGTCAACTGGAACCGAGTGGGCGGTTCGGGCGGTTTTCGAGGGGTCTCCATCGCCGTAATACGTACCTATTACCATTAGGGGGGAGGGGTGTCCAAGGTTGTCAGGACTAGTCCGGTGGTATGCTTCTAAGTTAGGAGTCCCCCCCTCCGTCGACAGCGGCACTTTACCCAACTGGGTATCAGTCCCCAAATCCCTAGGGTGACTGTGAGGTTGGAAAATCCCGAGAGTCGACCTGAAGGTGGTCGGAAACTTTTCTTTTCTGCAGGTTCCAGCCAGTCGTGAGAGCAATCAGTTCGGCGCCTCAGAGAAGTGGTAGTCACCCTTTTGATAGGTGCGCTTCTCAGCTGAGCGTACAATAGTACTTTTATCACTCTAGGTAATGACTTTCCTACGCAGCAAATCAACGGGATCTGACAGACAAGCTGATTTGACGGACAGTACACCCGAGACATACATCAACCGAGGGGATGGCGGTCGGGGGTTTACCCAAGTGGCGCGCGTAGGATGCATGTACGACCTTTCCCGCATGGTCTGCTGGAGGAATGGAATTCTGACAGAATCCCCTCCCGAAGTCTCCTTTCCGTTGGGTCCGGAAGCCGCTAGGAGGGCCGGTGTCCCAAACCACCGGAAAAAGCATGCAGAACCAATACTATCGCGCATGGCGGGACCCTGCTCTGTCCCTTCCCAGATCCCGTGGCTTTGGTTCCTTTTTTGCTCTTAAGTGGACTGCTAAGATCGATAGTCTATCGATTTGGTACCACTAGAAGGAAACCAGATGAGTTCATCTAGTAGAATCCTGGTGCGCAGCAGCGGTCCGTGTGTACTTAATCTTAACCCTGGGTCGGCAGGACGGATAGTGGATGAAACCTCAGGCGGGTTCGCGGTCTTGGGATTTGTCACGATGACTAACCGCGTACTGAAGTAGGTAGTAGATTTAGACGTCGGTGAGTACCTACTCTGTACCATACAACACCACGGGCGTGCAGTGGGCAAAAAGAAGGGAAAGTAAACATCTCCCTAGGTAGATAGATGTCTTCAGAGTGACAGAACGGGTACATTCTGGTGTTACAGAAAATAACAAAACAAACGGGAGGGATGATCTTCATACAAGAGCTGGGACCCAATGACTGTTGGTGCCGTCCTGCTGGTAATGCCGTCCATGGGCCATTGGCTCCCCTATTATCCGACTGAGCTGAGCATCGTCCCTTGGAGACATGGTGAAGGAGTCCTAGCGGAGAACGAAGGATCCGAATGATGTCAATTAGTAGGGGTAACCTAGGTAGATACCTAGGTAACTACCTTAGTCGTTCGTACGTGAATCTCGCTCCCGGACGGAAAAATACAGCAACGTGGACAGTCCCAGCGCATCCAGGAAAAAAATCTCCCCATGGACTGGACGGAGTTACCGCTGTAACCATTCTGTCGGGATTGCCGACCCACCCGCCTTCGAGGCATTCGCTCTCCACTTTGTCCCACCGAAACTGGCGGAGCCCCTGCCTTTCCCCTGATTAGTTATGGAATAACAACCCCTTCTCACAGTGACGATGACGCCTGCCATGCCCTTCAAGCCCTACTACCTAGGTAGGTAGCTATTGGGACATACCGTCCAGCGCCTTTCCCTCAGAACATCGTTATCCTTACCCCTCGAGGGGCGAGGTGGTATGGTGCGAATGACTTGGCAGTATCAATAATTAGGACCGAACGCCATTTGTCACGAATTTAAGCCCGAAAGAGGGGAAAGTCCCTGTGCGCTCGCAAGACGTTTCATTTTTGAACCTTGAGCTGCAGGATGCTTCGATCGTCGCCGCTCACGAGGTTTGTGGCAGACGCCCAGGAGGGGAATAGAACCGGACGCCGAGACCAGATGAAACTGCAAGTCTGCTGCCTCAGTCGATAGGAGAGTATGATAGTCGACACGAACCATGTTTGTCATCGACATGTGTCACTCAATTGACGCTTCTGCATGTACAACGCGATCTGGCAATGGGTTCGTGCACTCCATCTCGACAAATAAACCTATTCTTCGTTTCATCACGTTCGGTCGCCCAGAAAATCACTTTTGGGGAGAAAGGATAAGGTACCCTGATCTGTATTGTACCTCAACCATGATTCTTCACCGCCAGTAGGAGGGTACTCTTTTCCCCGTAACCGAGGACTCACTGCTATGGGTCTAACAGGCAACACCGTATCTCAGTCGTAAAGTGTCATCTCCGTATCTGGAGTTGAGTTCATGGCTACCTAGACCCTGGAGGAATTTTCATTACCTCATCCATATCCCACTCGAGTTGACGTCTTAGAGGATGATAGCTCTTGGCAAGAGACCATCCACCATTCTATGTCTACAGTATAGGAACGAAGGCTGTAAATGGTCCTATCTCGACTTTCCTATAGCGTCACGAGTCATGATTGAGATATATCGGTATTTCATAATGTCATGGCTCCATGTCGAGTTGTGAGTCCTGCGAGGTGTATCCCTGTCGCTCAGCGTTACGCACAATCGGCGACTCGAATTAGTAGCTCCGACACCTGTCCCCAAATTGTGGACCGGCACCACACAAAAGCACCAGCACTAACCATACCCAGGATACTGCTAACTCGTACGAGCAACATCTGATTCTCGGACGAGTGCATAATATGCCCCGGCTTTCCCCGTCAGGTTGACAGGGATCTCGTGGATCTGATGATGACAACAAATACCACGCACCATCGATAATTGCGTAGATAATCGCAGAAGATCTCTGTCTGCTTACGGACTGGGTACAGAGATACGAGATGAAAGACGGGTCACGCTCGGGGTTTGATGGAAATGCCGCCGAGGCTGCCGGGGGTGCCGATATCGAAACAGAAGGGGGAACGCGTGGTGGAGATTGGATGGATCATCTCAACCCAGCGCTCGGGGTTTGGAATTACCATGGTGAACCCGGCTTCGAAAGCCTTCATATCAATCCTGCAGTGTTGATGACGGATTACGATCGAGATAACACACTGCGTTGCTATTCTTGGGCTGGATGAAGAGACAGGTCATTCAGGCACCTTTCACATTCCCTGGGTTTGCTTTGATTGCCTCCCATGTCCTGCATTAGGCGTCTTCTCTCCCTCTCGCGCGTCTTGATATTGAAAACCTAGATACGCGGGGGCTTCCGTCCTCCGGAGACTGTGTCTCGGCTTTGACCGGCAGGATGGACAGGAAAAACTGTCGTAAGGAGAATCAAAACAAAGACCCCACGAGTCCCCATCGAACGGCAGCGTCCGCTCGGCTTACCTGCGCCCTGCCATGAGCCACTACGCACCACCCTAGCCCTATTGCTAGGGTAGCGACTAGTAAGCTCAGCCGCAAAAGCAGTACCGTGTTGTCTTTGACGAATCGTAATGAGGCGCGCTTTGACCGCTCTGCGCAGGGGAACGTCAAGATGCTATGAATGTGTGAGTTGATTGTATGTATCATTAAAATACCTCTTTGTCCAGGTCCATAAACCCGGCAGTGGCGGTGTGCAAACAGTGGGGATGATCATGGGTACTACAATCGTTGCATACGCATGTCAACAAAGCCCCATAGGGTACCATAGCGGGCTTTGAGTTCTTGACCCGCGTCAATGCAAATCGTCTCTTGATAGCGTGGTATTTCCGCAGATCCGTCAGCATAGGTACAGTACCTAGGCTGTTGCCGGGACGCTGGACATTCTCTGTCTGTACCGGAGTAGTTTGAGCTCTTCCGAAGGGCACCTAGAAACCTGGGCAACCCTACTCAGGGCATAATGTCGGGGTCAGGTTAGAAGAAAGGTCAGCGAGAAGTTATCCTGGCAGTCGATTGTGCATCGTATCCTATTTCTGCTGACAGTCTCTCGGTTGACATAGGTTGACACAGAATGACTCACGGGATACGGGGTGTTGTTGTGAACTGATGTACAAAGTCCATGACTTCCCAGAAGCGATTACGGCATGCAATGAGCATAAACCCCACCAGGATGTAACTAAGCATGCCCATGTGGGATCGGGAAAAAAAAAAGACACCTTGATCAGATAATCTCACCATGATTTCGCGTACAGGTTCAGGTACAGTCCTCGAGTCCCTTCCATGATACTGGTCCTCACAAAATCTTCATAAACGCGCAAACAAGTAGAGTCACTGGATATTATGGTAACTCTATCAGCCATGATTTGGAATACTGTGTTTCAAATGTGGGGTCTCTTCTATCGGACCAGGAGTTCATGGTGTGTATTAAGCTTCATTTTGACAAATACTCTCTGTAGGCCGTCCCAGGCGGGCGGTAACGGCCAATCACCCTCGCGAACCAAGGCCCCTTCCCACCGTGCTGGGACTCAAGGCCGATCAGCCGTCCGGTCTGTACCGGGCTGAAGGCGTTTTTCGGAGAAATCCTAATGTTTGGCGACTCAGTCGATGCCAGTCGGATCACTACAATGCTCTGTTTTCCAGGAAAGGGTGATCTGGTGGGCTGACGCGCATGATCGTATTAATAAACTAAGGGATGGGGCTCCCTATCAGTACTAACTAGGTACCCACGGAGTACATTAAGCGAACGGGACAACATGGGGCTTTTCGGACAAACAATATTCGTTCTCTGGGACCATCCAAATTCAAAGCCATCCCCAAGCGAAGAATCTCCACAGCACTCTGGGCCCATCAAATACCAGTGAAAGACCATGACCCAAGTCTGCCACGCACTGCGTTCAGCCGTCGGATTCCATGAGGCTCGAGACCTTCTCGACCGGCTCGTTCATGGCTTGCTCCCGGTCGGTTCTGCTGTTGTTAGAGCCTAGAAGAACGAAAGCAGACAGATTGTAGCCCTACCGTGTAGTAATCCGAACGTCTGTCTGGATCCTGACCGTTCCTTGTCGGTGAAGCATGGTATGAGCTTGTCCAATGACCTCGGTGACCCGCGCCCATGGCCCTTCTATGTACGTCTTGTTAGCCATCCTCTCCATGTCAAGTCGGGCTCATAAGAAGGACTTGCCAATGACGGTCCCAACCTCATGAATATCAGTGTGGAGGCCTGACTGTTTCGCCATGCGCGCTACCTGAGAGATCTCTTTGGCGAACGATACATCTTTCGTACCAATCTAGATGCACATATGTAAGTTGCCAACCTGGTAGCAGCTTTCAGCGCTGTCCCTACCGGAATCAGAGAAAAGTCCGCGATACAATGAGCTGGAGTCGGAGTGGTCTTGTCGTATTCCATGATGACAGTTGCCTGGCCTTTGATTGAAAACGATGCCTCGATGACTTGGGTTTGCGTATCTTCCAAGACGGTATACTCAAGATCTATTATACTAAGATGGTTTACACTATGACGTTTCTCTACATCAACGGCAGACAAAGCCACGAATCGGATTTCCTATCATACAGGCTGGACCATTCCATCGATGGGAGGACCGTTGAAGGAATTTCTTCCCGGCGAAATAGATTGCAGACCTAACCTCGGTAATACGTCTCGTCAACTGTCCTTCCTCGTCGTTGGCTGGGCTCGCTACCACGGACATAGATGTCTTCAAATAAGACGTCCAGCCTGGGCTCTGGATCGGGCATTTTTTCTGCTTCTGAAACCTCCTCGTTGACCTTCTCGCGAACATCCTTGTCAATGGCTTTAGCCTCATCCTCCGTCATAACTCCCCAATCAACCAATCTCTCTTTCAAATTCGAAATTGGGTCGTTAGAGCGCTCTGACTGCACTTCCTCTCGGCTGCGGTATGCAATACCAGGATCAGACATAGAATGTCCAGCGTACCGATATGTCTGATATTCGTAGAGAAGAGGCCCGTTTCCAGCTTGGACAAAACGTTTGCCGTGCCGGATTGCTGCAAGCACCGCAAGGACGTCCATCCCATTAACTCGCAACCCGGGAATGTACTGGCCTCGCTTGTAGTATTCCGTCATCGCAGATGCTCTCTCCACAGAAGTTCCCATACCATATTTGTTGTCTACGAGGACGCGATTAGTATGCCTCATGTTGATATCGGGGGTACACACGTACTCTCGCAGCCGAAAATCACCGGGAGGTTCCACAACTTCGCCATGTTGAAGGACTCGAACACCTGGCCCTGGTTTGCTGCTCCATCTCCATAGAGATTGATCGTAACGTTCCCCGCATCGTTGTATTGCTGGGCGAACGCGATTCCAGTCCCAAGTGGGACATTAGCTCCGACGATTCCATTGCCGCCGAAAAAGCTCTTACAAAACATATGCATGGAACCGCCCTTCCCATATGAGATGCCATCCCGACGGCCGAGAAGTTCGCCAATGATTGATTTTATCGTCCCTCCTCGCATCAGGGTGAATCCATGGGAGCGGTATGCTGTAATGAGCTTGTCATGTTTAGTGATCCCATGTTCGATGCCAACTGCCACTGCTTCTTGACCTGTCGACAGGTGGCAGAAGCCGCGGATTTTTCGCTGTTTGTATAGATTGTCGGCGGCCAGTTCCATGCGCCTGTGGCGTACAGTCAGAGTCATTCAGGGCGTTCCAGAGATAATTGCAGCGCCACTCACCTTATCATTGACATATCATAATATAACTGCTTTAGCTGGCTCTTCGTCGTTTCCACGGTATATGGAGGTGGATCAAATTGATATGTCTCGAAACTATCTTCTGCTACCGGCACACTAAATGGTTTGTCTTCCTCCTTCGGAACAGTTGTCATTATCAAAGAATCATCATTTAGGTGTAGTAGATGTTTCACTTACTTTCGGTATGCTTTCGACGTTTGAGACGTGAGCAAGCAAGCGACGGCCTGTGTGGGGAAGCAACGGACGCGCACCGGCCGGGCGCGGCGCAAATCGCAAAAGCATGATTGTATTGATTCTCACGTTCGTGTTGGTGTATCCAATTCCTATTCAAATTCGGGTAGTAATTTGAAGATTGTCGAGTCCCGTCGAGGGATGGAATGCCATGCCATCATTGCAACTTCGGAGCACATAACGTCTGTATGACGCAAACCTTCCAGCTTCGGTAATTATTTGATGGGTGCTGTATATTTGTTTTGATTGTTTGATACATGGGATAGCTCGGTTGCAACATGCTTATTCAGACGTCTTTTCTTTCCCTTGTCGCTTTTTTAATGAGGAGGATGAACATTTATTAGACACAGGTATATATTTTCTTTGTTTTCCTCGTTAGCAACTTCAGGACGCCATATGTATATACCTATCGTTCGGTGACTAGATTTGCATACAGTCAGACGGCAGAGCAAGAGCCAACGCTATCTCGAATAATTTCACACTCAACAAAGAATCTCCATTTGCATCGTGTTGTATGAAACGCGAACTTGGCCGTGATGCAGAGACGATGGTTGGAACTTCCCGATTCGGATATCGCGCTCGGCTTGGATTAACGCGTTATTCCGGATGACGCACATGCTTTCCTAGATTGGGGTCGAACCACTCTGAGTGATCCAACAACTCTCCGTCTATATCGTCAATAATTGTTTATATCCTTTTCTAAATAGGCGTCTTCGATCGGGGTTATTAATTAAGATTGCCTCCATCCATGCTCTGGGCCACACTGCCCCTGAGCAATAAGCAGTGTGACTTGCTTACATCCACCAATTCATGACACTAGGCCCTCACTCGCGCCAGGTAGATAGCCGGAACTGTGTTCTTGATGCTTCTATCTAAAGACAGCCGGCAATATGCCCCGTACTCCACATGCCCGTCCCAAAAGGGCCGGAGCATCTCAGCGTCGTTCCACCCGACGACAAGAGAACGATGATGAGATGCCAGCAGTCTATCAAGAGATGCTGGCGGAGGCCGAAGCTCGAGGAGCGAGCAGGGCGGAGAGCGATAGGCCTATAAAAAGACGGAAGGTTCAAGAGCAAATGACTGAGTCTACTACATCTCCTGTCAGAGGCCAAGACACGGGCGATGGGGCCGGACCAGTTGAAGCCGCCGGTCCTCAGATACAGACGGTGTACGACTCTCCCAGCTCTGATGACTCTGATATGGAGTGGGAAGAGGTGGATATTCAGCCGGCAGTGTCAGCATTCGCACAAGCACCTTCAGCATCTGCTGATGGAGATGATTCCATGCAAATTACGCTTGACCCAGTGGAGGGTCAAAAGCGAAAAGTGATTGCAAGGCGGAAGCCTATCACGGCAGCTGAGAGGAAGCTGAGATTAGATATCCATAAAGTCCATCTGCTCTGTCTTTTGCGTCATGTTCAAATACGCAACTTATGGTGTAACGATGAAGAACTACAAGTGTGTTGATGCACAACAACTTTACGCTGATTGAAGGCTGACTGGATTTGCAGGGTTTTCTCAAACGAATGTTGAATAAACAGATCAGGTCGCTTTTGAACCCATCCGAGGATAAACCTCAGTACACTAGGTCAACCACCTTTATCGACGGACTAAATCAAGCTAGCGAAGCATTTATGAAAAGATTCAGAATTACGAAGCCAGGCCTGAAACGACCACACTGGTCGGAGGATTCCTCATCTGTGAAACAGAAAATGGTACTGTAATAATTCTTGACTCGATATGTTCTGCATTAACTCCTTTAGGAATTTATCATGTCTGATACAGAAGTTATGCTGTCGAAAGAAGACTTTAGAAAGCAAGCGAGAACATTGCAAGGCTCTCGTGACTTTGGTGCCCAGCTATTCTGCGCTTTGTTACGATCTGTAGCAGTAGAGGCGAGACTCGTTTGCTCCCTCCAACCCCTGCCTTTCTCTGGAACGACGAAAGATCTTACGCCCTCGAGGCCTTCTTTGCAAGGTCATTTCCCCTCGGAAGAACGTGAAGACTCGTCAGATGGAATGTCGCCTACCAAACCCTCTCAGCGGACTCCTAAAGTTCGAAGACTTGGTCGACCGGAGTTCAAACAATCGCGACCTTCAAAGTCTGTCTTTGTTGGGGCTCGTCCAAATGTTCGAGAGTCAACTTACCCGGTATTCTGGGTTGAAGCTTTCAACGAAGCGGTTCAGAAATGGATTCCTGTCGACCCTCTCGTAACGAAGTCCCTTGCCAAGTCCTTCAAGTTTGAGCCTCCATCGAGCGATCCATACAACTGCATGACTTACGTGGTTGCGTTTGAAGATGACGCTTCGGCTAGGGATGTCACTCGACGCTACGCGAAGGCTTACAATGCAAAAACACGCAAGCTTCGTGTCGAGTCAACAAAGAATGGTGAGTTATGGTGGGCGAGAGTGATGCGCTTTTACGAAAAGCCTTTCTTAGAGGATCGGGATGAAGTCGAAGTCAGCGAATTGACGGCCAAGACGGCTGCGGAACCAATGCCACGGAACGTGCAAGATTTCAAGGACCACCCGATTTATGCGCTTGAGAGACATCTCCGCCGCAATGAGGTTGTTTATCCTAAGCGTGTGATTGGGCAAGTTAGCCTTGGAAAATCCGGATCAAAAAACCAGAATCTGGAGCCCGTCTATCGCCGATCCGATGTCCATGTCCTCCGCAGTGCAAACAAATGGTATCGTGTTGGACGGGATATAAAAATTGGGGAGCAACCCTTAAAACGTGTACCGGCAAACAGCCATGCTGCCGTGGCTATGGATGACGACGAGAGCGCTGAAGGAACTGGCGAAACACCGTTATATGCTTACTTCCAAACAGAGTTATATACGCCACCGCCCATTGTCCAGGGGAAAGTACCGAAGAATGCCTACGGAAACCTGGATGTGTACGTGCCGACGATGGTACCTCCTGGTGGTGTTCATATCAAACATAATGATGCGGCGCATGCGGCCAAAATACTTGGCATTGATTTTGCGGATGCTGTGACCGGATTCGAGTTCAAAGGGCGACACGGAACAGCTGTGTTTCAAGGGATCGTCATTGCCAGTGAATATTGCGAGGCGCTCGAAGAGGTACTGAGAGGCCTCGAAGAACAAAGGCTTCAGTCCGAGCAGGATGAAAGGTCCGCCCAGGTCCTTCGCCTTTGGAGACACTTTTTGCTTCGGCTCCGTATAGCCGAGAGAGTAAAAGGGTACGCGGCTGAAGGCGAGGAGGATAATGACGGAGGAAGCGTTGGAAGTGACATGGACTATGAAGACACAGAGGAAGATTTGGGGGGTGGGTTCCTCCCAGAACCTCCGGCGAAGCCATATAGTCCACATGCCGATAGAGGCCATGGGGAAATGTTGCAGCAGATGCATTCGGAGGAGATTGCCGAACCTATGCTCCCAGAAAAGGAAGAGCCTGGAGGGTTCATTCCCGACGAGGAAGATAAGAAAGAAAGGCCGCCAGATTCCACGCAAGGTGCGAAACCGGAGGAGAAATCCCGGTATACGCTGGTCGTGATACCGAAAAGGACAGCCTCGGATGAACATATTGAACCATCACCCGACTCCAGAGACATTGCCGAAGACCCCGTGGCTCAGAATTGCGATAAGCTCGCTGGTTCATTGGAAGCTCCCATTTCAGTGGATTCATCTACGGCAACGAACTCGAAATCTGCGAGTGTCGAAATAATCTCCCGTCCTGTTTCGCAAGCACAGTCGCCAGTCGGATCCCCTAAAGGGTCTGTGAGAGAATCTGAAAGTAATTATGAAGGATCATTGCTATCACAGGACCCTGAGGATGAGGACGCGATTCCCGAATGGCTCATGTCAGACTGACGTCTCCTGCAGCCATAGCCATGGATGCGCCGGGATAAATTATATACTGTATATAGCGTATAACTTGCAATTTTAATCCAAGAACGACCTTATGAGCTACTCCGTATAGTTATCAACGCTGATATGGCGTTCCCGGAGCGGTTAAATTGGCCTTGGCACGTGGTCCGTGCCGACGCGTCGACGACGCGGTTGCCTTCCAAGGTGAGAAATGCCTGTTGCTGGTGAGATCATCGTTACGATCACACAAACACCCGGACAATCCTCTATGGCCAAGCGGAATACACAGTATCATACCTTTTACTTTCGATTGCGATGAGGCAAGGAGACAAGCTCAGTGCGACCGCCGATATCAAGAAAAGTCAGGAACAGTTCCGGGCACCAGACAAGGCGTCTGCCGCACGTGTGGGAGGAGAATCCAGCAAGTCGAACGCTCCATCTACCCTGACGAGAAGAACAGGGACGCCTGGATCTTCCTTTTCCACGTCGCGATCATGGAGGAGAGACACCTTGCCGCCCGGTTCACGCCATCAGCCCACGCTCACGCAGATTGATTTCGTGACTCCCATTTCACAGAACCCTCCGTCAGATGATGGACTCGATTATATCCCAGAATCAAAGCCTAATCCCAACGATGTTATTGAAATAGAAGACGATTCGGACGACAACGACGCCGATTACCAACCTTCATCCCATAGAAGGTCCAGACGTTCCCGTGAGGACCGGTCTGAGCAGGCTACGATTATCCGTGATCCCCAGAAGAAGACTACGACACCTAGAGATACCAAGCGTGGTCGAAGGAAGAGCAGCGAGAAACCTAAATCTGGACGAAAAGAGAAGGCGAAGAAGGAGAAGCAACGACATAAAACCCTGACGCAGATGGATTACGTGCGGCGATACCTCAAGATCGAACCCGAGGATGAGGTGAAGTTGGAATACACTTACATCACGCCAAAAAAGAGCGAGCCAGAGACTGGTGATCACAAACGACGGAAAGTGGACAATGATTGCACCCGGGAGCACACAACAATTCCTGCGGAGGACAAAAAGGCAGCCCTCCCACACGGTCCAACTACGCCAAAGAAGCACAAAAGGGCTGTAATACCGTCATCACAGTCTCCAGAAAGCCCTGGATTAGCAATTATCTCGCCATCCCAGTTCCGACACGACGCTCATTCTCCATTGAAACGTCTCGCCCCTTCGACTGCGAACCATCGCATAAAGGAGGAGTCACCAGAACTGGGCAGCACGAAGACGAGGGCATGGAGCCCAGAAATGGTACCGTTCCCGTCAAGTGACTCACAACAAATACCAAAGGCGCCCTCTTCAGCCTCACATAAGGTCGCCCTCTCCCCAAAGACCCACATCGATGCGCCAGCTACGCAATATCCTTCTGGAGAAGAGAGGACGCTTCCTATCAAGGAAGCTGTACATGTCGATGATCCCACACCACAACTGACGCACAAGTCAAGGACTGTGGTGTACGAAACAGACGCTGACACAGACTACGGCGAATCCGAGGATGATGTTCCCAGTCCTGTTGCCCCGGCAGAAGACCGCGGTTTCCCGGATAATGACTACACACACATCGGCAGCGATGATATGGGAAATGGCGACTCTTTAGATCTTCCGCCAATCACTCAGTCTCAACAACATGTCGAATCAGAGATCCCAGCTTCAGAAACAAACCTACCTTCTGATGCATCGATATTTTACCAACGTCTGCAACCAACTACACAATTTCCCATGGAGCCACTCCCGGACCTAAATACACAGAAACTAGCCGAACTTTTCCCAGAAGCCTCGAATGCTTATAATACTTCGGCTATCAGACGATTACCCCAGTCTTCTCCTTTGGCTACAAGCCGTGTACAGCCTGGAGCGACGCAGACACAGACTGAAACTCAGTCCCAGTCCCAGTCACAAGTTCTGGACCCGACACCAGCTGAAATCGTCCCTGAATCTTCCCCAATCATGCGCAATGGAAGCGAACGGCATCATCCAATCGATCAAGAGCAGGAATCCCAAAGTCGAGATGCCATAGTGCAGGTGGAGTCGTCGCAAGCCGTGGACCGAGCTTACAGGCAAGCCTCGATGGGACATAAAGCGCGCTCTCGGGGTATCCTTTCCGGGAGCGATCTCCTGACTTCCAGCGTCATGGAGAGTGTGCCTCTGCCAGCTTTTTGGTTTGGCAGCCAGGATAGTGTTGGGGAGCCATACAACTCATCCGAGGCTTGATTTACCCAAGAAGATCATGACATGACTAATGACATTCGTCCAAGAAACGATGCACATTGGACGCTTATATCTGTTATCATTCGCCTATACATAAGATTTCCCCCGAGATTCTGGCGCTTGAGAGGTGCCTGGAACTAGAAAATACATTATACCGAACTGCAATATGGGAAGAGCTTAAGGGTTGACCCCGTTGCTTAGACACCTGTAAGCCAGTCGATTAGATATCCAATGACCCAGAATACAAGATCTTGGGACCCTGAGGTTGTCGCAGTGCTCCTGCATATGGGCGCGTAGATCAGGTCAGTTTTACTACCTCTGGAGCAATAGTCACATGACCATAACAAGACTAAGCCCGATCCAGGTCGGGCCGTTTCCCGCCGCTAACAGTCGGAGTGATAGCTTGACGTTCGGGAGTGGAACGACCCCGAGTTAGCTGAACCTCCTCAATCGCATCCGATACCCAGCCCCTCAACCGCCATGGATATCGCCTACGACCACATCCAGGAGGAGATCTTTAACTCCAATGACGCCTCCAAGAAGGCCGAATCATCCTCCTCAACAGATTCCGACAAGACAGAACGTCCGACCGTCGACCTCAACACCGAGTTGCAGGAGACCTTCCGCGCGTTCTCCGCAAGCCCATGGGGCGTCCGTATCGGCGGGCTGTGGGATAATGTCCGCAAACAGGGCGAGACGTACTACGAAGGTGCGCGTCAGGAGTACGCAGCGGCCAGCGAGGAAGCCGTCAAGGGCTTTTCCGACCTGAAGGAGACTATCGTTGGTCGCACGCGCGGGCTGTCGCTGAGCACGGCGTTTACTACCGGAAACACAACGGAGAGCGCAAGGAATGAGACTCCGACACCGACGACCGCTGAGGGCCAGGGGGAGAAGAGCGCCGAGGCGGGTGCCTCTGGGGAGGGGTTCCTCTCTCGGTTCAAGGCCGAGGCCGCGAGACGGCTGAAGGAGATCGAGAAGGCTGAGGAGGCGGCTGACGAGGCCATCCTGCGGTTCGGAATGAACATTGGGCAGAAGCTGCGCGAGGCTGTTAGCATTGTTCCCCCGGATGAGGAATCGTCCAGCAAACTGCTCTTCGAGAGTAAGGATGCCGACGGCAAGAGGGTCATCCATGCCACGCGGTTCGAGGCTCAGCTACATGTCATTCACTCCAACCTCGACAGTTTCACCAAGGACCCTGTCAGTGACAAGTGGGCTGCTTTCAAGGACGAGTTCAATGTGGACAACAAGACCGATGCGATCGCGGTGGACCTGGAGAAGTACCCTGAGCTGCGCAGTGCGATGGAGAAGCTTGTGCCGGAGAAGGTTGACTATGCCACTTTCTGGTGCCGGTACTACTTCCTTCGCCTTGTTATTGAGACTGAAGAGCAGAAGCGCAAGGAGCTGTTGAAGGGTCTGTTTTCCCCATTTTTTGTTGCATAAGATTGGCATCTAACTTGTCTATATAGGAGCCCACGATGATGAGGAAGAGGTTGCTTGGGACGATGACTCTGATGACGACACTGATTCTCCCTCCACGCCCCAAGTCAAGGCTGACAAGGAAACCAAAGCTACCACCACCGGCGACAAGGACACACCGAAGCCGACCGAGGCCCGTCGGTCCAACGATCAACAGTCCCAGGCGGACAGTGAATCCAGCTATGATCTTGTGAGCGGCGCCACCAGTCGGACGCCAGCCAGTCCCAAAGACAAGAAGGACGACGACAGCGATGATGACTGGGAATGAACAATTGGTTTCTGCTGGAATTCAGAATGCCACATTACACAAGCCACCACTGTCGCCTTTGTCACATTCCTTAATAGCTATCTGCCTAGATTCGATCTATCGATCAGGGCACAGGGAGTTACGGTGTTCATTCAGGTGTTTTGGGTTCTATGTTGATTTCCAATATTAGCCAGCGGTTTGCTCCTAGCCTGATATCAGGAATTCCTTATTGTTCTTTTGCTTGAATTTAGTCACCTTTACATGATATCGACTAGCGATTGCCTTCGTGCTCTACACTAGCCTCCAAATTCCCCGCAGTATTACAGCATCTGCGTTGCATGTCCTCGAGACATGGAGCAAATATAAGACAAAATCGATTTTCTAACAGTCACTCGTTTCACATATCTACATTAAGATCGAACATCCGGCCCAGTATGCCCTGGATCGTCACCAGCCGCTGGTGTAGAGCGAGTAGGTGACGACGAGCCTCGCCGCGACTCATCTGGGAAAGCAGACATACCACGGAGCGCACTGCGTCTCATGTCAGACCGTAGAGGCGTGGACTGTCGTGACTGTATGGGAGTCTCTGGTGTATTCTCCCGCGAGCGCAGGTGAAAACCGCGCGGTCCGTCAGTGGGTGAATAAGGGTAATATTCGCTGCTACTCGGGCGGAAGCCAATTGGCGTTCCTTCTGGGGCATAGCTATATTGGTAGTCTTCACCACGTCGCTTCAGAGGGCTCTCGTCATATGGATCCCATCCGACGCGACGTCTCGCATCAGCACGGAGACGCTGTCGGTGTTGCTCATCACCACCAGCACCAGTCGTTGAAGACTCCTCAAGGAAGAAGTTGAGGAGTTCGTCGCTGATGGAGAGGTGTGACTGTTGTTGGAACTGCTGCAGTGACGTCAAACGGAGGAGTGTCTCCAGAAGAGAGAGGGAAGTGCGGATGTGGTTGAAAAGGGGATTCGACACGGTGGTTATCGCCTGATTCGAAGAAGATGTGGGCCGTGATGGGGCAGAAGATGCTGGCGTGGACGGTTTATCTTTCGGACCCAGAGAAAGATTCGCCATCAGCTCAGGGTCAACAGATGCCTCGCGACGAGGTGATTTGGCGTCTTCGTCTTCTGTATCAGAGTCCGATGGATCGTCTTCGTTGTAGACCTCGAACGCGATCCACTCGGGATCTAAATCCTTGGGGAGACGCCACTCTTCCGGAATGGAACTCTCATGGAAACTGGGGGCATCGGTATAACTAGTTGCGCTGTTTAACTGTGCGTCGAGTTGAGCCTGAATCTCATCGACTTCTTCGTGGTCCGACTCTCCGTCGGCCGAGCCATACGCTTCTTCCCGCTCAACCATCCGTCGCGGAGGAATAGCGTTGACGTCTCGTTTTAGAAGCAAAACCGGGTTGTTGGTTTCGCCTTCGGTGCTAATATTGAGGATCTTGCCAGTATCGGCGTAAAATATCTTAGATATTTGGTGTATTGGAAGAATCTCGCGGATCCCCGCTGTTTTCACGCCTTCGTAGCTGTCGGGTTGCGGCTCACTTTCGTCGAAGCTATGAACCCTGCCGTCGTCGAGATCCTCCACGACGAGAAGCTGGTAGGCGAATTCATCAATCCTCGCCTCAGCAGGAAGTTGACGACGTCGGGCCTGGGCCCGTGGAGTGAGCGCCAGATCCATCGGCACACGGCGCAGCTTTAGCCGCGCTTTATGCATGACTTCTTTCCACGTTGTCTCGCGAATTCCTTCTTCGTCCTGGGGACGCAGATGGCTTGCGAAGAGCATGTACACGGAAAGAGTGAAGGTTGGGCCAATCTGGATAGCCTGAGATGGAAACATGGAGTACTGCGTATCTCCAGCGGTGAGGAATGTGCTGGCCTGCAGCAATCGGGATGGAGATATTGTGGACGGTAAATTGGTGGATAGTTTCGCACCAGAGGTCGTGATTGCTAGGTTAAGTAGCGGAACGGCATCTTCAATCCGGACTAGGAGGTTTCGGATGTCCTTGATGATGAGCTTGATTTCGGCGTCATTTTGGGAACGGCTCCGAGAGGACTTTGCGCCCTTTCTTATCAGCTCTTCCGAGGCGGCGGCGTTCGCGAGTCGCTGGCCTAGAGCTTGGATATCCCATCGAAGGGACTTTGTCAAGGAAACCGCAGATTCTAGTGACGTGTTTCCACGCGCAGCTCTAGGGAGCAGTCAGCGGAACGGTTCAGTGTAAAGGAAGCAGTAAGAGACAGCACGTACATCAGTTCAATCATGTCAATGGCAGGTGAGATGACCTGAATTTTACTCTCAAGTCGCTGCTGTAGCCGAAGCAGCTCTTCTCGCTCCTCTGTGTTCTCCACATTCTGCCGATGGTCAGAGCGTAGGTTAGCTTGGGCAACCTGAACGGTGTTGTTATAGTTGGGAAGAAAGCCCACTTTTAGTAAACGCGACGATTGACGGATCGCATAATTAGCAGTGATGGCAACCCCAGATCTGACAGCGCAGTTAGTATGGCACCATAGGGAGCAGGAGGTAATTATGCGCGGTACCGAATGGCATAGTTCATTGCCTGGTGAGTGAGCTACCAAGAGACGATCAGCATATTGATAGTGATGGGGATGTGAGCTGTCATCCGTACTCTAGCCAGAAATGCGTCCATGACGGGTACGGGGGTGCGAAGAAGACCCGTGGACGTGTAGAACTATGTAGACAGGAGTAAACCACCCGACTAGAATGATCCGAACTAGACATGGAACGATCCGAGTCAACGGAGAGAATGTTTTCTGGCGGCGGCGGCCCCTGAAACTTGATGGTGCCCGAGGGGTTCTCCAAGGCTTATCGATAACAACGGTCCACTTGCGGATTTAGAATGACGACCACATGGGAGTGCGCACGAGGGCGACGGAGACATACTGGATGAGGGATTCAGAGGAGAACGATGCAGAGCGTAGAGAAGTCGGAATAAGGCAAGCGACAGATCTATAAATTTGCAGTGGTGTTTTCCTGGCGCGACAGACGCGATAGGCGCACGTTGGCGGGGAAGCCTGCTGAGTCATCGGGTGCAAAATCGATGCGGGCCCCTCCTCAGGCTCGCACTTGACGCTCTCGACGACTTCAACTTTTCTCTCCATTGCGCCTCCTTTTCTCCCCCCAGTCGTCACTGTTGGGTTGTTTTCTGGGTTGTTCGTCGGCTCTTCTTGTTTTACTTGTTTTCAACCTCTGTCAATATGGCCGACCAGACCCCCGATTCTTGGGAGGATGAGCTCTCCAGACAGACCGAGGGCGTCAACCTGAACGCACAATCTCGCCCCCAGCCTCAAGCGCCTTCTTTCCATCCGGGAGCCGCCTCGTTCACACCCGGTGCTGCTTCATTTGTTCCCGGCCAGGCTTATCAGGGTTACGGAGGCTACCCTCAGTACGCCCAGTACGGCCAGCAGCAGGGCTATGGTGGATACCCTGACTATGCCCAACAGGGCTTCAACCAGTACGGAGCGTATGGTCAGCAGCCCGGTGGCTTTTACAACCAGCAGCAGCAGCAGCAGCAGTATGGTTACCAGCAACCTCGTCAGACGCCCCCCGCCGCCGCACAGCAGCCCAAGACGACGCAGCCTACTCAGGCCGCTCCCAAGCCTGCCTCCACGCCGTCCGCCTCTGTTCCCAAGGCTAAGGTCCTCTCTATCGGCGGCGCCAGCAACTCTGCTTCTGCCCCTAAGACGAAGGTCCTCTCCATCGGAACCCCCTCCCCCGCGCCCTCTTCGAACGATACCGCTCCGGGTGACACTAAGGGCGCCGCCGCCGCCGACGCCGCCGCTAAGGTGACCGCCAACAAGGCTGTTGAGAAGACTGAGAAGAAGGCTGAGCAGAAGGCGGCCGCCAGTGGCAAGTCGTCCCCCGCTCCGTCGGGTCGGTCTAGCCCCGGCCGGTCCAGCCCGTCTCGGGGTGAGGCTGCCAAAGCTCAACGTGATGCCAACGCTGTTGCGATGGAACAGCAGGCCGATGTCGACGAGGATACCCTTAAGGAAATCTATGGACAGAAGACCGAGCACGTCAACATCGTTTTCATTGGTCACGTCGATGCAGGAAAGTCTACTTTGGGTGGATCCATCCTGTACGTGACGGGTATGGTCGACGAGCGGACCTTGGAGAAATACAAGAGAGATGCAAAGGAACAGGGTCGTGAGACCTGGTACTTGTCGTGGGCTCTCGATCTGACCAACGAGGAACGTGCAAAGGGAAAGACCGTGGAGGTTGGTCGTGCGCACTTCAAGCTCACCGTGCCGTCGGCTAGCGGACCCATTGAGAGAAACTTCTCCATCCTTGACGCCCCTGGCCACAAGTCCTATGTCCATCACATGATTGGTGGTGCTTCTCAGGCCGATGTTGGTGTTCTTGTCATCTCCGCGCGTAAGGGTGAATACGAGACTGGTTTCGAAAAGGGAGGTCAGACGCGTGAGCACGCACTGCTTGCCCGAAACAGCGGTGTCCAGAAGCTCATCGTCGCTGTCAACAAGATGGACGACCCCACTGTCGAGTGGAGCAAGGCTCGTTTCGACGAGTGCACGGTCAAGGTGTCCAAGTTCCTTGAGGCTCTCGGTTACAAGAAGACCGACCTGACTTTCATGCCCATCTCCGCTCAGCAGACGTATGGTGTCAAGGACCGTGTTCCTAAGGATCTCTGCTCTTGGTACGATGGCCCCTCTCTTCTGGAGTACCTGACGGAGATGAAGGTCCCCGAGCGTAAGATCAATGCTCCTTTCATGATGCCCATCACCGCCAAGTATCGTGATATGGGTACCATGGTTGAGGGACGTGTCGAGTCCGGCGTCATCAAGAAGAACGGTACTTGCATCATGATGCCCAACCGTACGAAGGTCGAGATCGCCGCGCTCTATGGCGAGACCGAGGACGAAATCGCCACGGCTACTTGTGGTGATCAGGTCCGTATGCGTCTGCGTGGCGTGGAAGAAGAAGATCTTCTCCCTGGCTTCGTGCTCTGCTCCCCCAAGCGTCTTGTGCACTGTGTTTCCAGCTTCGAAGCCAAGATCCGAATCCTGGAACTCAAGAACATTCTTACCGCTGGTTACCAGTGTGTCATGCACGTGCACTCTGCTGTTGAAGAGGTTGCCTTCAGTGCCCTTCTGCACAAGCTGGAGCCTGGTACAGGACGTAAGAGCAAGCGTCCTCCTCCCTTCGCCAGCAAGGGCCAAACCATCATTGCTCGTCTCGATGTGACTAGCGCCGCCGGTGCTGTCTGTGTTGAGCGATTCGAGGACTACAACCAGATGGGTCGGTTCACTCTTCGTGACCAGGTAAGAGAGATACCCAACCAGATCTGCGGATCAATATGCTAATCACTTTATCAGGGACAAACCATCGCTATTGGTATGATTACCAAGCTCATTGGTGCCGACAACAACTAAACGCGCATGGAATAAACCGTTTGTTTTCCGACCTGGCCGAGTTCCATTCCCTCATGGGGGAGTTGGCTGTGGCCTGGGTAGTATGGGTGGGCAGAGGCAGGCCGGACGATGATATACCAACCTACCTTCAGTTGATGATGATGAATTTTGCTTTATAGATCTATTCGTACTTGATTTCTGCCGGAATTGGAAAGTGATTGGAGTCGCATACCCAGTCTCGGTTTGAACATACTATTGAATGAGTAGTCGCGTTTTCTACCGTAAGCACTGAACCATGGAGATAGGAGTGGTAAAATCCAAACCACAGACAAATGGGTATATCATTCAACAAGTCTAACTCTAGTGACAAACCAACCCGAAACATGCAAATCATCGTCTCTTTTTCCCAACAACCTTGGTAAACCCATCCTCATCCACCTCCGGCTCCGCCTTCTCCTTCGGAGCCCTAACCAAAGCAGGCGCTTCACCCATATCCATATCCACATCCTCATCGTCATCCTCCTCGTCATCATCATCACTGGACTCCTCCTGATCCTCAACCCGCCGGAACCCAGCAACCGCATTCCCCTTCTGCTGACTCTTCTGCTGCCACGCCTCCCACATCGCCTGGATAGGCGCGAACTCGCCCCGCGCCGCCAGCCCCCGAATCTCCATGATCTGCGCAGCCACTGGCGCGGCGCTCTCGTCGTCAACCACCACGTCAAACTCGTCGTTCATAACCTGGATCAGCACGTCCTCGAGATCCTCGGCGTCTGTCTCCGGTCGGTCGCTCAGCATGTCTGAGATGGCGCCGCACAGCCAGTCCCGCTTGTCGGCGGAGGTCGGGCCACCCCAGTTCGATTGTACAGCGAGGTTCATCGCGGGCCAGTCGTTGATGGCGAGCGTGATTCCCAGATCGAGGTAGGCGGCTGCCGTTGTGGGCTGTTGTTGCTGAGGTTGAGCTGGTTGGGCCATTGTGTTTTGGTTGTGGAGGTGGTTTTGGTGGTGTCGGTGGGGCGGGATCTTTTGCGGTGGTTTTCAATGGGGGTGTGATTTGTGAAATCTCGCAGATAATGCTATGCGAGATAGGGCTGGAATGTAGCAATTGCTGTAGGAAGAGTGTTGTGTCTGCAGCTGGTGGGGGTCATTCGGAGTCCGTCAATTTTTGCAAATTCTTATCGCGATTAGATTAGATAAGGTCAGGTGATATCGATTATATCAATCACGTGCTCACGTCTCTTGTATAGCTTCAAGTACTGTTTTTATCCTCTTTGATTTAGACGTCACAGGGGTTGTTGATATACAAACGAAAGAATGTTGTTGCCTGGAGAGGATGGATGGCTGTTGAAGACCTTCGCAAACTATGGCCGAGTGTCTCTAAAGCTAGGTTTGAAACATCTACTCCACACTGCAATTGTCTGACAAATATGATGTTTATGAGGAATATGGAGGACGGTTCATTTGGTCTATTTGAAGGCAAGTCGATCAATTTAAGAGCGTCATAGTACATTCGTTGAAAGAGGGATTACAGTACTACGGCTTCGAGGCGCCGATGGTAAACGAGGTTTCAATTAGAGGTGACAATAAGACGGAATCAACAACTATAACAACGCGATAATTAAGTACATACAAACATAGTCAAAACACATCACAGCTCCTCCTCCACAGTTTCAGCACCATTAGTCTCCACCTGGGTATCAAACAGCTGCCAATCCTTGAACTGCAGATCGACCTGGTCCTCATTACTCTCAGCCTTGCCTCCACCGAAGGCTTTGAGGTCCCATTTCTCGACGCCCTCCACACCCTTCAAGTCCTCTGGGAACTCGCGGAAGAGATCTGCGTTAAGCCGCTCATACTCGCTGTAGTCCTTGGGCCAGTCACCCAAGCGCTCAGCCGAGAGCTTGAGGAGCTTCAAGTGGTTGCGGACATACTCGCCGGGGGTCAAGGCACCCGCGAGCAAGCCACTGTCAGAGAGGTCCAGCTCAAATGCCGATCCATCCAGACTCATGCTGCCGTCCATGTATTCCATATCGGCAGTGGTTGGGTCGCTAAAGGCACGGAGGATGTTCTCGTGCAGCGCAACGCTCTTCTTGTAGTAGCGCTTGGCCAGTTCTTTTCCATCCTTGTGGGCTTGGTAGCGCTGCGCGATGCCGGTGTACACCTGTGAGAGCAGGACAGACATCTCCAGCGTGCTGGGGTGACGTGCTCCGTGCACGCGGCGGCAGTTGTAGACCACGTCTTCAGCCAGGCGTAGAGCGCCAGTGGTGTCCCCAACAAGGTAGCGGACCATAATGAACCGACGGCCAAGGGCCAGAGTGAGGCTTGGCTGCCAGTTGCGCTGGACCTCGCGACTGTTCCACAGCATGGTGAGGAGCCACGCCATGGTCTGGTAGTCCTGTTGCTCTCCCAGAAGGCCGATCAAGCTGTTCAGATGGTCGATGTCTACCTGGGCAAGGTTGATCTTCAGCTCTTGAATGACGCGGAGTGCGTCTTGCATGATGATCGCAGACGTCTTCAGGAGCTGCTTGTTGGCGGGCAGTCGGACAGCCAGATCGCGGCCGGAGATGGTCATGCCCAGGGTGAATACAAATTTCACTATGGTAGGAGAGCGATAGTTATCCTGGGCGGAGATATACTTGAAGGACGCGAGAGCCAGAGCACAAGCAGCATCGAGCTTCTGGGCCTGGAGGAGTTCCACGACGCGGTTGTTGGAAACAATGCCCACAGAACGGACAAAGTTCTGCGACCGATGGGTGGTCAAGTACTCCAACATAGTCTGAAGAAAGATGTCCACCTCAGCAGACTCAGTGCATTTGATCCGCTTTCCTTCCGTGGAGAGAAAGTAGTTCTTGAGCCCATTGAAGACATGCGTGGCCGACGTATGGCGGTTATTCTTGACCAAGAACTGATAAAGGCGAGACGCAGAAAGAGTAACGGAGTGAAGAGTGCTACTCTTGGACTTGACGGCCATCCTGAATTCCTCGAAATAAACGTACTCGGTCTTCAACGTCGCCAGGATCTCGGTGACACTGGAGACACTATACCGCAGACTGTGCTGAAGCTGGGCGAGGAAGGCCAGACTGTGTTGCTCCTTAGACGAGAGATTGAACTGTACCTTTTCCACATTGCTGGTGTCCTTCAAGATGATCTGGCGGTAAATCTCCTCGCTCAGCTCGGTGACCTTCTCAGTCTGACCGATGGCAATGTAACTGGAGGCGATACTAGCAGCAGCACGGCTCAGTGTGGTAACAGACGTTTCCGAGGTAAGGATATGCACCGTAGCCTCCTTGAGCTCCTTGACGGCAGTCTTGGTCTCGTTGGCCTGCACATACAACTTGACGATTTCCTCCATCTTTGAAAGGGACTCCTCGTGAGCCCAGCCATAGGTCTGACGCACAGTGGTGACACGCTTCTTCAGCACCTGCACGGCACGCTGGTACTGAGTAGAAGAGATTGACTCACGGCGCTCAGTCGAGGTGACCAGGGTTGTCTCCTCCTCGTAGATAGCCTCCAAGATCGAAGAGACCTCTTGGAGATCAATTGCTGTCGTCTTCATCTTGACAAGCTCTTCGTACAGAGCAACGGCCTCGGACTCATAGCGCTTGGATTCCTGGCAGAGCTTCGCCAGGGTGTACGTGGCCTGGACAGTGACCGATGCCGACATGCCAAATACGGTCTTACACTTGGCCTGGTAGTCAACGGTGACCTTGTGCAGGGTGGTAAATTCGGTGCGGGTGGCACGAAGGCATTGGGTGTAGCGATTGAAAACCTCCTGGACGAAGCTGTGATCTTCAAACTTGGAGCTCACCTTGTGTTGCTCCAAGAAAGTCTGGAACAGAATCACATAGTGGCGTAGAGCATCCGAGTACCGTCCCTGGTTCCAGAGTTCCGTGGACACGATGACAAGCGGTTCAAATGCTTCAGGATGGCAAGTAGCAGAGCCCTTGTTCAGCTTCTGAATAATCTGCTGGTAATAGTCGATGAAGATAGGCCGGGGACGAGTCAACCTCGCCAGAGTCCAGAGCTCCTTGATAACAATAGTGTGCTCCTCTCCATAATGGGCAACGTAGTCATTCAACAACTCTTGGTGAACGTTAATGATCATGTCGGTCTGAGATGTGAGCTCAAGGAAACGCAAAAGGTCTGCAACCACAGTTTGCCGCAGCTTATCATCCACCTTCTTTCCAAACCTCATGGCACGGTAGACACGCACTCGGGTGTCCTGCTCCTTCGAGGTGCGACGACGGGAGCGGTAACATTGGCAGAGACGACCAGTCAGTGTCACACTGTTTTCTAAATACTTAGGCGGAAGGGTCACATCCTCCAGCAGTGGAGCAAAGAGGGAAGGCCAAACGACCCGGAGGATACGCTTGATCACTCGAGAGGCATCCCGCCAGCGATGCTGGGAAATGTACATCTGTACCAAGTTCTCGATTGCGGCAAACGAAGTTCCGTCAAGAGTAGAGATAGAAGAGAATCTCTCAAATACTAGCTCTTCAAGAGTCGACTCAGAGGTCACAGTTGTGGTGGTGACAGTTTCCAATACCTCCTTGTGAGTAGTCTCAATGTGCTGCTGAATCTCCTTGTAAACTGAAGTCTCGGTGCGACGAGTGCTCTGGAAGTACTCCGAACAATACTTGTAGACACTCAAGGCAGCCGTCGACAGGCCAACTGTCTTCATCACCTGAGCAATCTGTTGGAAGTATGAAATGGACGACTCGCTGGTGATAGACGTGGTCTTCTGCTGGACATCCTGCCAGAAACTTGAAAGAATCGAGGAAACCTCGCGGTCCCTCTTCTGTGACTTGAGGAACTGTGTGTATACGAGAATGGCCTCCATCTTTCTTTCCTCCCAGAGTCCAGTCGCCTGCATGCGGTGCTCCTCACTTGCTCGCTGCCAAATCTCAACGAAGGTGCGCTCAGCAAGTTCATATCGTCCTTCAGCTGCGTAATTCTGAGCTAGTTGCAGGGAAGCCTCAAAGTCGTAGTGGGACTCGATAACCTCATCATGTTCTGCACTGAACAGTAGGAAGGTATCACCAGTCTTGGTATCAACCTCCGTCGGGGCTGTTAAGGAAACATCAAGATGTCCGGTTGTGCCGTGGGCCTCGTACTCGGTTTCAGTAATGACACTGATGGCTTTCATAATCTCCTGAGCCTTTGTCTCTTCCTTGATTAGCTTATAATGCTCGGAGAGCTGCTTAAGTACGGTGACCACATTCTCGGAGGTACTGCCGTAGTGAACCTTGTAGCACTCGACCAGAAGAGTCAAGCAGCGCTCTCTTTGCATCATTATTTCCACCTTGGAGTTTGTGACGTGCTCCACCGTCAATTCGAGAAAAGTACTAGCCATGTGCATTGTCAAAGTATGCTTGACCGTCAACAATGTTGAGCTAGTGTGGGCAGCCTGGTAGAACAGGGGGATCGCCTCGGCCGGCCGCCCCAACTGGCGATACAGCTGGGCAAGAAAGATGATAGATTGGAGCGTAACCACATGGTTGTCGGTTAGTGTCTCCCGACAGACATTGGCAATGATCATGCGGTAGTATAGCAACACGGCGGTGGGCAAACGCTCCCAAACTGTGTTTTGAAGGAGGACCACAGTGGTTGAAATTGGCAAGTACTTGGTGAACTCCTGGGCTGCCTTAGCTCTTCCACCATTGACGAAGACAGATGTCTGTCTAAAATGGAAAGGCCAGTATCTGAGAGCAAAGTCGAGAAGAGGGTGTTTGCTGAGGAGGATGTTCGTGTCATGCGCATTCAATGAGGTAAGGGAAGGCTCGCGTTGCTCGGTGACGGTTGACTTGATGTAGACGAGGAGTCTGATGACGAGGTCTGCGTGGGGGTCTTTGACATTGGGCACCAGCTTTCCCTTGGCGAATGCCTCAAGAATGGCAGAACGGATCTGACCATGGCGCAAGTACACCAGGCCATCGCGCACGAAGACAAGGGACTTCAAGAGTCCCAGAGCCTGATCACCCAGGACATCAATTTCCTTTTCGGCAACAGTCTGCTTCTCAACATCCACTGCAGACAGAAGAACCAGCTCTTTCATCTGCAGGGGTCGTTCAGCAATTGCCAGCCAAAGAAGCATGTGCTTTGCCTCGGCCGTCACCTTAGGATTCTGCAAGGCATCAAGCACAAAGTCCAAAATAGTAGGCTTCTTTTCAACGAGAGTATCCACAACCTTGCGGAGACCCTCGGGCTTTCCTTCGATACGAGCACGCTTGACTGCAAGCTTTGCCCACAGGAATGAGCTGTTCGCGGCCTCCGCAATGCGAGCCACAACCGTCTCTTGCTCCATATCAGACATCGAAGCCAAGACCTGGTTCTTGAAGTGGCTGCGGATAACCGCGGAGATATCATCGAAGATCAGATCGTCGCTGATCTGCACACACGTCAAGCCCTCTGTTGATGCCGGTCTCTGTGATCCGAGCGTGATCAACCGGGCGTTGGACCCCTGCAAAGTGGCAGTCAAAAGCTTCTGCATCAAAACACCCTCGCCGCAGGAAGCCTCATCAACCCCATCAACCACCAGAACCAGGTCCTTGGCTCCTTGAAGCCTAGCCCCCAAGGCTTCCCCGAGCGCAGTCCACAAGATCTGGTCGTACTCTTCCTCACTGGTACACAGCTTTCCACGCTGGAATGCATCAGTTAAGATTTGGAAGAGTTGAACATTGCCAATGCGCTTTTCGAAAAGCTGGCATAGGATAGTGCGGGCGACAGCACGGGCACTGGTCTCTGCGGGAATTCTGGCATCTAAGGGTTATAGTCAATAGCTGAACAGTACCACTTTTGCAGAGTGGGGACTCACTAATAGGTATAAACAAGGCGTTGTAGGAGACACCTCCGATGGGGTGCTGAAGGTGGTCGACAATCACCGAGGCCAGAACAGTTCTTCCTGATCCTGGCTTGCCAGCCAATGAAAGTGCTCGCAGGTTACTTTTCAGGAACCGTCCCAGGTAGGACGACATCCAGAGGCAGGTAAGCTCCTCCCGCTCATGAGCAAGATGGGACACACTCTCGGCAATGTTATTAAGGACATAGTCATCTGCCGTCAGCCAGGACCGGATTGATTGAACCTCAGAAACTGCAGATGACAGTTAGACTTTACTTTCCGAGTTGGACGTCTGTCTGGGATGAACCCACCTCGGTCGCCATCAACATTATCTCGCAGAAGCTGGTGCCTCCACATAGCAATGGCGATCTTCTCACATCGCTGACGGAAGGTTTGGATCTGGCTCGGGAAGGTACGGTAGATGTCAATATGAATGCGCTTCCGGTTCATTTCACGAACTGCCTTGTGGAAATGGGACGATACACTGGCGACGAGAGTCACCAGGTCTCCAAGAGCCAGAACCAACTGATCACGAATCTCCTGGGTGACGACAAACAGTTCCGCACGCTCGAGGAGGTTGGCCAAGGTCATCGAGGTGCTATAGAAGAATCCGAAGGAGACAATGAGGGCCTGTGCATTTTCCCTGCCGAGCTATTGAGGTTAGTTAGTATACGCTCAACTGGGCGATTGAAACCATTAGAAACAACAAACGGAGACTTACTTCGAGAAGCATGTTACAGTATCCGTAAGCGAGCTCGGCAGCGAGGAAGCTATCACCTGCGAAGGGCTCGATAGCTAAGTCAAAGGAGTGGATTCTCTCAATGAACAGCTGGGCCCACGCAAGCACCTTGTCATAGGGACTTCCCTCAGGAGGCAGAAGGCTCATACGCTGGCCCCGAATCCAATCCAGCAGGGATGCATAAGAGACGCCGTTGATGAACTGTGACGAGGCTGAGGAGCCCAGTTCATCTCCATTGCGGCGTTTCAAAGACTCCACCACACTGGTAATGTTAGTTGTCCTGGAGGTCATCCGTTTCGAGCTCAGTCTCCCAAGAGAGAACGAGTGGCTCATTCCAGCGTTGGACAAGGTGTCGCTATCTGCGAAGCTGGAAATACGTCTAGGTCCCGGCGAGAAGAGACGGGGAACATTGGCCGGAGTAGGGGACAGGACAGAGGGAGCCATGGTGATGTGTTGTGGAGAATCAATGTGAACAGCAGTATGGAGTTTCGGCTTGATCAACTCAACTTTCTGTCTGGGAGGAGACGCCGTGTGCCGGACTGGGGGCTCAGGCTCGTGGGATGCTTCGATTGAGGGTTGGCAACACCTCAAGAACTTGCAGATGAACGACAATGTGGCGGTTCAGGAGATTAAATATTACGCATATGGGGGTGAAACGGAGCGCGGCGAAGAGGAAAAGTGGCGCAAATCTCGGGCTCCAGCCGGGTTATGAGATTCAGATATATAGTGCCGTCCAAGGCAAACATTTGCCCAATCGGGTAGACCGTGTTCAGCTCGCAATGATCTTGGGAGGGCTGGGAGAGCATGGACTACTGCTGGGTGTGGGGTCTTCAGCCATTCTCCTCACGGAGAGATACGGTATGGGATCTCGTCCAATGAATTCAATTTGCAAGAGGTGGCTACTGAGAGTCAAAGCTGATCCCTCGCTTGGGCACAGGCTCATATGAGGATCATGGAGGTGTTATCCATCTACTAAGATGCAGTCGGGGGTACCAAGACCTGTCTCGTCCGCAGAATTGACCGCTCAAGATGCAAAGATCTTACCCACAGATAGCTGCTCCTTCCCTTTCCTTGGGACAAAGCATCACTATCTGTGGGACGACAGGGATGGAATCGAGGAAGTCAAGGAATCCACCTTTGACATCCACCGAGACTCCTCAGCTCCATGCATGGGACGCGCATTCTTCGGAACGACTGTTTTGCCTTGATAATGACGGTCGTATGTACTGTATCGTCGAGCTTCCATCCCTGTTCAAATCTTCACATGACCAATCACTGCGTCTGGACCGACGAGCTGCAGGGTATTGACTATCGTAGACCCATGTACCACCGCACTGGTTTGGGAACTATGCAAATATGTCAAAACGCACTACTTTGCGGAGCTGCATGGTTGAAGGACCGGAGAAGTCCGGTATGTATATAATTTTAGACGAACGAATGGTATGCGGGCTGTGCTCAGCTACCCACCTCCCCGTCGGGTAAATTTGCATGTCTCTCCTGTGGTTCTCCGCATGGGTGTCTCAATAGACATGATGAGGTGGGTAAACCACAAGTTCGCCGATGGCCTGGTCAGACTTGATTTTGCAGAATGTGAGGAAGTGGTGTCCATAGGAGAGGTCAAACGTATTATGATCCAGCGTAGGAATGACCGCCAGACAGGTCGCGGAACAAGTATGAGTATGGCGTACTTGACAGCGCGATGTGACACAAAACCGCTCATAAGTGTACGGAATTTTAAATAGAGTTTCCCAGTGATATTTGGAATCGACAATGTGGTGTCTGGTGCTTACTGTCGTCTCGTGGCCGGCCGATCTGATATCCGTTCAAAACGTGCCAAAACGCTAGGAGGCAATGTTCCCCTTACGGGCTCTGTTGGCAATCATCGATGTGCTATCATGTCTTGGACACCGAAACTGTAGTAATATACCGACCCTCCCTGGATCAGTGTTTCTGGGTATCATCTCCAGGGTCTCATTTGGTCTTGGCGATGCCATGAGATCAATGATGCGGAGGACCCGGTGGGTCGAGAAAGCAAACATGTTCCACATCAGCTGTGGAGGAGCTGAGGGGAATTGGAGCGTATTCCGCGCCATTCTTGCTTTTTTTGCCGAGGGCTGCCTGGTCTGGACATGGTTCCAAAGTACCGTGATGATGGGGAGTTCGTGACGGACATGCACGAGAGTCTAGGCCTAATAGATCCCGGAGTCAATGTTTAACCTAGCACTCTATGGCCCGGATATGATTGGTAGACGAGTAGGGTGTTCGTGAGATACCGCATCTAGAGGATCGCATTCCTAGTCATACCCCGAGCGATCAGGTCGCCCCAGGACGAATCGGGACAAGTGTCTGACCATATAGGGACATAATCGATTGATCCGCCACCACGGACCGCAGTGGCATAGCTGAACAAGCACTGAGTACAGACAGAACCGAGCTCCGATCTCAGCTAGATGGGAATATCCAGAGACGGATTTGACAGCGTGAGTTGGGAAAGCGGCAAGCTGCATGGGACGACGCTGTTGTCAAAACGCCCCTCGAGATGCACACAGAGCAACGCGAGTACACAGTAGATCGTGACGAAAGGAAGAACAAAGGAAGAGCCATCCCACAGCATTGGGTCACCGCTGGGAATTCCAAATCTGACCCTGTCTGTACTCCGTACGTGCAGAACGCGCAATGAGAGGGCAACACCCCCGCTCGAATCTGTCCCTTTCAAGCCGAAACTGCAGATAGGTGGGTCATCCCAGCGCTTCGCGTTTCGTTTGGTGGGAAGAAGAATCGTTCATCTAGAGGCCATAGGGAGGGTCTTTCACCCGGGCGGGGTAGTGAGTTAAATCTCTTGTCTTCACACCCACTGGAGTCAGAGATGTTGTCGGATGAACATCGACCCTAGTCCTGATCGGATGGGATGGAAGGATGAATGGAAAGTCTGCTTGGCAGCGGCCCGCCCGTCCCGCATTCAGTCCCACCCCCTAAATAAACAGTTCATCTACAGTACCGAAATCTCGCACTTACTTACCGAGATACAGTACTAGTACTACGTAGTACAGGCATCTTTCTTCCTCGGACGAAAAGAGAGGCATAACAAAGAACTAACCCTGGCGCCCATTTTTACTTTTTCATTGCTGAACGGTCAATCGGCCCGATTGACGACAGCCAATCAACCCTACCCGAATCAGCCACTCAGCCAGCCGCCTTCCCAGTTGCCTCTCAATCGAGAATAACACGGATGGCAACGATAAGTGCAGTGGTTAGCCTAGTAAATATCTCAGTTATATCCACCTAATGGGCCGAAATCAGTGCCTGGAACCCAACAGGGGGTTGTCCATCCTCGTCTTGATCTGCGGCGGGAACTGTCAGGATGTCCGCTTGTTTGGTGCCAATCCCATAGAATACCCTCGTAGGAAGCACGGGAATTACTGTGGAGCTCTTGTCTACGGAGTATTTCCTTTTTTACCAGATATCCACAAAGTCCCAGGTGAGCGGAACTGTCGGCATTGCAGACATGACTCGTTTTGCATGACATCCCCCAGAAAGATGAGTCTTATATAGACAAGTGGAACAGACTCCCCCTGCATTTTTAAGTCTGCCTATGTTCTATCATTCTCTGAAATTAGTTGGTAAGACGGGTTGTTTGTCCGATGTCCGTGGTGAATTGAATGTGCAGTGGTGGCATATACACTGTGATATATATCTCAACAATGAACGGTCCATCTTAACATATGAACGACCACTGATTTTGAGATTTTGAGTAGGCGTACGGCGTGTTGGACATGATTTTGGAATAGTATGTCATCGGAGATGCTTTCGAATTGTCAAATACGTAATCAAATAATCACCACATTCCCCGCCTGGATTTCTATGCAGATATGATGCGCCTGGTATATCCGTCTTGCCTGCGCCGCCTCATGAGAAGAGCCTATGTACACCATAAAGAGATCAAAATATGAAAAGAGAAACGACCGTATGTGTCAAACGCCACCCATGTAACCGTCCCAAACTCGATATGATGGAAGATGAATGATCATTTACATAACATAGCTCAGAGCTTCTTGAGCTCTGACGGCCGTGGCAATATGCCAGGGCATCGCGCTCCGCTGAACCGTACGCGTTCCGCGGGCTCGCGCAAGCGTCGCCAGGTCACGATACATTTGTAGAATTTCGCGGAGAACTGTTTCGTATGAAGAGGAGTGCCGTTGCGTGTAGATCAGATTCAGAGTCAGGGTGTACACCCCGTCGCCGTCGGTAGCACCCTTGCGACGAAGTAAATACCCGCTTGCCAACGCAGGACGGTAATCCATCAGATGAGGGGAGCTGTTCAACCGATGGGACAGTGTTACTGCCCATGTTTCGTCGGTGACATCGGTAAGTAGCGACTCGGATTCTGCTTCAAGAGCACTGTCTGTTGGCGTTGGCGCATTCGCCATGCTATAACCCCCACTGGGTGGGGTGGATGCGTTGCCTGTTTGGTCCGGGGAGAGAACACTTGGATTTGGAGTAGCAATCGGCGTGGATGACGTTTGTGGGTTGAACACACTCATTGGGATCGGTAAAGGTGGAGGGTCAAGGTAAAGGTCGGGGGTAGCGCTAACATTGAGCATCGTCAGTTCAACAGGCGTCGCGTTGGCCTTGTTGTACTGTTCTACAAATTTCGTCCACGCTGAAAGTCGAATCAGCGACTGACCACATAAAAAGCAACAGGTACACTCACAGTCCACTTCATCCTGGTCTACAGGATCAGAATTCACTAAGACGATCCTCCATCTTGCCTGTATTCTCTCCATGATATCTTTCGTAGCACCCCAAATCTCTCCACGGACGTCCTGTAGGGTCCGAGATGCGGTTGCATTGCGGAAACGGATGTTGTACGACATCGTCCGTTGAAGACTTCCGGTATTATCAGACCATGCAACACTGATCCAGCGTTGATCTTGACTCCGGGATGACGCGACGTGAAGACACTTCCCTTCCTGCAATGGTGAAGTCTTTTCGGAGGCAAGCCTAAAGTTGATGGACTTGGGAAGGGGCTCTGTAATTAGCACTGGCGGGGCGCAATTGACAAGACTCGTCTGCTGATCTTTAGGCGGACACCGGCTGTATACCTCCAAGGCCAGGTTCAGATATTGTGTTTGCGGAGGCACCACAAACGAGTCTGTTGACATGATGAAATCAACGGGGACAATTTGCAAAACTAGCTCGTCCAGCTGCAGAGTGTGTTGTTTGTCCGCGGCGGCGATATATGTCTGAAAGAGACTCCAAAATGCGGAACAAATGTCTACCAGAGCAGCTGCATGTGCGAAGGGATTGACTATGTAAATGACCAAGTTGTCCTTGCTTGGTGGACTCTTCAAGAGAGCAGATCCTACCAAAGTTAGCGTAATTCCTTTATCGGCCAGATGTATTGACTTACCCAAATTCGCACAAAGGCTCTTCAAGCTCTGCATCGCACTGGAGTAGTCTGCAACCTCATCAGATGAAATATCCCATACGCCCAACCCGCGGTCGAATGCATCGCAGCGGTCCCCGCGAGTATGTTTCCCAAGATTACAACTCGAATATACGGAGCCAAGACGGTCAAGAAAAGCATCGGCAGAATTGGAAGCAATACGAGGATGGATGCAGTAAGCAGATACATCCTTCGGTCCATGAGCGGGCTCCAAACCAAATGTCTCCCAGAAAAGGACCGTTGGCGGCAATGCTTCCAGATATTCCTTGCCTCGTCGGACGCGCAAGTGGGGCGGAGGTAACTTGGTGAGAGATCCTTTCAACGCATCTTTGCGCTGAGAAGGTTGGCGAGAGGAAACACCATTAGGCGCAGGAGATGCAACACTGTCACTGTCCAGCAGCGACACAAACCCGTTCAAATCCAGCCTCTCTATGCCACTCATGAAAGAATTGTCGTCGAGGAAGGTTTGGATAGAATACGTCTCAGATTCTAGATCAGAAATGCTGCAGGTACCATCAAGTTTATGATCCAAAGATGACTGCGTGACTTGGTCAACCAGTAGCTGAGCTATTTGAACCTGAAAATCCTTGCGAGCCAGGACGGGGAAAATCTGGTTCTCTTGAAATGAGAAATAGCCTGCCATTGACCAGTCGGACGAGGTGGATAAGAAGTTCCCCAGGAAAATCGAATGGTCGACTTTGGGAGCGGGTGTCCCTTTGTCGCCTTCATTCGTCGACTTGGCTTGTGATAGCGCCAAGGAGTTTCCAGAGTTAGAACGGGCTCGCTTCCTTTTGAGGCTCGAGACGACAGTCTCTGGGGCGTCACCTTCAGAGAGAAAATTGTCACCGTCGTCACTCGAATCGCTACCTGAATCCGAAACTAGGTCGTTCTGTTGGCCTGCGTCGCTTGAATCGTGGACGTCCAACACAACGCCATCGACCATTGGAACCTTTCTGCTTCGACCAGGAAGGCCAACGGTTGGGATGTCGCCATTGGATGTAGAGGGATACCTCAAAGCCCTGGGTTCTTGAATGGTAAATCCAAACTTGCCAGAAGCCCCATATTTCTGGTCCCAGGTAGATATATCCTCCTTGAATGCGATAGGATTGTAATAACTCTGGCTCCTGCCTTTCCTAGTCGACGGCTGGACATTTCCATTCGTACCGGGGAAAAGAATCCGCTTAATCTCGACGGGACTCAGTGGTGGGCTTATCGTCTGGTTTTTTTCGGTAGGACTTTGTTGTCTGATGGGGCTGTCATGAACAGGTGAGCCCCCATGATGTGAGCCTGTGGGGTTGTCCGTGTGATCGACATGGGGTATGTCAGGTTCCGGCACTGGTGGTCCTTCCGTAACAGGAGCCTCTGGAGGGGCTTCAACAATGGTAGGCTGAGTATTCGGTTCAGTCAGTTCCATCATATCGGACAAAGCCTGGGCGCTATCGGGTACATCTCCGCCTAGGTGGTCGAAACCAGGGTCGTCGAAAAAGCTGAAGTCGGCATCTGTAATCCCTTTGGTACCAAAATCCCTTTCATTCATATCACCAAACAAGTCATTATCCTCGTTAGTGTCATACAGGCCCGACCCGACTGTCAGGCCCGCCGATGGACCAAACTCCATTGGAACCGCGCCCGTATCTTCGAGGAATTTGGCTTTGCCGTTACGTTGAAGAACCCCTGACCCAAAATCCGAGTCATCCGCAAAAGTATCCGATGTAGCTGTGGCATTCAATCCCAGTCCGGCAGCCCCGTCTGGTGGCGTAGGGTAGACGAGGCTCGCACTTTGCAGCTCCGGATACTGGGAGGCTCGAGAGAGGCTCTCCAAGCCTTCCAGAACATCTTCGGATAGCGACGACGCGTCATGATTCCCTGGCGGATTGGATGTTGCTTGTTGGTTGGATGGTGTACCTGGGCTGCCCACCTCCGGCTTCGGAAGTTGTTTTCCATGCCAAGTCTGTACAAAGTCCAAAGGGTCAGAGACATCCTGTCTCATCCATTTGATGTCGTCGGAAATTGTGGATTTCTTTCGCCGGAAACAGTAAATATCTGGCCAAAGAATGCGCTTTAGGGGGATAGTTGATGAACTGTCGCTCGGTCGCCATGTTTCACCCGCTAGTCTGGAGTAAAATGGTTCCCAGACTTCAACCATCACCCACGAAAAGTCATCTTCGGGCTCTACCGTCAATCCAAAATTCTTCAACCAGTCCAAAACGTTTGCTTTCCATTGGGTTGGGTCCGTCGTCACGATGTCGTTTTTCATGGGTGGCGCGCCAGGATACGGTGATGATAAATTCGTTGTATTAGGGCTCGTTGATATTAGTCGTGCAATGGTCCCGCTGGGACATAGCCAGAGATCTGTCCAGGGTGGTAGTGCGGCAACGTCGGCGAGGTTGTCACCCGGCTGACGCAATCGCATAAGCCCTGGTTGCGATATCGTTTGCAAGGATACCGTGAGCTTTCCGATGACAGTAAGCTGAACCTGAAGAGTAGCCAAACACGGGACCATAGAGGCATCGCTAATGACTACTCCAGGGCTGTTGTTGGAATCTTTCTCAACGACACTGTACAGGGTCCGCGGTCCGAGCGGGATGGCATTGTTACGCCGAATCAGCTGCGAGTTCAGGGCCCCTGTGACGGCGGAAATGAAGAGGGCATATATCAGCGCCACGCTACTATAGTTATCGGTCCGCCTCGTTGGCGTTGAGGCATTCGGTGGTCGCTGCGACCCAGATTGATTCCCACTTGTGTTTGGTGACTCGGAGGACAACGTCCGGACAAGATCCGCGGCCGGAACACTTCCACTCGCAGAGACTATGAGACTTGGTGAGCACGGGAAGTATGATAACAAGTACATGGTTGCGTCCTTTTCACACTTACCTTTCAGTGTTGACGACCCCACGGCGATCCGGTTCTGCTCGTCTTTGCCATTGTTCAAGTAGAGGGGGGTCAAGTTTTCGAAATCTGGCGTCGCGGAGAAGACCCACAGACCTAGGCGTCGAGGAATACTAGAGACCAAGCAGTCGAGGTTCCGTAGGCGGAGTTCGAGATCCTTGAGGCGACTGAGGTGTCTTAGGATCGCCTGGGCATTGGAGGACGCATCACCTGGCACACTGGGAATGCTCTGTTCATCCGTATATATTCGATAATAGATAGTTGAGAATCCATCCTAGAATTTCCTGTATTAGAGGTTTACCGGAGGTTGGAGCGTGTGGATATACCTACAATGGCGCGAATGTTTGTGATGGATCCTCCGGGAAAGTCCATGGTTCAACTTAGGCCCCGAGGGTAACGCTGGCAGTTCGGAATATTTGCCAGCAAAAATATTACAGGAGAAATCGGATTCATCTCCGGATGTGACGGGTTTCCTCAATATTATTCCAACGGGTAGCCCATCGCCCATGCCACTTGGTAAACAAATCAGCACTTAAATGGAGTTCCCGGAGCCATAGCTCCACCGGAAAAGGAGGGTTGAGAGCAATATCAGGTGGGATATGATGCAAATATCAAGAGAATGAGATCATTATGCGAATATAACATGCAGAGTCCTCGCAATGAACATGGAATATCAAAAGAGAGAGAGATGATGATGAACGGAGGGTGTTCCGATGTCCCCAAGAAATCCGACGGAGGTTGGTTCGGCCCGCGGGGGCCAATCAGTGCTGGAGAGCGGATACAGTCACGTGTCATCCGCTTTATCGATATCGCCCCAAGTTTTTTTCTTTTATCAAAAGTCCCTCCGCCGTCTGTCCACGAGCGTTGATTTTGCTCCTACCTCCCCAGAGCAACAGCGCACAAGATGAAGCTCACGAACCAGTCCGAGGTGCCGGTATACACCATCTCAGGATCGAACACTGCACGGCCGCTGCCAGAGTGGCTTGCGCGACGCAGAAAGCGCAGTTTGAAAAATGATCCCGAATATGCGAATCGGATCGAGCTGTTGCAGGACTTTGAGTTCGAAGAAGCCAGCCAATGTATTCGGGTCAGTGAGGACGGCGAATGGGTTATGAGTACTGGTAAGTGGTCAACAGATGCATTGGTGTCTGAAATCAGGGACATCGGAGTTAACAAATTCGTCGCAAAGGTACCTACAAGCCGCAAATCCACACCCATTACCTCCCGCAGCTTTCTCTGTCCTGGGCACGTCACACAGATGCTTTGAATACGACATTCCTTCTCCTCTCCTCAGATTACTCCAAATCTCTCCACTTACAATCCGACCGGTCCCTCGAATTCCACACGCCTTCAGGCTGCCATTACCGGACAAGGTTACCGCGGTACGGACGTGACTTGGTCTACGATCGATACTCTACGGAAGCAATGGTCCCGTCGGTCGGCGTGAATCAGGATGGCATGGGCGAAGTGTTCCGACTGAACCTGGAGCTGGGTCGGTATATGCGGAGTTTCGAAATCGATGTCGGCGGCGATGACTTCACCTCCGCTGGTGGAGGATCACTACAGGGTGGGATCAACACGGGAGCGGTCAACACCGCTGCCATTGCCGAGGAGAGCCACGGCCTTCTTGCTTTTGGTACGACACTGGGCACGGTCGAGCTGTGGGATCCCAGAGCGAAAGGCCGGGCAGCCGTGTTGCTGCCACCCACGCAAGCCGGACCGGATGATGCGCGGTCTGAAATCACAGCCTTGGAGTTTCACCGGTCTGGTCTGACGCTCGGAACGGGATCTTCCAACGGTCTCATCCATTTGTACGATCTTCGGTCTCCCGTTCCGCTCCTCAAGAAGGACCAAGGATACGGGTTCCCCGTTCACACGTTGAAATTCCTGCAGCCTTCGTCTCACACGCGCGAACAAACCCTCGAGCCCAAGATTATGTCGGCCGACAAGAAGATCATCAAAATCTGGGACCCTCGTGATGGTCGTCCGTGGACGTCTGTCGAACCTGCTGTCGACATCAACTCCGTGGCCTGGTGCCAGGATAGTGGAATGCTCCTCACTGCCAACGAAGGCCGTCAGCAGCATTCGTTCTTCATTCCCCAGCTCGGTCCCGCGCCGAAGTGGTGTTCGTTCCTGGACAATCTGGTCGAAGAGATGGCGGAAGATCCCAACGATCCCAACGCGTTCAGCACCGGCCAAGCTGGCACCGTCTACGACAACTACAAGTTCTTGACGGTACCACAGCTCCGCAACCTGAACCTGGAGCACCTGATTGGTCGGACTAATCTCATGCGCCCTTACATGCACGGTTACTTCGTTGCTCAGCGTTTGTATGAGGAGGCCCGGCTGATCACCAACCCGTACATCTGGGAGGAAGAGCGCGCAAAGAGAGTCAAGGAGAAGATTGACAAAGAGCGCGAGAGCCGCATCCGCGGCAAGAAGAAGGTCGCCGTCAAGGTCAACAAGAAGTTGGCCGAGAAACTGCTCGCCGTGGAGGAGAAGAAGGAGCGTCGCATGGCACAGCGTGTCCTCCGACAGGGAGGCGACGAGCCTGAGAAGGCAGCGACCGACACGCCCGCTACGGAAGACTCTGAGAAACCCACCAAGGGTCTCTTCGGTGACGGTCGGTTCGCCCAACTGTTTGAAGATGAGGACTTCGCTATCGACGAGACATCGCGTGAATTCCAGCTCCTCAATCCCAGCACTGCCCCCGATCCGTCCACCGCAACGACCACGCGGAAGGAGCGTGGGCTCACCGCCGTGGAGCAAGAAGAACTCGATGAGGTTCCTGGCTCCAGCTCGGACGAGTCCTCCGAGAGCGAGTACGAGAGACCCGCGAAGACGGAGTCCTCTAACAAGATCTCCACATCGTCCTACAAGCGTACCCGCCGTCCTCAGCCGCAAATGCAAGTTTCCTCCTCGTCTAATGTGCATTCTACCCGCGATCGCTCGTTTGGTTCTCGCGCTCAGAATATGAAGGCGAAACAGAAGCCGTCCCGTCGGGGTGGCGTTGTCGGTGAGCGGGAGGTCACCTTCACGCCGCACGTCAAGTCGAAACAACCTCGGGCTGCTGCGCCAGAGCAGTCCCGCGAGTCCAGCTTCCGATCAAAGGAACGTCGCAGTGCGTCGCGCAATACTTTCCGGGGGATGTGAACTCTCTCGATACCTGGTTATTGGGACTTGAGGTCAAGGACTTGTTTGCTCGCACAGAGGGGTATGTGTGTGATGGCTCTTTACTGAGATGAGGTCAGGCATAGGAAGAACACATCCTATCATGGAACCCAGAGAAGTCAAGGTTCCACTACTTCTATCTGTGGAGTCTGGCTGGTCTTGCGATCATCACGCCAATATGACTGTGTATCCCAATGGAATACATTGAACGGCGTTGCAGGATGAATTTCCGACCTACTTCATCAATGACCACCCATCCACTCTCCGAGATATTTCGGATGCAGAGTGAGTGGATAAGAATTAACAATCGCTGAATGCGAATCTTCATGTAAATAATATGAATCATGGCAAAAGGAGTAGTGGTGCTTAAAATAGAGATCTGCAGCTACGAATATCAGGTTCTAATGATGTTATAATATAGTGTTCAGGAGGACCAAAGCAGATCCAGAGTAAATTCGGGTTTATTCATACTGATTAAACATGAGGCATGGTCAATATCGTACAAGTGTTGCTTTCAGTGAAAGGCGAACGTTCGTATATCAGGATCGGGTGTCAGTTTGGTGTAGGATTCCTGAAGATAAGACAAAAACGAGATAAATAGTCGCCAATGGCCCAGCATTGTAATTGAAAAATGTAATGATGATCTAACCAAAAGATGAAGTCGCAAAATCGCGCAACAACCAATATGGTTTTGGGAATCCAAACGAAGTTTTGCCGTACCCTGCTCTATGATCAGATACCTAGTGAGTCGCATCATTGCTTGCATATCAGTCTATAAGGGGGAAAGCCGATTGGGCTTGAATAGCACGATGGAACGCAAAACCAAAACAAAAATAATGCATATACCAGAACAGTCATGGAAGTGGAATATATCGTCAGTGCAGCGATTCATGGAACTTAAGACCACGCCGGGAATCCTGACAACCCACCGCCGCGACGGCCGCTTCCTCGCCGGGATGAGCCAGGAGCACTGCTTGGGTCGGCAGAGTGGTTTCCATGTCTGCTCTCTTCTAAGCTGCGTCGAGAAACCCCGAAGTCACTCATGGCGAATAACAAAGGTTCATCTTCCTCTGGTTGTGTTGACTGTGGGGGAACACCGCGACCCGTGCTTGTCCGCCGTCCAGCGCGGCGGTCTTCTGCGGTTGAAGTGGCGCTTCCGCTACCGCTGGCAGTGCCATCACGCTCATGATCACGCTCAATAAGATCCTGCGGGACCATGGCACCGCGTGCAAGGCTGCTGGACGCGGAGCTCAGGGAATGAGGACCGCCGGACTGACCACGGAAGCGCGAATGGCCGAAACGAGGCTGGTATATGTGATGGGTAGACGACATAGATGATGTTATTGGACCAGATGACGATGGGCCTCTGTGTAGACCGCTTTCACGCGAATCGGACGCGCGTGTCACTTCTGCCTCGTTTCCAGACGAACGATGCTGTTCCCTCTGCAGCAGATCCGGGCGTGGAGCAGCACCTTCATACTCCTGCTGCCTGTGCAATGCGCTCAGACTATGATGCGACTGCTCCTCTGCCCCAAGGCTCACACTGCGCATGTTGAAAGGGAAAATCTCTTCCTCATCAACAGTAACGGAGCGTCTGCGATGGGCAGCCGAGCTAGAACGCCGATAGACAGGAGGAAACACGCGAGGCGATGTTGGAATATCAATAGCCGTAACTGTAGATGGGCCACGGTCCATGGCTGTGTCATCACTGGTATTTTCCTCTAACGGCGATCCACCCTCGCCGTCGTTGTTGGCCGGGTGGGTATACTCAACGATACTATTAGAACTCAACCGGGAGGGGATAGCAGGCGTATGCGGCGTATGTGGCGAGATAGGTTTTCCCGGTGAAGAGGCGGTAGAGGTAGATGTTCCGGCCACCATGGGGGGAACACCTGAAAGCTGTTTGCTTGATGAATTTGAAGAACGCTGCAGTAGCAGGGAAGACGACATAGAGTCGGACAGAGCAGCATTTGAATCACGCATTCGCTGAAAGCGAGCCAGCGCAGCACTCGTCGCAGTTGCCTTTCGCGCGGCAACCTCTAGCGCTCCGGGGCTCGTGGTGGTCAGGAGATCTTTCTTCAAATCCAACATCTTCAGAAATTCGGAAATATTCTCATCATCGGCATGGATAGATTCCGCACTTGTCCCTGTGACCTCCGCGAGTAAGCCAGAGCCCGGCTGAGCTGATGACGTTGCACTCGCTTTCCCACTAGAGGTATCATCCTCAATCCTGTTGACTCCTCCAGATGAGGGGCGTCCTCGACGGTGACTGAACGCACTGCTGTATCTCGAGATAGTCGCTGGTCTAGGGGAAGCCGAGTTGGCCGAGGAACCCGCATTATCAGAGGCAGATGGCAAGGATTTGCGGTTTGAGGCACCTATCGAGGGCGGCGGCATGTTCTTCGCGTCCGCCCGGGAAGGGAGAGAGCGAGGAGAGGCTCCCAGAGGCGGATCAACTAGAGATGGCGAGGCAGACAGAGGAGGGGCCTTAAACGGTTGGAATGAGATAGATGGTCGCCTTCCGGCACTTGAACTACCCTCGCCTGCGAGAATAGCAGCGCGGCTTGCGGAACCCACTTTGGCAACCCCCAAAGGTTTTCGTAAGGACGTGCCAGGCGGAGAGGGAGATGAAGCGCCAGATTCCCGCGCAGCTCTGAGAGCTGATAGGGGGCTCGCACTGGTCGTGGGCCCAACCTGATGAAAGGTCGATAGACTCCCGTAAGCACGACTTGGGTCGGGAGCATCAATAGTTCTCTTCGTCACAGGGACAGAGCCTATTTCGGCCATGGCGGCCTTGACATCGTCGTCTCGACTGGGCAGCGATGGACGAAAGATGTCATCGTCAGCGCCCATGAACCTCGAGCTGAGCAACGCTTCCGAATCATCTACCCGGAAATCACAGCTCGTGCGATAGGTAACATGGACTGAAAACGGGCCCGCGGGGGACTCCGTGACTCCAAAGCTGTACGTTTCCACGACTTTGCTGCTACTGTCATACAGGGGAACGGTCAAGTGGTCTGGTTTGGGGCTCTCCCCAGTGGTCAGGCCACTTACGATCCTGTACTTGATTCGCAAGGCAGGATGAGTCCTCAGTCGTCCGGTGCGTTTGGTGAATTTCCAAGCAGGCAAGAACTTAGAATAGGTGAATAGAGATCGGAACAGTATAATGCTCTTCTTGTATACCGTTGGTAATATCGACCCCAGGTCGGTTGGTAGTTTCCCGGGCATGTCCCCCAACTCCACTCTCCATCGCTCCAGGATGACATCGTCCGACCTAGACGAAGGGGGTCTGACGGGGTGGGCCTCTCGCGAGGCAGCAAGAGACTCCAAAACATCCCAGCGCTTTCCATTCTCGTCTAACGCGACCAGACTTTGGTTGTTTGTGAGCCCTGTGGTATCGAGGTAGGTTTCGATGATCAGCGGTGGCGGTCGGTTTTCAGTGGCGTCGCACGTCCTCCACGTTCGTAGCTGTTCTCGGAGGACGTCTGTATCTTCGATCTCAACATTGAACTGGAAGTGGAGTTGCAACAGTCAGCTTCAAAGGTCTGATGGGTTTGGTTGCTGTATGAAGTGGGAGCACGTACCCATCGATTTACTCGGGGTGTGTCCGACCCCTTGTTGTAAGATGGAGGAAGTTCCACGCGTGAGTGCAGGATGATCAGGGCGGCTTTCGTATGATAGTTCTGGATACAGAGAGGAGTCAGTTGGGAGTTGCGGGGGTTCGTTTTGACACAGACCGGGGATCTCACGGATATAATCTGGTTGAGTTTTGCAACAGCCTCCTTCGAAGGCTGTGTGGACTGAGCCGGGTCGATTGACCCAGACTCGGTCTCGATCCCTAATCCTCGACTTTGTTGCACCCTGGGATCGGCCGCGGGGGACGTTGGGCGGTTCTCTGACTCCCTACGCTCAGCCGAACGAGACAGGTTCGACCGAGCCGAAGTCGCCTGTGGCGCTGGTGGCCGAGGATGCTGGTGCATGATTCGACCAACAGCGACTAGAATGAGCGCCGGAGACTGGTGCTATGACGGAGGGATTCGTGCAGTCAGGAAGGCGATGGATAGGTGACGAACGAGTTGCGGACGTCCATACTAACGGAACGAGGACAACAGGAGAAGACGGCGAGGAATGGGAAGAAGGAAGACGGAAGATTATGATCGAGAGCGCGAACTGTTTCAACCAAAGATGTGTGATCTGGGAATCAATGAACAAGAAGGAGGTTGTGGTCTAGACAACCTTGGGAGCTTCTCCGCATTGACGATAGGCGGAATCCACAACGGGGGATTGTTGCACGGCGTCGGGAACGACGTGAGAAGGAGAGAGGATTAAGGATTCATGGTCGCTAATGACGAGGGGATGGGGTAGGGGTATAAGGAGAAAGGGAAGACCGAAAGAGAGCGGAGTATGAACAGGAAGAGGAAGAGAAGAAGAGAGAAGATGGGAATGGAGGAGAGAGCGAGCGATGATCGGATTGTCGTCAGAGGGAGGGAGATTAGGCACAGTACGGTATGTTACTGACTTACGAACTGACAGCCCCAGATGACGGGAGCGGGAGGGTCAGAGACGCACCAGGTGACTCGACGTATGTATCAGGCTGAAAGTTCGTCTGATGCTCTTTTTCAAGTATCCAGACTTGACACTGTGAATACTATAATCTAATATAATGGATCACCTTCATAACGATTCTATAGAATCACACAAAGACTCTGGGTCTCTCTATATAGATGAATGCCTATCGATGATCGACCTGGAAGGCGGTGAGTCTGCCTGTATCGATACGGTAATGGTCTATCAATCATCCATTCCTCCAGATAAAGACGACTCCCATCATATCATCCGCTCTCCTCTCTGTACGACGAATCCTCCTGCCTTCTCATCGGTGACTCAAGGATGATGACTGGACACCCTCTCAGCTCCCTCGGCTGGTTCCTCCTCCGCCTCCGCCTCCTCGTCGCAGTCATCCCCCCAAGCTCCTAGAACTAGCCCCAATCCACCGGTTGGTGACCGCCTGCGCCGGGTCGATCACTCGAACCCGCCAAGTGATAGGTAATGATTCATCACAGGGTCCTCCACCCGATCTCTCCTGTTTCGCCTGGTTCCTTTTTATAGTCGCCCGGTCCACGGGGTTCCCCTTTTGCAACAACCGTGGCATTCATACACCCCAAAGTACTAGTACAGACTGTCTACCTCCTCGATCCCAAAACAAAGGAATTCAGTTAGGGGGAGCCACCCAGCCATGGCACTGGCCGCCTCACCTGTCGGTCGCTGCAGAGGCGAGTGGGGAAGGGAGGTTGGCCCGAGTTCGACTTGCTCAGCCGCCTGATCAATCACCATGCTTCGGATCACCGCCGCAGATTCCAGGTACTTCCCCAAGGCCGGGGGTTGGAATCCAGCTCATCGTGCTGCTGCACTTGCGCTCCTCCGTCCTCGGCCCTTTGCCGCAGGATTCCCCCCGTGATGGCGTGCAGCCATGTAATAACGTCTCCGTTGATTACCTGGCGGAATAATTCTGGCCAGTCCGTGACGCGTTGGCACTTTGTATCTGGGTTTTATTCGCCGGAATGTCTTACGCTTGACCTCGCCTTGCCAGCTGGTAATGCTTCTGCATCTTATGTAGCAGGGAATACTGGAGATAAGGTGTATCCCCACCCTAATTGAGAAAATGATACATTCTGGCGATGTATCCTTCTCCTTGCGATGCGTTGTCTCCAACGACGCTGCCTTGTCTCAACTGTAGAGTATCGACAACGTCCGTACGGGCGTATTTGGTACACGGATATCTTTCTACGGTACGGAGTACATTGACAATCAAACTGTGCTCAGTATATGCTTGTTCTGCAGTTAGCCACATCGAGTCTGGTCGGGCGAGCAAGGCATAGTTACTCGTCAACATCCCAGCCATTGAGGCTCTTGCGATATATCCACCAGTTGTTCTTTGCGGAGTTTGTATTCTGCACCACCACCCACTACTATAGAGAATGAGGCAATTCAATAGACATCACTGCCCACCCAGGTATTATCCGAGAAATTAGAATAGGCACTTTGTTGTAGGATGAACGAGAATGAATAGGAACCTCTCATCAGGGCATGGAGGGGAGCCGGCGCCTTGATTGGCCGGGGGCTTATCCACGGATCGGATAAGTCGCTCACTCACCACCACCAACTCCCCTCATCGCCGAAATTCTTCAGCAGACCATCGCCTTAATTTTCACTCAGTGCCCCTCCGGCCTCTCGAATCACTGTTGAACGTCGAATCCATAGTCGCATACCATCTACGATCCCTTTCCGACCATATCGCACACCTACCTCACCCTTCTTTCGTCGTCGAAGCCTTGGTCCGCACGAACAGCTAGCTACCGGTATCAGTCATCGCCACCACATATCACAGCGCGTTTTTTTCGTCGTCGCGTTCGCGCCAGTACATCACCGTTCTAATCGAAATCTCGGCCGCAAACCTCACCCGAACCACTGGCTACACGTCAAACAAACCCCGTCTCCATCAGACCTTCGTCAGAACTCTTGTCACCCACACGCTACTTCGCCAGTGCGCCGTCAACCCTCGCGGTTCCGCTCTGGTCCTGGGTCGATAAGAGATTCTGACCCCATCGAAATACTGGGCACATGAGTAGCAAGCTTTGGGAATTTTTCCTGCGCGATGACGTCGAGAGCTTCCAGCGGTTCCTGGCGAACGCCAGCTATACCTCTGGCGGCCAGCGTGCCTCGGGGCCAGGAGCCTCCAGTTTCCGCATCGGAAGCCCCGGGCCCATGTTAACACCCTCCTCTGGTGCTGCCTCAAAAAGTAAAAAGCTCATTGGGACGTCTTCTAGTCCCCAGACCCCAGATCGGTCCGGTGGATTTCGTCCTGGGAAGACCTTGTCGCGGGAGGAATTGAACGCTCGCGACCAGTACGGGAGAACGCTATTGCACCACGTGGCGTCCTCACCGAATCCGACAGCCATCGATTTTGCTATCGCGTTGCTGGAGGTGCCCTTTCTCGACATTTATGCGCAGGATTGGGAGAGTGGGTGGACAGCACTCCACCGCGCTTTGTATGCGGGAAATGCCGCCATTGCTCAGGCCTTGCTCACGAGGGACAACCGCGATGCAACGGACTTCAGCAAGTCTGGGGGCACGGCTCACCCTAGTGGGGGGCTGATCAAGATCAAAGACCGCGAAGGTTACAGCCCGTTCGATGTATACGGCGCTACGATCACTTCGCGTGATATTAAACGTATCGCCGCACTGACTACAGAAGAGGTTCCGCTCACGGAAGACTTTGACAATATGGAAGCGGTCTCCGTCGCCTCCTCTTCTGTTGACGGTGACATGGACGAGGACGGTAATGTCGCCAGAGGTGTCCTCAAACCGAGAACGAATCTGCTCGCCGATGAGGTCTTCACTTTCGGTAGCAACAAGAACTTGAATCTGGGTGTGGGCGACCAGGACGACCGCCAGTACCCGGAACGCATCTCACTGCAACGGCCGGAGCATCTCCTGCAGCGATTCTATCGTGAATACCAGGAGCAGCGAGCGAATGATACTGATTCTTTGTCTCATCAGCGGCCCGAGCACGCAGCTGATCTACCGGCTATGATCAGAAACAAACCCATCAAGGTACAAGATATTGCCATGTCGAAACTACACACGGCCATAATACCGACGGACCCGGAATCGAACCTCTTTTTGTGCGGGTTCGGTCCTGGCGGGCGTTTGGGCACGGCCGATGAGTCCGCGAGGTTCATCTTCGTTTTGCATAGAAACTGGAGGGCCTTGCGACAAAAAGGTCATCTCCGTAGCATTCGCGTCAAGACCATACCTTGCCTATCAGGGAATACGGAAAGATCTTCAGCTGGGGAAGCAACAAATTTGGCCAACTCGGATACAACCATCCAAGGTCCAACAACCGTGATGATGTGCCTATCCAGACATCTCCCCGACAAATTTTCAACCCATTTAAGAAGGAAGTCATTCTGGGTGCTGCGGCTTCGGCAATCCATTCTGTTGTCTTCAGTAACTCTGGCCTGTACACGTTCGGCAAAAATGAAGGCCAGCTGGGCCTTGTGGATTCGGATGCTCGGTCTCTTGAAGTTCAAACCACCCCGCGTCGAGTTGGAGCTTCTCTTTTCAGTGCACCCATCCAAAGTGTCACAGCCATTGATCAGGCCACTGCGATTCTTCTTCAGAACCATGAGGTCTGGGTGTTCTCTCAATATGGATACTCCAAGCTTTCTTTCCCCTTGGAGGTCAGTTCGAGGTTCATCCGTGATAGCTTCATGACGACACGGTACGACACTTCATCGAACTGTATTGTCAAAGTCAGATCTGGAGGGAATACTATATGCGCTCTCTCTAGTTTCGGCGAGGTATTCACTGTTGCGGTCAATAAGATGGAAAATCCACCGGTTCAGACCTCAACGACAAACCCAACCAAAATCCGCAACTCATTATCCCAGCCTGTGCGAGTATGGTCTCTGAAAAAATCCCATATGGCTGTGAAGGACGTCGATATGGGACAAGATGGCTCAATCATAATCTGCACAGCGTCTGGCTCCGCATGGCGGAAGGAGAAGCGCCATAAATCGAAGAGTGGACCTAGCAGAGACTACAAGTTCACCCGCATCCCTGGACTCTCCCGGGTTATCGGGGTCTGCAGTAACGCATTCGGCGCCTTCGCCGTGGCGCAGCGCGATTGCAATGTGACAAGGGAGCAGATCAATGTATCACAGAGCACACTGTGGAAAGACATATTGCCTCTATCGCCGTTCGACTCTCTTGCATCAATAGCGGATACGTCCGCTACAGCAGTGTGCGATGTGGTACCGGACCCAGAGCCAGTTATGGCTATCAAAAGGGCTCTTATGTCTGCATCCGACGTGGAGTCATTGTTACAACAACTGCATTTCCAAGCCGACACAGGGGCAGTATGGTTAATGACCAGTCTATCGGATATCAAAGTCCCTGTGCACGAATTTATCTTGGCTGGACGGAGCTCAGTTCTGAGGAGAGCGTTTCATGATCTACGACTTGCTCACTCGTTCTCCATCCCAGATGTTTTGCATATCCAGTTTGACGAGGGCAATCATTCGACGGTAATTTTGCAGGGTGTTGATCTTTTGACCGTCTTGAATATCGTCCATTTCGCCTATACGGATACAATCTTTGACGTGTGGCAGCAAGCCAAACATACTCCTCAAAGTGCATCCAGATATCGTCAAGTCCGTTCAGAGGTGATGCGAATGGGCACATGTCTGGGCCTGCCAACTCTGGAGCGAGCGGCGCGTCTCATGATTGAACCTACAAAAGCCCTCAAGGATGACATGGCTCGTGCTATAACTGATCCAGCTTTCTTCGATAGCGCTGATGTGATTATTGATTTGCACGATGGCCAGATGAAAGCCCATAGCCAGGTGATTTGCCAACGCTGTCCGTTCTTCAACGCTTTATTTTACGGCCGCTCTGGGGGACAGTGGCTAGCTTCCCGCCGTACAACTTCGCCTGGAGTCATCCACGTCGACTTGAAGCACATCGACCGGCGCATCTTTGGATTCGTTCTTGAGCACATATACGCGGATACTGAGGATAAGCTATTCGATGATGTCAGGTCCAAGGATCTTGAGGATTTCATCGACCTGGTGTTGGATGTTGCTTTTGTCGCGAACGAATTGATGATCGATCGGTTAGCCCAAATATGCCAGAGAGTGCTGGGCAGGTTCGGTGAGCTACTTTGATCCTACATGAGATAAATGAGTTGCTAATACCCATCAGTTAACATGCGCAATGTGTGTAATCTGCTCAACTCGATCGCACCATGCTCGGTGAGAGAATTCAAAGATGCTGCTTTGGAGTACGTTTGCCTGAACTTGGAGGATCTCTTAGCAAATAGGTGAGTACATTATTATGCTCCGAATACAAACAACATCTCATACTGGGGCAGGTTCCTGGGCGATCTTGACGAAGACTTACTGTCCGAACTCGATCTGGTCTGTCATGAGAACCAGATGACAGGATTCCCTGTATCGAGAGGACGAAACTCCGAGGAATACGTTTTCGAGAAGTACCCTGAGCTCATTTCCCTTATGGAAAGCGATAGGCGGCGACGGATCGATTCTATGAGGCTCAAATCTCGTCTCGACCCAACTGAGGGTCCTGACGGACGACAACGCCCCGTCAACGGTGATAAGACAACTGTGTCGCCGGCCGTGAAGAAACCAAAAGGAGCTCCTTTCAAGGACAGCCCTGTCCTAAGGCCAAAGAGCTCGGTAGGTGATCTGATGTTTCAAATGGACGACGACAGTCTATTGTCGCCCAGCGAAACGAAAGGGAAAGCGGCCGTTCGTGGAGTGCGGCCCCCTGAAGGAAGCACCCACATTGACTCCCCGGCTCTGGGGTCCAGCATGGTTGAAGGTGAGTCGTTTGGCGGACGAAGCTATCTTGAGGAACAAATGTCTTCTCCGCGGAGTACACCTCTCGCAGACTCACCCACCAACATGCGAGCCTCTGCCATCCAAAAGAAGACCAGTGACTCGGTTTCCCCGAACCCAGCGCCGACTCCATGGGGTTCCTCAGCGCTTTCGGGCTCGAAGAAGAATTTACGGGATATTATGAGCGAGACGTCCGAAAATCGGGTCTCCAACCTCAGCCTGGGTATGTCCGCCGCGCGTCGCGAGAACAGCAATAATTTCACGGCGAAGATTTCCCAGAAGGAGCGAAAGAAGCTACAACAGCAGCAAATGCAAGAAATGCTAGCCGCACAGCAGAAAGCCAAAGAAGGCCCGCAGAACCCCTGGAAGCTGCCTCTGAATACTCCCGGCAAGACTCCAACCAAACTAGACGAGTCCACGGCTACGCCAACACACTCGTCCAGCAGCACTCCAGCTCGGAAACCCTCAATGACTCTCCGACAAACAGTGGCAGGCACGCCGCCGCTACCAGCCCAGCAAAAAACCACTACCACGCCCATGCCAAATCCAAGCCGTAGCACTCCTCAAAGCACACCCCGGTCGTCATCCGTCGCAGGCCCGCCCTGCGCCACAGCGGCACCCTCGACATCTCCTAACCCGTCCACACAGCGCCCAATTCAATCCATCCGCCACATCCCCCGCGCGGAGCCCTACCAGACGAGCTTCCATGCCGACTCAGCCAGCTCCATGTCCCTCGCGACTATCCTTATGCAGCAACAGACGGAAAAGGACGAGCTGCGCGAAGCCGCCACCGCAAAGCACAACCTCGAAGACATTCAGCTCGAGCAAGAGTTCCAAGAATGGTGGGATAAGGAAAGCCGCCGGATTCAGGGGCTTCCGGATCCTGAGGACGAGTCCGCACCTGCCACGTCGACGCGACAGAGCCACCGCGGCGGAGGTCGGGGAGGCGGTGGACGACGTGGTAAAGGTGCGGGAGGTGGCCAGCAACAGCAACGGCAACAGCAATCGCAGCCCCAACAATCGCAACAACGCAAACGCCGCGGAAAGGGACCCGCGAACGCCGCTGGTGTTTCTGTGTTGTCGCAGCAGCTCCCGCGGAACGGTTCCGAAATGCCGTCCGCGCAGCAGCCGGCGCACTCGACACCGCGACGAGATCGGCTGTCAACGGGACCTCACGAAGGGGGTGCGCGCTGGGGCGGAGGTGGCCGTGGTCGTGGAAGAGGGTGACCCCTTGCGAGATTACTTGGGGTCGATCCATGTAGTTGTATACTATAGACTTCTAATTTTCCACTCTTAATAGATGGCGTCTTTTAGACCCAGTTAAGACTAGATTTTGGTTTCACTATCCCCTAGCAATATATGCACAACAATACTATGGGTTTGTTACTAGGTACTCATTTTGTCGCTATATTTATAGCGCTACGACTAATGTGGTCACTGAATTAATATGGAACCCCAAAGACGGATCTATACAGCACGTTTCACCATAGATCATATACTCTACCCATCCCCGTTAATCTAGAAGAGTGATCAGTAGGTTCTGAAGCTCGGACAGTGGCATATTGTTAGCATCTCTCGACTGCTTCATCAGATAGCAGAAGTAACTTAACAAAAGCAGCTAGGTATATTCATGGATTTTGACCTTGCATATTCCATGACGCTTCGAGCAGGTTGGTACCCGTCGTTGCTGTTTCGAGTTCTACTTTGTACTGGCGCCGCTCGGGAAGAATACATGTAGAAAATGGGACACAGTTTAATGCTGATCTTGAGTACAATTATCGTGTTTCAAGGTAATTACATTAAGTTGAAGTATCTATACTGGAGAAGGAGATAAATACACAGCACACTCTGAACGAACCATCATGAACGAACCCATCGGTTGCAGCCACCGCGTAAACAAATTGAACTGTATGCGCTATAATGCACCCGTGCGCCAGTATTGCTCGATAAAAAAACATAAAAGCAGAGCGTATGTACGTGACGTATATTGAATGCGAGAACGTTTACCCCGAAATCGCAACTTCCCTGCTCTCCCACATCCGTCGAATCATCATTTCAGCCTCATCCTTGAGCGAAGGGCCTGGGGCGTCTGCGTCCGTGTGGCTGTGCATCCCTTCATCGGAGGTGGACAGGATACGATGCGCCGGGTGTGACTTGGGTCTGAGGGCCAGGTCAGACTCGGTCGTGTCGTCATCAGCCTCGAGGTAGGTTTGCGACGCGGATGGGCGGATGTTTGATTGTTTCCGGCTGAGGAGCTGCTTTGGCTCTGGGCTGGCGCTGTTGGCTCGCGGACTAGCGTTCGATTTCAGATTGGTCAGAGTCGGAGCAGATTTGATAGGCTTGCCTAGCGACGAGCCGGGTCGGGTCTCCGCTGTGGTAACATTAAGGATGGCATTCAGTCGTTGGAAACTGTCTGCGGTGGGAGTTTGGAATCGCCGGACGACGGTCAACTCCATGGCGGTCTTTTCGTACGTCTTGCGGACATGTTTCGTTTCGGTATCGTGGGAGGGAGCGACTCCCGGACGCGATGCGCCGCTCACGAGTGCCCGTCCGGCATCGAAGAATGCGGATCCGGGGCGTGGCTGACTTGCGGCGATGATGGCAGCATCCATGGTGGAGGGGGAGGCGGCAGTCGAGGCGCCGTGTCCATCGGGCGGCGAGGTGTTCAATGCGGCGGTGCGTTGCAGCCAGAGCTTCTGTTGCGTGCGGGATGGGGGCTCGGCGCCCGGGGGTCGAGATGGAGGTGATGCGCGAGACTTTCTGGATCCCGAGGTGCGGTTCGGAGAGGGCGGTGTTTGGGGGTGATAGTGCGGCAGGAAGGACGAGGGTGTGTTGGGATCGGAATCTGTGCGAGAAGTAGAAGGCAAGCCGCTCTTGATAAACCGCGACACACCTCCTTCGATCGAGGATGATGTTGCATGAGTATGGATTCCGGGCGTGTTGGCGAGCGTCGCATTCGAAGATGAAAGTGGTCGTCGGGGGCCATCATGGGTGGATGACAGGTTTAGATTCGTCAGGGAGGCGGTTCGGGAGACAGAGTCGACCATGGTGGGTTCTGCGGTCGCTGAGATGGACGACATGGCGGGAGGCGCTTTGGCGGAGTGAGATGGGCTTAGAAGACGGGCAGCGATATCACCGTGGTCTTTCGATGGTTGCTGTTCGTCGGGTTCGGGAGACTGCGACCGTTTCCTCTGGTTGTTTTCGTTCTCGTCGTGGTCGTTCTCGTCGTCGTCGTCCGACAGTTGACCCTCGCCGAAGCTTTTACTGGTAGACTCAGGCAGACTGGTGGCCCGAGGGAACTGCGGATAGGGGCGTTTGACGAAAGTGAGGGGGTCAACGAGAACGGCGGCGCTATTCTCGACACTTTCCTTAGACTGGGCGACGGAGCTACGCCTGGTGCTTTCAGGGGACTGAGTAGTATCTTCCCATTCGGCGTCGTCGTTGTCGGAGTCTGCGAGTTCAAAGCCGACTGTTTTCTTCTTTCCGGAACTGGTATGCGGGCGGTTGGTGACGAGAGCCTTCTTCCCGAGGACACCGGAACTGTTACGTTGCAAGGCGGGAGAGGAGTAATTCTTCTTCATCGAGGCCCTGGTGTGATGCGAGTCGTCGTCGTCCAGCACGGCGCCATCCCATCGGACGTGATGGGTGCCACGAGGACTAGCGGCTGGGGTCGCTGGGGCGGATTTCTTGCGCTGATGATGGCGACCGCCGCCTTCGGTGGTGATGGTGAGATTGGATAGGTGACGTTGGAGTTTGTTCAGGTTCTTCCCAGATGGGTTGCGATGGTGCGCACGATGACCGCCACCGACGATATGCGCTCGATGATGGTGGTGAGGGCGTTTTTGATGGGAGACAGTGGTCGAAGACGAGGTATCGCTCAAGTCGGTGAGAGTGGAGGACGATCGAGTGACGACGGCGTGGGAGGAAACGGCACGACGGCCCAACGCAGGGCGCTTAACCGGTGACGAAGTGCTGGAGGTCGGCATGGCGGGCAGACAGCACAGCCCCCTGCATGCAGCAAGGGAGAAGCGATTGAGAAAGCCACTGGACGATCGGTTACACGGGGGTAGGAATTGAGAAGAAGAAAAGAATGAAGTCCAAAGGAAGTTTGGATGGAGATCTGGTGGTGGAGTACAAAGTTACCTTAGTTAACTAACTATGGTAAGGTATGACTAATCCTGACGCTTTCGTGCTGTTTATACTTCCAGATTTCCAGAGTGCGACACCGTCCACTATTCCGTTCCACCATCATTCTTGTATAATGATGTGGTCATTGTCTCTACATACATGGCATATCTCATCAATATACCCCTATCGCCTGTCCTAGACATGACTTGCCCTTCCAGAACCTTTATCCTCAAAGTGCAATTTACTGGCCTTCTGTTTCTTGGACAGTCTGAACATCCCGTACACAACAAAGGAGATCACCTCCCATCCGGTGAGTTTTCCATTAAGCTGCTCATATACCAACGCCCTAACAGACAACCAGCGTTTTCCTCCCCCGGAGTGGACCACCGACCAAAAGGCGCTTCACCGCGTAGATTGGTGGGCTGCGTGGACATCAGAGGACGATAGCGACCAGGAGCCTTCTGAAGATGATGATCTGACCACATTTTGCATGATCATGTGGACTTTTAATGCTGACTACGTCTTCTTTGAGGCTGACGGAGAATACTACTGCGCGGATTTCGTGGATAGTGACGGGCACGATATCTCCCGAGATATAGATGTGGATGAGCTCTTTTGGCACTTTAGTACCAGAACATCAAAGCTATAAAAAGATCCAACTCGGTGTGTTGAGCTATCTGAAACAAGCGAGAATGTCTGAAATCCCTCTACCGTCCCATCCATCCACCATCCACCGTCAACACCTCTCCCGTCACATATCCACTCGCTCGGCTGGCCAGGAACACCGTCACTCCTTTAAAGTCCTCTGGCTGGCCCCATCGTCCCGCTGGGATGCGGTCCAGAATGCTCTTTGACCGCTCCGGATCCTGCATCAACGCCGATGTCATGTCGGTCGCCACATACCCCGGTGCAATGGCATTCACTTTCACCCCTTTGCTAGACCACTCGTTGGACAGTGCCTTGGTCAGTTGTGCAATTCCTCCCTTTGCTGCTGCATACGCAGGTACGTTCAGACCTCCTTGGAACGAAACCAACGATGCGACGTTAATGATGTTTCCTCGGTGGCCGTTAGAGTCGGGTGTACGCTTCAGCATGTAGGCCCCAATATCGCGGCAAAGGCTGAATACCGTGGACAAGTTGACTTGCAGGACCTATCAATAATTGAGTACTATGACTAGCAAATGCCATTGGACCCATGTTTTGGGAGATACCTCGTCCCAGTCTTCGTCAGGAAACTGATGGGCCGGGTGCCGTCGCTGGATACCGGCACAATTCAGTAGGACACTAACATCGTGTCCATCGTTCAGAACACTAGTAACCAACGCAGAAATGGCTGGTCGGGATGCCAGATCCGCTGTGTAAATGGTTGCCTTCTGTCCAAGCGCTTCGATCTTCTGCTTGGTGTCTTGGTTGACAGCATCCCTCTGCGCCAGTTAGTCCATGCCTCCAGCCGGTATATTAATCTAGGATTCGTAGAGAAAGCCCATGACCAACCTGGACAAGCACCACATCGGCACCCGCTTCCGCCAGCCCAATCGCCATCTGCTTTCCAATCCCCCGGGTGCCCCCGGTGACTAGAGCGGTTCTGCCAGCGAGCGAGAAGAGATCCATGGTGTAGCGGGAGACAGTTCGATGCATCAGAGCAAGGATTAGGGGGGAGCGACCTATTTATAGGATATCTATGTTCTATTCCTCCAAATCCCCCCACGTCCCCGCATTGACGAGGCTGGGGTCATATTAGTATGGAAAAGTGATCTTCATTATGCTAGGGAAACGCCATCACCACTCGCGAATGCTCCCATCAGGCCCATAAAACTCCTTGGGGGGCCATGGCTCTGTCTCCAGGCTAATCTTGCGCACCAACGCCTCGTCAATTTCAATTCCTAGTCCTGGCCCAGACGGCGCCTGCACGTATCCTTCTGAGATCTCAAACACCGACTTGTCCACCAAGTAACTGTTCAGATCAATATCGCCCGCCTCCACATTGTAGTGCATTCCCAGAGACATCTCCTGGATGACAAAGTTCGGCGTCGACAGTGCAACCTGGATAGACGCAGCCAACGCAATGGGCCCAAGCGGACAATGCGGCGCGATTGCCACATCGTACGACTCCGCCATCGTTGCAATGCGCTTCGTCTCGGAGATGCCTCCGGCGTGCGCAATGTCCGGTTGTAGTATATCCACGGAGCTCTCTTCTAGGAAGCGCTTGGCATCCCACCGGGTGTACAGCCGCTCTCCAAAAGCAATGGGGATGGTGGTCAGGCCCGACAGCTGTTTGAGTGCCTCTGGGTGCTCACACAACAGCGGTTCCTCGATGAATAAAGGACGGTACGGCTCCAGCGCCTTCGCGAGCTGCTTAGCCATGGGCTTGTGCAGTCGCCCGTGGAAATCGAGTCCTGCGTCTAGCCCGAGAGCTTTGACTTGCTTCAGTCGCTCGACGCATGAGTCTAGCACGGCCGGCGAGTCCAGCCAGTTCACGTCCTCTGTGGCGTTCATCTTGATGCACTTGAGGCCTTGTTCGATACGCGCCTTCCTGGTTGATATCAGAACAGCATCCTTGTACCAACGAGAGCTTGTATCACGTACGCTGCGACTTCGACATCGGCCGGACGGTCCCCGCCAATCCAGGCGTACACCTGGACCTTCTGACGCACCTTGCCGCCCAACAGCTGATACACTGGCACGCCCAGGTTCCGTCCCTTCAGATCCCACAAGGCGATGTCAATTCCCGCCAGCGCGGACATGAACACAGGTCCGCCACGGTAGAACCCGAGTCGCCAGACGGTCTGCCAGATGTGCTCGATATCACTTCGCGCATCAGTACCGATTGCGCCCGCCGCAAGAGCCAAAATCAGGATATGCATACTCAGCTTCGTAGCCCACGATCCGTGCAATAATCTCGTCCAACGCGCCCTCAACAGCCTGCGTATGACCTTCCAAAGTGCCCTCTCCCCAGCCAAAACGGCCTTGGTCATCGGTGACCTTGACGAACAGCCACCGGGGCTTCACGCGGAAGTACTCAATCGACTTGATCTTGGTCATTTTGTCGCAATGGGTGAGGTCAAGGTGTCGTCCCTCATAATGACGCCTTCTCTGCGCGCATTTATATTGCCCGCATGATTGTCTGTATAGTATCTGTCCCCCGCGTGGGGTTGGTCGTTGTCTGACTGGAACTGAGGGGTGAAAAAAATGAGATGGACCCCCACGCTCTGCGATTCGTGGAGAAATATAGTCGATCATCATCGGATATCAGATCCACTGCGTATCCACCGCGAGTGCTTGTCTGGGTTCACCTCCATCGGATAAATTTCCTAATTGCACGTATGTGACATCGCCAGGTCTGCATGCGTTCTACAGATACCTACTATGTACAGCATAGAACCATCATGAGTTGCGAAGCCTCAATCAGTTCCATTCGACCAACTAGACTGACACCTAGTAAACGTACCTAAAGTTCAGGTTCTCTTTATCCGTCAAATCACTAAACGCAGTCCGATCCATCTCCCACTGGCGCGCCTCTTCACCTACACCGTCGGGACCAATACCTTGCAAACTGTCCCTGCGACGGTTCTCCATCGCCAGCGCCACGCGCAGGGCGAGCACCAGCGCAATCTCGACGAAATGCGACACGATCATCGACCAGATGCCGAGCGGATATTGCGGGGCCTGGCTCTCCTTATAGAAGAAGGGGCCGGCGATATTGCCCGCGCACACGCCTAGGAAGATCATAGCGTTCGTCACCACCTTCTTCGTGTGCCCGGCAGTATTGGCCGTCAGGATCGACAAAATCAACACGAAGGACGCATTGTACGACCCCGTCAGGTAGTAGCAGATCAGTCGGCCGATTTGGTTCGAGTGGGAGAGAAAGCAGAGTCCGAAGGAGCCTGCTACGTTTGGCAGGAGGAAGAGAACGGTTACGAGGCAACGGTTGTTTGGGGGGAGACGGTCGTTCAACCAGATGCTGAAGAGGATCATGAGGGCGATGAATGCGCCGTAGGGTATCTGCATAAGCGTGGTAACCACTTCGTAGGTCAGTACCTCTGCTCGTGCCTCCTCCGCGCACACAGGACAGACGTACGAGTAGAAAAACCAAACCCCTTGATAATCAGCGTCCCAAAGTTCGAGATCCCACCGTTGGGGATATTGCCTGACAGACCCAGGAGCAGAAACACCCACACCTTCCAGTCGAGAAACGCCTCCCACACCTGTGCGGGCTTGAGGGTCTTGTTCTCGACGCCGGTCTGGTTATCGCGCAGCCGCTCGACCGCGAGGCGTTTCTCCCGTGAGGAAAGATTGCGCGCCGTGACGGGCGAGTCCGGCAGGAAGACCAAGATCACGATGCCCCAGGCGGCGCATAGCGCCCCAATGATGAGGAACTCGTATTTCCACGATGGGAGGGCCCCTTTGATCTGGCCAATTGCGTATCCCAGGAGGCCACCTAGTGCGATGCCCAGGCCATTTGCGGTGTACCAGAGACCGATTCGGATGGGCTGTTGACGCCGGGTATACCACATACTAGTGATGAGCATGAAGGCGGGATCCCTTTCGATAGTGAGTTTGCATATAGATCTAGTTGTGGGGTTTGGACTTACGCGCATGCTTCCGCGGCACCGGATATAACTCTCAGCACGGCGAGTTGAACAAAGTTCTTCGCGGCGGCTGCCCTGGTCAGCATGAAGCATCATCCGGTCATTGAATGGGTGTGCTACCCTGAAGCATGAGGAAGAATCCCCAGATGAAGATGTTGGCTCCCAGATACTTGCCCACTGGGAACCGTTGCATGAGCAAGTTTGTAGGAAGAGCCCAAACCTGCAGTTGTGAGATTCAAACCAAGAGAATTAGATTGTATTACTTTCGTACCAAAAAGCCAAAGTAGAATATACTCGATAGCCACGAGTAGTGGTCCCCGGATAGTCCCAGGTCCTCGTTGATCCCAAAGATAGCAGCGTACGACAGCGTCGTTTTATCAATCTACCAAGATCAGTCTCCATACTTGTTTCATCCAGTGACTACCCACATAGTAAAACGCATAACAGACAGCCAAGTATGGCAGAATCATAAGATCGATCTTGCGAACCAGCCGCTTGCTCTCAGCCGGATCGATCTCCTCGTGCAAGTCATCAAAGTTGTCGAACAGCGCCAGAGCAGTGTCCCCATTATTGATCTTGCCCGGTTGCTCGGTCATCGCCTCGACGTGCGTCGTAGATGGCTTGCTGTCTAGCGGTACAGGTTGAATAGGTACCTGGGTAGGTTGTTCGCCCGACATTCTGAGCTTGTCGTGCTGCGTCTATAGGGCTCAGGTCTCCTAACGATGCAGCCGCAGGACAGAGCCTTTATTCACCTCCTCTCCGCATCGTATGTAGACATAATCCGACACGGGTAGTGCCACTGATCTGCAAGACTACCCGTTGTAGCTTCATGATCTGTCTGAGTGCGTGGGGGGTATGGGGAAACACGGAGAGGTGGGTATCTCCCCGCATTCTGGTGATGAGCTTGCAGGAGCAGACGAATAGCTGAGTCTACGGTAGTGAATCCATGCACTTGCTTCCACGATGCGTGGGGTGTTATTCGTGGGGGTCCCTCCTCAATACAGAGCATCCATGGCTATAGTTCTTTTTGTAGGATTCGAAGGCCGAGTAGATGACACGGTTCACCACTCATCCTGTGGGTGTGCATTTTATATCATAGAATGGGGCAGATAATCTAGGTGTTCAGGCTATTTCGTGAGCTGTCTCGGTTGGATGTCGGAGCGTGATAGATACAGTGTTTCTATAAGGTGCAACTATAGGGGGTGAACAGTCCATGTAGAGACGAACTACGCGTGTTTTAACTATAAAGACGCCCTCAACCGCACATCCACAGCTCGCACCAAAGCATGAATCGTATCTAGCACTGGCGTTTCCATGCCAAACTCCTTCGCCTTCCTCGCTGGAAACCCCAAGATGACATCCACCTCCATCGGCCTCCCATTCTTACAGTCCGTCTGCATGCTACTGCCAATCCCAGGCATTGCATTAATATTCCTCAGCAGCTCATCTATGAGCGTATATTCGAGGGCCACGCCGCACCGCCTTCCCACATCGATGACCTCGCGCATCAGTCTCAAAGTCAGCGGTGTCGCATCAGCGCTGGAGCGAAGCCAACTCTGGGTGTCCAGCATGGTCAAAGTCGTGAGCGAGTTCCACGCGGCGTTCCATACGACCTTCTCCCAGCGTTGTCGCTGCATGTCGTCGAGAACTTGAAATCTGGTTTTTCCTTGTTCAAGGAGCGAAGCAAAGAGGTCGAGGCGCCTTTGCTCGAGTGAGGCATCTACGGTGGGATTTGGGAACAGTCCGATTTGCATGTCCTCGGATTTGGTGTGCTGGACAACGCCAGGGCTTGTCTGTGTTGCTCCTACCCAGGTCTGTTACACTTTAGTTTCTGAACTTCTGGTGTCACATCATCGTTAACATACCACGCAGGTTATGATAGATGACTTGGGGAATTGGGCTCGGAAGGGCTCCTCATTACCCACCCCATTTTGGATAATCACTATCGTGGTTTCGTCCTTGACGGTGGGTCGCAGCCGTGATGCCACAGTATCTTGGTCAATTGCTTTGTGTGCACAAACGACGTAGTCAAAAGGAGCTTTCACTTCATTTGGGGACCTGATGACTGCTTTTGTTAGGATTTATCATGACATGAAAGGTGGTATATCGAACCATTCTGGGGGTAGAATCGGTGTTCTCCATGATTCTGGCTCTTCAGCAAAATGCCCTAAAATCGGAATGCGTTAGTTTCATGGTGCTTCTCATATGATAGCGTCGAAGAGTTTTACATTTTTCTTGACAGATTCGTAGTTTGACCTGGCAACGACGGTTAATCGTACTCTTTCGGAGCGACTGAGAATGAAGGCGTAAAAGGAGCCGATGCTGTACACAGATCAGTACTGCTAGTATGGAGGAGACGGGTCAGCCTACGCTCCCAGGCCATATAGAAGAACTTCAACGCGTTCACTCATGTTTCCATAGCTACCCTGTTCCTCGACTGAGTTGGAGTGGCATATCAAGAAGCCAGTCTATATTAAAGAGCTGATGCGGGGTTCGGCGAAAGGACCGAAGTCCGACGAGCGTGGGGGTTAAAATTGATTGACGGACCAACGTTCTCCTGAATGCATTCTACTATTTCCAGATAGGGACTCCGGTTATAGGCTGATGTGTTGGGCCTATCGATCAAAATCAATTGGTTATATCCTACAGCTTCACCGATCCCACCACATCTCTCTCGAGCCGAGAGGTGTTGAGGTGATGTGGTCCCAGCTCCTTCAAACTGGTCGCCCCAAGAAACACCATGTTCGATTCAATCTCCTGCCGTAGTATCTCGATTGCCCGTCTGACTCCCTGCTCCCCGTATCCAGCTGCAAGACTATACAGAAAAGGCCGGCCGAGTCCCACAGCGGTTGCGCCCAAGGCAACAGCTTTCAGAACGTCCGTACCGCGCCGGATGCCCCCATCGATGTATATTTCCATGGAGCTATTGAGTAAGGATGGGGCGTATCGGCGGATCTCGAGAAGTGTGAGAAGCGGCGATTGGGCTCTATATTAGTTAGTCGTAGCGTCCAAGGCATATATATATCAGGCATCGTACGTATCCTGTGAACGTCCTCCATGGTTGGAAAGGACGATCCCCTGGACTCCATGTTGATATGCAAGGACCGCATCTTCAACGCACTGGATCCCCTTGATGACTATTGGTAGGTTGGTGAGTCCGCGCAGCCAGATCAGAATGTCCCAGTCAATGAACGGGGATATAAAGCTAGCCATTGTTTTGGCGACACCCTGGCCTTTCGGCGAGGGGTCGTCGCCCTGTCGTATAGTTACAGACATTAGTAAAGGTACTAATACTGATCCAACAATTGCGAACATACCTGCATCTCAACGTTCAACCGCTCATCCATCTCTCTCTTCCCAACAACGGGAGAATCGACCGTAATCCATATCGCGCCCGCACCGGCTCTCTCCGCCCTCCGAACTATCTCCTCTGACTTGGATATATCCCGGTTGACATACAGCTGCTGAAACACGGGTTGCTGAGGGTGTGTCCGGGCAGCCATGACACGCTCAATCGAGAAGCTTGACCCGTTGGCGAGCACCTGCGCGAGACCTTCGTGTCCAGCCGCCGCCGCAAGGGCACATTCCCCATCCCGATGGGCAAGCTTTGCAATCCCGGTCGGGCTCATATACACCGGGAGGGAGACACACTTTCCTAATATCGTGGTAGAGGTGTCTACTGCAGGAATTTTGCGGAGGATGCGCGGCCGGAGCGCCACTTTCTTGAACGCTTTTGCATTCTGGCGTTTGCTGATTTCATCCTCAGCCCCAGACGAATAGTACGCCCACGCGTTGGAGCTCAGGTGTTTCTGGGCGACGTGCTCGAAATCGTGCAGGTTGATCAGGCTGCGTAGCGGGGGCGGGGTGTTCGTCTCACGAGGTTCAGTTGACGATTTGGTGGTGTCGTTCGACGGAGAGAGGGTCCCTGTGTCTATGGTGCCCAGGAATGCGGACGGTGGGAGTGCCTGAGCCAGTAACTCGGCATCGTGTACGGACATGAAGTCCTCCGTTGCGTCTTTCCCGGCACATCGGAGAATGACTTGGGAGCCTCCGGGATGGGATGCGAGGAATTCTAGCTCAAACGTTAGTATCGATATCAATGAGAAAGATACACTACACATACCGGTTACGTCGTAAACAGAGCCGTGGATAGCCACCCAGCAGGACTCCTTGCTGTTGTGCTTTTCAATCTCGTCTCGAGTCAGTCGCATGGTATTGCTTCCTGGGCTGGGATTCCCCGCAGGAGATGATTCAGATGTAAGAAGTCATGTTGTAGTATAATATAACCCACGCAATCTAGAATGACCGATCTAGTCCCTTGTCGGAAAAGAAAAGCTGGCGTGGGATTAAGCGTGGGGGCATCCCCGGCGATCTCATTGCTACAGGCGACGATGCGGAGTAACTGGGTGATGTGGAAAGAGGTTTTGATTATAGGACGCGCATTCCTACGCAGTATCACTGAGCTACAGTATCTGTCCTACACATATAGGTAGGTAGGCCGTCTATTAAATAGTAAAGTATGCCTGCGGCTGCAATCTATAATTCAAACATCTCATATCCCTTCAGCCAGCATCTAAAACGGGCCTTTTTCCCCAGGAAGTCGGCACGATGATATGGCCTGAATGCGGGAGAAGCTGCAATAGAAGAGCCTATCTATATCGATATCTCTGCAAAGATACATCAGCGAAGTTCCTTGCATCTACTACGCTTTTAGGAAAAACGGAAGAAAGGTTCCCTGGTTGGAGTAAACCTTTCAATAAATCTGTCATCTGTATACCACACGATGACACAACTTCCCCCAGTCCCCTCTCGCCTTTACTTCTATCGTTTTTCATTTTCTTTATCTCCTTCCGCTCCTTCTCCACATTATAAGCAGCTGAATATCTCATCATGTTCTCTCAGATTGGTGAGACCATTTGCGTGACTCTTCGCCGTTTGCGGGAGTCCCTTAAGGGCTTGAGGCTTTCCAAGGAAACAGAGGAGAAGGTCAGCCAGAGGGATCACTCCATAAAAGTTTTGCGGAAGATGTTTGGGACAATCAGTCTCGTGACTGATCCTTTCATCGACCCGGATTGCCATGGATCGCTTTGAATCCAGCTTCGCCATGACCTGACTAACCCCTTCTTTACACCATGGTCTGCCTCCGATATTCAGAATATCTACCCGGTAGATATGAGTGTTCCTGGTACCGCAAGAGGTATTCGCAATTCCCAGCGTTCTATCGATCATGGTCCACTTTGGTCCACTTTATCCTGAGTTTCAGTTTGGAGATCGGCTCGAAAGACGCCTGGGTGTTCTCATGTCCTACCTAGCGTGGTTAATGTCACAATATCCCCGGAAGCCTAAAGGTTCATTACTGAAGACCATATCGGGCTGGAGAGTCTCGTAAGGATGATTGTGTCCCTCTATGCTTGATGGAATGTTAACTGTGGATAGGAGCTTTATCGAACTTCCGATCGACTTGTCGGATTACAGACTTCCCTACCCCATGTACAAAATACACTGGGACACTGGCGCGTGCTGGTTCCGCCTCAGTGCGAAGACGCCTCATATCAAACAGTTGATGTACACTGCCATTCAAGGCGGGAGGATGCCTTGATTCGGGAAGAGGTCCTTACGATTTTGGGCGTTATGATACAGCGCTTGAACACAGATGGGTTGGAGAAGCATGTTGTTGCACCTGTAAGTTGCCCTTTCTCAATACAAAGAAGAGTGAAATGGTGGATGTGACTAATTCCGCCATATTGTGGTAGGTAATGTTACTGTCGTTCATGGGCGAATGCCACGGGAGAATCTTCGTCGCATATCTTGAGGACGACAAGCTGGTGATCCACAAGTCGAAATTATATCGCTTCTACAGTTACGATCAGGAGTCTTATCTGTTGTTCTTGAGTTATCTGGCCGGTGAAGAGGGTCCAGGATATACTACGACCCCGTTCTCCACGAGAGGCACCCATACTTCTTAACTGGCGAAGCAGGGCCAGACAGGATGGTCTGACTACTGAATTACTGTGGTCAATGGCGGAGTTCTGACGACGGCATGCTTTGGTATGGGTTAGGCAAGCGATGATTCTAGATTGAAGGGGGATAAACATTGGAGCAGTCAATCGCCGTTGTATGTCTGTATGAATAATCGGCTTATGAACCAATCAAGCTTCAATCGTCTGCACCTGTTGGCTGAAAAGAAACGACCTCTTTACAGCGCTGCCTGCATGAAACACATATCCAAGGCAACCATCCGAACCTAGACTGTCTTCAACTCGTCTACTCCCGGCAGAGAATAGTTCAAAGACAACTTCAATAATGGCTCCTCGTATGATATACCTGGTGTTAACGCGTCCCGCCCCAAGCCAACGCGCGCACTTTGCCATCTTCGTCCCTTCGACGACCAACCCCCAGATAGGCAGCATAGTCAACGTGGTTGGTGCGCCTATGATGGGATTCATTCACGAATTCAAAAGGGGCTACAATCTGGCTACAATCGACGTTCCCTACGAGACTTGTCCGATTGGGCAGGTGGATTCGGCTCATATCGTAGAGTGGCCAAATGACTGTCAAGCTACGCATACCGAACCCAAGGGTGACATCGAGGTTGCGGCGTCGCAGATACCAGCTCCCGGTGTTAGTGAGAATTTTATGGCCCCGGTGAATGATGTAGGATCTTCTTTTCCATTATGATCAGGGTTTCACTCATCGGTTGATACAGACTACAAACAAGAGGTGTCAGGAGTGGACGATGGAATACATACGCCATCTGGTGGCCAAAGGGTACATCGAAGCGCAGGCAATTCAGATTGTACAGTCGAAGCGTGACCCTCCGACTTTCGGGATCGGTCTACGGCCAATAGGTGTGAACCTGGGACAGTGAGATAAACACTGTCTACACATTGAACATCTCAAGCAGCGCTGGCTGGAATCCACGCATACATGAAAAATGAGAAATTCGTAATTCAACTTGGTACTTTGCAAACAGCCAAAACACCGGCATCATAAGTCAACAGCAGGAAAACCACAGAAACACAGTTCCCATCTAAGCACCCAT